TTCCTGCAACAGTTAAAAAGACAAGTTGTCTTAGACATTAAGGTAAAGGGCAATTTCTAGACTTAAATATTCGTTTAGTTTCAGTTTAAATCAAACCTCTTGTCAACTGTAATTTTCCCTTTATAAATGTATAAAAACTTTTTTGTTTGTTTAAGAAACTTTTTCGCACAAATCCAACTGTACCCAAGAGCTTTATTTGCACCTAAATTAGCAATGTGCAAGATTAACGAATTATCTAATTTGGTTTATAATGGGAAGTCAGGGCCCTATGTTAAAAAAAAAAACATAAGATAGTTGTTCTTGTTAAAACATTGGAAAAGGTGACAGTAACCTTAATTTTAGCTGACAAATACTACAAAAAAAAAAAAATTTTTTTCGCATGCTTAAATATGTTAAAGAGCTGTATTTCATGCAAAGGTAAAGTGACAATGAATAAATTAAATCATTTCCCATAATTCTGGATACAAAAAGCTTTCTGGTGCCACAGGTTTTTCTTTTTTTCCTTCTATTGTTATGCAAATTATATGTAAAGTGGATGCAAATTAGGTCAAGCAGCATTTAATTTTTTTTTTATTTTGATTGCGCAATCTAACCTTTAAATATTAGTTCCGAGAACAAAATTTCGAAGAAGCATTTGGCCTGGCGGTCCAGCTCGCTGACCGCCAGGCCGGGGGCCCCGGATCAAATCCCAGCCGGGGCCCCGGGAGGAAAAATAAATTTTGGTCTCTGTAATGGTGAATTTAAAAATAAATATATAAAATAGTAGCATGGAGCAGGGTTGAACCGCGTACCTTCTGCATGCCAGCTCTCTCTTTTTCCGCTCTGCCATGGCACTTTCTTGAAAATTTATCCGGTTTTCGTAATTAAAACCCTTAGGTTGTTGGACTTAGAAAATTTTTCAGCTCTGGCCAGAATTTCAGAAATCAAGGGGTACCCCTTGAAATTTTTTCAGATCTGAGGGTCTGAGGCTGGGATGAAATTTTGAGCTAGAGGGGTAACTTTGGGATTCTGGACTGTTGGGCAAACTGCTGAGAGGGAAATGGACTTATAGCTGAGGACTTTGTAATTTTTGGGGTTGGTAATTATTTGGCTGGACTTTATTTAGACTTGGAATTAATGGGTCTAGGAATGGTTGGAGCTGTAGGGGTTGGGAGTTTGGGGTTAATAGTTTATAATTTAGACTGGGCTGCTCGATTGGTAGGCTTCAGGTTGTAAATTGTAGAAGTCCATCTCAGAGAAGCTACTGCTGGTAGTCCTGACAGCAGTTTGATGGACAGTCTGTTTGTTGGAGAGGGCTTCTCCTGGACTGAGATAGGTTGAAGTGTCTTCAGCAAGCAACAGTAGGCTGATCGACCAAAGTATGATTGGTAGGCTTCAGCTTGTAAATTGTAGAAGTCCAGATCTCAGAGAAGCTACTGCTGGTGGTCCTGACAGCAGTTTGATGGACAGTCTTTTTGTTGGAGAGGGCTTCTCCTGGAGATAGGTTGGAGTGTCTTCAGCAAGCATGGCAAGGATGAGAATTAGGGACCTGGAGCATCAAAGTTTAGAGACACATGTAAATGTAGGTCTCAATCTTCGAAGGTAGAGTACTGCTGGGTTGCTGGTTGACAGTCATGTACATGTTGGATGATACATGTAGATCTCTTAGACTTAGGGTCCTGCTGCAACCTGGTTGAAGGGCCTTCCGCATTTCACCGTGTAGAATGCTGTTGGAGTGGGCATGTCATGCTTCAGTGATCATTTTTGGGACGAGTACTGCCCCCTGTTGTCCAAGATGTGAAAATGGTCGTGTCCACATCGTTTAATAGTCTGGTGCCGGAGATGATATTTTCATGAGTCGTTTCAGATGTTTGAAGTTCTATTTTTCCATACAATAGTCTGGTGCCGCTGATAAATTTTTAAGAGTTGTCCCGGATGATTAATGGTTCAATTTTTACAAATTATATAACAGTCTGGTGCCGGAAATGTTTTACTCTTTTTAATTGTCCATGATGTGTAAAGGTTTTTCTGTTGCTCCTCTGTATCGTTTAATAGTCTGGTGCCGGATAGGAATTTTCAGGAGTTGTCGCAGATGTTTGAATTTGTTTTCTGTGTCTAGTCTGGTGCCGGAGATGATTTTCGTCCCCTAGTTGTAAATGGGTTTGTTTGTTTTTTCTTTTCGTAAAGTAGTCTGGTGCCGGAGATGATTTTGCAGGAGATGTCGAGATGATGGAAGGGTATTTTTTTTCCCCGTGTTCTTCAATAGTCTGGTGCCGGAGATGATTTGTCAGATGTAACATGTTTGAGATGATTTATTTGTGTGCGTGTCTGTGTGTCCTACATAATAGTCTGGTGCTGGAGATGATTTTTTTTCCTTAGTTGTTTGAAATGTACATGTATAAAGGGTTTTTTTTTCCATTTCGTAAAATAGTCTGGTGCCAGCCATGAATTTTCACAGGAGTTTTACAATGTACAAGATGTGTAATGTGGTTTTTTGGTGTCGTATATAATCGTCTAGGTGCAACATATGATTTTGTAACAGTACTGTTAATCATACTTAAAAAAATTTCTTACTTGTGGTTGCAATACTAAGTTTGTTTCAGAACGATTTCAGAGAACCCTTTACTAAAAAAATGTTGAAAAACTACGGGCAAAAAAAAAAGGATTTTGGCACGTGTGTACAGCAGTCAGTATTCCAACTGAACATGTTCCTTTTTACAGACATTTTAGGATATGTATTAGCAATGCGCATTCAAAATCATAGCGGGTAACACTGTAAAATAAAAGAATCTGTCTTGTTCAGAAATAAGACGACAATTGCAAAAAAGTGTGTTTTTTGTCGCAATTAACATTCTGCGCATGAACGTTTCTGTCTTTTTTTTTTAATGCATGAAAAATTGCACGAAGCAGATTCTGTAACCATGGTCTTTTGTGAATTAATCTGCCAGGCAAAAATCATCAAAACTTGTTACGTACATGCGCAGCTAGATTTAGAACACAATAAAAGGCACATAGGCTTGATATGGCGATGTTAATTATCGATTTAGTCCAACAGCCCTTTTAAGTTTTTTACCAATACGGAATGATATATCGTTGACCTCATCCTTAGGCCCAACAAAAAAGTCTCCGGTTTCTGGTATGGAGCTCGCCCAAAAAGTGGTGGAGCGATGCGGCTTTTTTTTTTTTTAACCCGTTTTTTTTTTTTTTGCTTCAAATGTCGGCTGATGACTGCAAATGGTGCCCGACTAAACTTAGTGCAAATATATGGGAGTCCAGAGAGGCCTCATCTTGATCATAACCCCATCTAAAACACGTTGAAATTGTGCAGCAGCAGGGCAGGATTCCAGTCAAACCAGTGAGTTTGGCGGTTTTGAGACACTCATCTTTTATTGAAATTTTTTTTTTTTAATTTTGCCAACGCGCATGGCTACGGCGACGCGCGCGCATTCCAGAAACCGGAGGCTTTTTTGGGGGGGCCTTCAATCTAAAACTTGAAATTCTCTTTCAAAAACTGCATGTAACAAAATTGCATAGAAAAATAACAAATCTTAAACAATTCTGCTATCGTCTCCGAAAATAATTTTATTTTGTTCAATATATTTCTCATTTAATTGCTACTTATTGATAATCATGAATTAATTAAATTACATGCAAGTTTGAAATTTCAACCATATTCGCTCTTTTCACACTTCTGCCATGGATGGGCATGCACAGCCTCGATCTGGCAACTTTACACAATGACTATAGCCGGTTCAGTGATTCCCGTGTTTTATTGTGTTAAGTTGCCAGATCGAGGCTCTGCATGCCCAATGGCGGAGCGTGAAAAGAGCGAATTAACATCTACATGTACATTAAAGGGAATGTACATCATTGGCTTTTGCTGTAATTTTCAGAAATGAACTATTTCAGGGGTTAGTATAAAATATAAAATGGATCAATTTACAGATGCTGGACAATTGTAAGGTAAGGGTACCAGTCTAGCTGGCCTGCACCCGTTCATGAACATGTAATCAATAGCAAACAAAATTTGGACTGAATTAATGGTAAATTTGGAGCAGTAGTTGAAAAATAGTTAGGTTTTTCCAACGACGGTCGGCCGACCACCGCTAGAAATTTTTACAAAAATACCATTTTCTTGAAAATGACTTCACACCAGGTGCCATAATTTTACAGGATGCTTTAGACTGTCAATTACCAACATCCTATTTAGGTATTTCGTAAAAACTGGGTAGTTTTATTTTTCGATGTTTGCAAATGTTGTATATTCCCTTTAACTGTTTTACATACCATATACATGTAAGGCCAAGAGAGTACCTTGTGCTTTCTAAATACAAGAGAACAGTTGGGGGATGGGAATTTTGGCGTTTCTTTGTGCAGCCAGAAAAAAATGGATAGAATGATGGTTGGTTAATTCATTTAAGTTGTTATTATTTTTGGCTTGTGCTAGAAACAATTATTCATGGGAATGAACATTCTGTACGAGACTTAAAGGTTTGCATGCATTTGCTGCACTGTACAACATGTAAAAAGTAAATTCATTACACTGTTCAGGCTTTTCTGCACAGTGGGGCAGACCGTACAAGAGTAAACTGCCGACAAGCCCTGCCAAATTAGGGTTGGGGCGGTACTTTTTTTGCCATTGTTTTGTTCACAAAAATAATTTTAGTTTCTGCATGATTTTCAAAGTTGGGTGGAGTAATAGGAAACACAGGTACTTTTGCCTGGCTTTAAAACTACTGATGAAATCAAATGGCAACACTTATTTTAATTCCCAGATCTTTCATACACAATCGACCTGGATTGTTTGACAAATAGGAGCTTACCGTTAAGGTGTAAAGTACCAATGCATGTACATTTAACCATGGTAACATGAGTTGTAACAACTCTTGTTACCATGGTTAAATGAACATGCATTGGTATTTTACACCTATATGGTAAGCTCAAATTTGTCAAAAAATATACTATCGAAAGTTGAACATTAGAAATCTGTAAGCAAAACCTTGTAACATGCATTGGTTTTGTTTAAGTTTTAAATGAAACAAGTTCAAATGAATAAGGCAATGCAAAATTAGCCCAATCACACTTGTTATGAAAACTGAACACATGCAAAAATCCCCCAAAAACTAATTAGGGGGGAAAAAATATCGAAATTGTTATGAAAACTAAACACATGCAAAAAAATAATAATAACAGCAATGCTAAACCCCTCAGCTAAGTTATCATCTGGAAACCATAAACCTTGAACTCACCACTGTGACCGTGACCTTTGATCCCAAAACCATTCCCAACTTGCCTGTACCCAAGGGCAGCCCACACTGAATTTAGACACCCAAATGTCATTTCTAATTCAAGTCATCATCCGGAAACCATCAACCGTAAACTCACCACAATGACCTTGACCTTTGACATTTTGACCTAAAACCAATCCCAATTTGCCTACAAGGGTAACTTCCTAAAAAAGTTAGACACCAATTTAATCTCAATTCTAGCCCCAGTTATCATCCGGAAACTATTCACCTTTAACTCACCACGATGACCTTGACCTTTTGACCCCAAAACCATTCCCAACTTGCCTGTACCCAAGGGAAAGCCCCTACCAAAGTTAGACACCAAAATCTTGTTTCTATTCAAGTTATTATCCAGAAACCATTAACTTTAACCTCTCAATAGTGACTTTGACCTTTGACCTTTTGACCCAAAAACTAATCCCAATTTGCCTACTCCCTAGGGCAACTTCCTACCAAAGTCACACACCAAAATCTTGTTTCTATCTCAAGTTATCATCCAGAAAGCATTAACTTTTAACTCTCAATAGTGACTTTGATCTTTGACCTTTTGACCCAAAAACTAATCCCAATTTGCCTACTCCCTAGGGCAACTTCCTACTAAAGTCACACACCAAAATCTTGTTTGTATCTCAAGTTATCATCCAGAAAGCATTAACTTTTAACTCTCAATGGTGACCTTGACCTTTGACTTTTTGACCCGAAAACCACTCACAATTTGCCTACTCCCTAGGGCAACTTCCTACCAAAGTTAGACACCAAAATCTCGTTTCTATCTCAAGTTATCATTCAAAAAACCATTAACTTTTAACTCTCAATGATGACATTGACCTTTGACCTTTGACCCAAAAAACCAATCCTAATTTGCCTACTCTCAAGGGCAACTTCCTACCCAATCCTTAGTTTCAATCTCAAACAGCATTTCTCACATGAGTTATCATCCAGAAATTAAGCTGCCCGGATCGACGGACGGACAAACGCCAAAGGCAATGACCAATGGTAAAAATCATCCCAGCTTATTTTGAGGGAGATATCAAAAATAGCACAAAAAACCCAAATTTCCCAACCATCTCCATTTTGATGTAAAAGCACATGTGGGAAACACTTTTTTCTTGTCTTGGTGTTGTACTTTTTTTTAACCTTTTTATACTCATTTTTACAGCAAACAAATTCTGTTCCCATACAGGGTACAATGTACTTCATCTTGCACGAATGTGCTAACAAAAGCAACAACATGGAGACATCAATTATTGTGTTACATTAACATTTTAAGCCAAATATTTCCATGCAAATTTAAGAACAGTAAAATTGGTTAATAACTCTGTGCATGAACAGGAATGACATTTCATGACTGCTTTTGAGTTTTTCTTAGCGGAGACACACTGCATCAGTGCAGTGGCTTGCCTTATTGCAAGGACTACCGGTACTCGACACAAAACACTCTTTCTGACATGTACATATTCATTTGACATCATTATAATCTTTATTGATGATAGAGGATACTATTTTTCTTACAAATCTATTCACAATTCACAAATCCATAGGCTTATTGGATTAAAAGGGATTAAACTTTAGTACAAAATTGTCATCTACATCGTACATTTCTCTTCTGTTAACAAGTTAGTACTACGAAAAAATGAATATTGTAAAATGACACTTCTTCGGCAAGCAGCAAATTTCAGAGGGTTTTCTTGGGTGGGGGAGGGTGGTGGCCATGCGATGGGCACTGCGATTTGCAGGATGTGCATGCACTCAATTTGTTCATTCCATTGACCTTTTTGGTCAGAAAACGCCATGTACTGTTCATGCACGGAGTCCATATTGAAGCTTAGAGATTTGCCAGCTTTTGCTGGTCCCAGAGGGCCATTCTCTTTATACCTATCTCATTAACTAACTGCCTGTTACTCATGAGCTGGGCAGTGCTATTGTATAGGATTACGCTGTAACACCAATGACTGGGCTACATCCTGCCTATTGTGTGGACCAGATGCACGAATAGACGTCCTGTGAACAGAAACGAGCTGCACTCTGGGACCAGCTTTGCTAGGCTTGCCTCGTCTGGTTTACTCACATCTCTTAGATCTCTCTGTGATAGATTAGCGAATTCCTGTAGGTGGACCATCCTGCCCTTTACTTCTCATTGAGTGCACAAGCAGGGCTCACAGTCGCACATCTCATTGTCGGCAAGTCGACCTAGATCCTTGCTGACAGAAACAGGAATTTGTCAGGATCTGCCTGGCATGTCTGTTTCTGGATTGGAACGAAAAGCAGGACATTTTCAGAACTTATAAACCATTTCGGAAATCTGCACAAATAGATAAGAATATACCCATAATAAAGGGGTTCTTTAATGAAAATGGTTGACTGGCTAAAACTTTCTTGGCAAAAAAAAGCTGGCACTGAGAACCAATTAACAGCATGGACAGTCTGAATGAAGATTATTGTTGACCTTGCTTCCATGGTATATTATATCCATGGTATATAAGACTGAAGTATGCACTTCATTATATTTACGAAACATGCACAAAACAGTATTCCCATAAATCGATGATCTTGGACCAGAGTGTGCGTCGGGTTTGAACATCAAAGAAATGGTATTTTGTACCATATCCGACATTATGTTATTAATTACTTAAGTATCCAACATTAGCATGTTTTCATAAATATCCCTTTTTCATATTTTCCTTTCATGTGTACGTATTTTCAGTTTTCATGAATTCATTTCCATATGTTATTCCATATCAATATGTTATTGATATGTTACAGCACAAAGTGTTCCCAGAAATTTCCTGACGCAGCATGCTGATACTGTGTGATATACAGAGTTCTGGCCAGTTTCCCGTCGTGACTAACATTGTGTATAGTGGTGTGCACGACCCAAATTCTCCACTTTTTTAAGAATCCACAACTGTAATATTTTTGTTTAAATTAATAAAGGCAGGTTTTTATCACTTTCTGTGGCCATTTTTTATAGCCTTCTTAGTGCAAATGAAAATATTTCAGGCTGAAATTTGCATATAATTGAATACCCCATTCAATAAAGCCAACAAAAACAAAAAATGCTTCCGATTACATGGCATTCAAAATAGGCTGGGTACATGTAGGTAGGGATTTTCTTTGGGGGGAGCAGTTTTGTGTGTGTACGATCACATGGAGGCGTTTGCGTGTAGTCAAGGGTAAAAGGTAGAAATTGATGAATTTGGGTGTTTTTTCCCTCATTTTTCCGTTAAAACAATTAGGGTAGTGGCTGTCAAATTAGGGTAGGTAGGGGAAGTGGAAGCGGAACTATGTTTTATTGGCCTCAGCACACAAGACAATGGGCAAAATAAAAAATTTTTTGACCAACAGACCCTATTTTTGAAAGACAGGTAATCAGAAGCAGAACTGTTTTTTTGTTGTCTTAAATCTGGTTGTGTTCACAATGTTTTAAACCCACCTGTCCCAATAGGTTTTTCGAATGCCATTTTCAGAGCAATGGCACTTAGTGAGGCATGAACTGAGGTATGCATCCAAGATATCAATGGGAAACTTACTGCCCCTAGTTTTGACAAAACCATAATAGTTTTGATAAAGCCATAATAACCTTTGTTTGTGGGTAACCTTTTTGTGGTGACACCCTGTATATTATTATAGTTCTTACCTGTTTTGTCACTTTTTTCTATCTTCGGTCGATTCAGCAGTCTCTTGCATGTCTTCAGATCAGTAAGTTTTGTGTGACACACTGGCTTGGACCTGCTTCAGGAAAACAACAAAAACACGTGTTTAGAACAATGAGCAATACAAATTTAAAGCATTTGTTTTGTTGTGAAACCTGAAGTTTGCAGCAACATCGGGAATGGTCGATTCCATCCTTGTAATTTAGGGATAGGGGGAGAGAGAGGACGGTGGGTGGGGAGGGGAGGAGAAAGGTACTGCCACACCCCTGGTGCAGAGCTAAAACAACAGGTTTGTGCACATTCAGATTAAAAGTGGTCATGCATACTTTGTCCAGTACATGTATGTGCATGTGGTGTGTTCATCCCATTGAGGCTCTGAAACATGGTCACAAAGGACCATCTACTGTTCACACATGGAGTCCATATTGGGGTTGTATCTGCACCTCACATACTACCATGCAAAAGTCTCAAGAGATTTTAAAGGGAATATACATCATTTGCTTTTGCTGTAATTTTCAGAAATGGATGGAATTGGGGGGTTGGAAATATATAGCAAATATAGTTACACTGACTTTTTTGAGGTTTTGGGTTCGAAAATGCTGTAAAAACCAAAAAAAAACAATCATTTTCCTGTAGTCTGGTTCCCCGACTCCATATAAGAAGAAACAGAGCAGTTTACATACATTGGGGAATTGCAAGGTCAGGGAACCAGTCTAGCTGGCTTGTACCCGTTCATATGTGTGTAATCGATTGCAAACAAGTGCGATGGTCAATTGGGGCCAGTATTTGAAAAAAAGCCAGTGTTTTCCAACGCTGGTCGGCCGACCAGCGTTGGAAATTGATGCAAAAATACCACTTTTTTTGAAAAGGTGCCATGATTTTACAGGATGCTTAACACTGTCATTCACTAACAGTCCAGCAAGGTATTTCAAAATGATTTGGTAGTTTTATTTTTTGATGTTTGCAAATGTTGTATTTTCCCTTTAAAGGGAATATACATCATTTGCTTTTGCTGTAATTTTCAGAAATGGATGGAATTGGGGGGTTGGAAATATAAAGCAAATATAGTTACACTGACTTTTTGGGGGTTTTTGGTTCGAAAATGCTATAAAAACCAAGAAAAACGATCATTTTCCTGTAGTCTGGTTCCCTGACTCCATATAAGAAGAAACAGAGCAGTTTACATACATTGGGGAATTGTAAGGTCAGGGAACCAGTCTAGCTGGCTCGTACCCGTTCATAGGTTTGTAATCGATTGCAAACAAGTGCAATGGTCAATTGGGGCCAGTATTTGAAAAAAAGCCAGTTGTTTCCAACGCTGATCGGCCGATCAGCGTTGGAAATTGACACAAAAATACAATTTTTCTTGAAAATGACAGTATACCAGGTGCCATAATTTTACAGGATGCTTTAGACTGTCATTTACCAACAACCTATTAAGGTATTTCGCAAAAACTTGGTAGTTTTATTTTTCGATGTTTGCAAATGTTGTATATTCCCTTTAACACATTAGGGACCTTATCATGGCAAAGGAAATTAAGATACTGGGATTTAGTTTGTTCAGGCTTAATCTCTCCTTGCTGGTTCTAGAGGGCCTGACTGACTGACTGCATGACTGTCACTTGTGACTCAAATTAAGACAATGGTCATTGGCTGTAGACTGGTGAACAGATCGACTCAGGCAGCATCATACAGCACTCAACACAATTAGGCTAAATCTGGCCCAATTTGCAGTAACGCATGAACATACAATTGTCAACCATTCTGAATCAACCAAGTAGAATTGTGTGCACTCTGTACAGCCCAATGTTTTCATTGTACACATACCTATCCTGCTAACTGGTTACTGTCACTTCACTTAGACTGGTCTAGTTAACTATAAAGGCTTAATTGTCTAGTCTTCTTTGAAGGAACACACGTACCTTTTCCCTTAAAACTTGTTGGAGTTGGTGGCACATTTAACATGGCAGGGTTGTCACTCATGTCATTTGCACTGAATACCAGCCATCCGGGTCTCATAAAACATTCTCAGAATCTTGTCCATTCCAGCCAGGTACAGACTCCCGTACGATCATTACATCTCCATCTCTGCCGTGTCTGCAAAAGAAACATCAAACGTTGAATTTAACACTTTGCTTCCAAAAGTACTCTGAAGTTTGTGAGGTGTTTGCCTCATTTCAAAACTCCAGGTGGAGGACATTTTAAACAATCAATTACAACAGGTAGTGGAACACTTTGTGTTCCATCCATGTGCCATTGTACGTGGGTTCGAAGCCTGCTTGTGTTCTTGGACAAGACACTTTACTACAATAGCTCCAATTGGTCAATTCGCAGTGGGGGTTGGGGGGTTGACCCCTAGCCCCACCCACTGATCTCTATATAAAGACTGGATAGCGGATATGCATACAACATTCACACAGTAGACTTTGCATATTAACCAATTCGCCCCCGGTCTCACGAAGATGGCCGCGTATAATACGAACGTTCTACGCGTAAATACGCGCGCGTTGTATCAACAGTTTACGTGCATTTTGGTCACGTACCCATATTATGATGTCCTAAAAGGGACACATTTCCGTAGTGATTATTATTTCAAAAACGCTGAAAAAGTGATTTGCGGCATTTTAGAAAGTAACCACGACGTTAGAAAAATTGTAGTAAACCTTGGTCAGTGGGGGTGGTCAAAATATGTCAAGTGAACCTTGACGTTACAAAAGAAATCATGCTGTCTATAAAGACGGCAACTTGTCCTTTGTAGATCACCAGCCGGTCTCACCAATATGGTGTTAAATTCATTCATTGTGCGGCTCTTTATTTATAGCTATCCAGTCTTTATATAGAGATCAGTGGCCCCACCCCCTACTGACTGTCGGAGTCACAAAAGTAAAAGTGGCCATTTACCATTATTGACCATGCAGCACAGCCAAGAAACAAGCTTCCACAACAGGCTTGCTCAATTGTGTGCAGATACAGGCAGCTATCCAGCTTGGTAGTTTCTTCTGGTCCCATGACTGTATAGGTTGGTCATCACAAAGACAGCTTTCAGTAGAAATTCTAGGATTCTGCAGTAATGGGGAGTTGGGGGAAAAAGGTGACATTTCATTTAGAATCACTCTTTTAAGTTCTAAACTAGCACAAATACCAATATTTGTCTTCTCTTGAACGACTTGTACTGGTCGCTTCTACCAGGCCATCAGCATGGGGGTTTGGTCAGTATCAAATCAGTACATAAATGACAATAGTGCGCATGCGCAAGGCATACCGCCCCTAGAGTGGTAACAAGCATTTCGATGGACATTTTGAAGAAAAAAAAAAAGGATAACACCTAAACAGCTGCCACCGCTGCAATGCTATCACATATTTTCCAATTCTGGAGGTGTATACCTTGCCAAAAAATTGCTATGAAGATTATTCCCCTCATTTGATACCGCGGTGGCCAAGATTTTGGACCAAGGCTGATGGCCTATACAGCATGAACCCTAGCCCTCTTCAATCCTCAAGAATCCTATTGGCAGTTTTGAAGGATTTTGGAGGATTGAGGATGAATGGTGTTTGAAGAAGAAGACTAGTTTCAAGAGACAAACAAAGCAGATGAATGCCTACAAATGGGGAACGTGGTCATTGAATCTGCATTTTGCAATTTTTCAACTCAAAGAGAAGATGGATTTGTTCGCAGAAATGTTGGAGCACACAAAACATCTTAACCCTAACCCACCTCACTCCTCCAAAATCCTCCTGGCGGTTTTGGAGGATTCTAGAGGATTGAGGATGAATGGTGATTGAATCAAATGAGGATTCTGGAGGATTGAGGATGAATGGTGATTGAAGCACATGAGGATTTTGGAGGATTGAGGATGAATGGTGATTGAAGCACAAGAGGATTTTGGAGGATTGAGGATGAATGCATTTCGAGGCAGGACTGTCTGATGATTTTGAAGGATTTGGCGTTGGTTTATCCTTCATTTAAACATGAGTGCAAAATTTTGGGATGAGGAGGATTTTTGAGGATTGAGGATGAATGCATTTTGAGGCAGGACTGTCTGACAATTTTGAAAAATTTAGGCGGAGTTGCAAAATTTTGGAGGATTTTGGAGGATTGAGGATGGTTGTAAGCAACAAGGGCCTAGGGGGTTAGGGTTAAACCATGCTGCCGTTCATAAAAACAATCAAACTTTTGCATCTACCTTAGAACAAGAACTTTTCTCTGATTTTGTTGGTCCCCAGCTATGATTTAGGCCGAGGGAATGAAAGTCATAGAATACCGTCCACCGCCCGCATGTGCCGAAAGGTGCCGCCAAAATTTTTCATTATTTACAAAAAAAATCATTATTTATTTACCCAGAATATTAATTTGCCACAACAGTTTACTTTTATTTTTTAATTTGGCAGTGGATATTTTGCCGGAGACGGCAAACCTTTAGTAAACGTTAGTTTGCCGGATATGCACTGAACATGCGCAGTTACTGTTTTTTGTACAAATTTTAGTCTGGCTCATGTTAATATTATCGTTGTAATTGTGTATTTACAAGATGGGAATCAGACCATTTTTTTAACACTTTATTTCCCTAAAAAAAAAAATCCTCCAGAGCGACAAATCTGAAAAAGAAAAACTAATACTCATAAGCAATAAAATGTTTGAGACATGTTAAAATAATAAAAGAAGAATATTGTTATTTATTTGGGGATGGGGAAAAAAGTCAGGAATGTGGCGGGGATCAGGATTCGATCCCGCAGCATTCCGCTCATTAGACATGCTAGAGCCGTTGCTTAACCACTTCACCAAATGTGCTTCACAACTTTTGGTGGGAATTTAATATGTATCTTATAATTCAGCCCTATCTTAAAGAGTACGTACAGCGCCCTCTGTTGATATGGATTGCCGCTGGCAAACCTTTAGTAAACGTTAGTTTGCTGGCCTTACCTCCGGCAAAATATACAATATCAATAAATAATGAAAAAAAAGCCTCATCATGCTCATTGTTTTACAAATTCAGCAGAATGAATGACTTCCCTTCCCTCGGCCTTACCATGCGTGTGGTGACCTCTCGAAACAAAATTGTTAAATGTGAGACTGCATGATGCGCGCGTGCGCGCACTACAGGGGGGGGGGGCACGGTCAACGGTGCAGTTGACAATGACATGGTTGAAATAGCGAAAAGGCAAGTTTAGTAGTCATGGTAGTACTAGTAGGCCTAGGCATGGGCGTCGCGAGGGGGGGGGCAAGGGGGGCACTTGCCCCCCCCCCCCCCCCCCCCCCGAAAAGCAACCAAAAAAAAAAAAAAAAAAAGGAAGAAAAAAAAGAATAGAAAAAAAAGAAAAAGAGGCGCGAAGACAAAGTGGTGTAAATTTAATGAGTTGGGGGGGGGGGGCAAAATGTCCCAGCCCCCCTCTAAAACTGATAAATTGAGAATGTGTTGAGAAATACAAGCATTTTTTTTGGCAAAAACGTTGGCACAATTGCAGAATACCCCGCCACTCGATCTATCCACCTCGTAGCCGGCTACGAGGTCATGGCTGATTGACTTCAATAAACATTCTCAGCGCTACTTGTATGTACTATGCGTCATGCTCCATTGCACTCCCACCTCGTGACCGCGTAGCCGCCAACAGGGTAGTTGGTTTGGACTTAGAATTTTTTCAGCAACTCCCATTCCTTTCGTGTTGCTTCGTTCTCAAGCATATTCAAGGGGACTCCCACTCCGTAGCCTCGTAGCCGCCAACAGGGTGGTTGGTTTGGACTTGAATTTTTTTCAGCAACTCCCATTCATTTTGTGTTGCTTCGTTCTCAAATAATGGACCCCCACTCAGTATCCGCGTAGCTGGCAATGGACTTGAATTGTTTCTTTTGCAGTGATTCCAACCTCGTAGCCAGTGATTTTTTTTAGGGGTGTATTTCCGAGTGGCGGGGTATTCTGCAATTACTCCAAAAAATTTTTTACCCCCCTCTAGAAAAAATCCTGGCGACGCCCATGGGCCTAGGCTAGCCTATTCGCAAAGGTTAAACATTCATTTCGGCCTTTGTTGTAGCTGGAGTTACCCAGCCCTGAATTTTATCATTGGGTTGTCATGTACAACTACAACATGACAACCCAATGATAAAATTCAGGGCTGGGAGCCTGGGTAACTCTAGCCCCATAAATGTGGCCTCTTTACTGGACTGCCTCCGTAAACATAGGCCACACATCCACATGTACAAAAATCGTGTCGACGGAGCCAACTTTTGATTTTCACATTTAGGCTTAGTTTGTAGGTTTTTTTTGCTTTAGAAGCATACTCACCCTCTTTATAGGCTAATTAGAAAGTGCTGCCTTTTTCAGATGTATATTTTTCGTGAAATTTCCAGATTCATTTTTACACATTTGCGTATCAAAATTTCAACATGAAATTTCACAAAAATTAGACATCTGAAAAAGGCAGCACTTTCTGATTAGCCTGTAAAGAGGGTGAGTATGCTTCTAAAGCAAAAAAAACCTACAAACTAAGCCTAAATGTGAAAATCAAAATTTAGCTCCGTCGACACGATTTTTGTACATGTGGATGTGTGGCCTATGTTTACGGAGGCAGTCCAGTAAATAGGCCACATTTATGGGGCTAGGGTAACTCCAGCTACCTTTGTTGTACTTATTTTGTACTTACTACAGTTTGCTCAACAACCTGTCTTGCTGAGCAACAGCTACTGTTGTTGTAAGCATTCCAGTCCACCTTCGAAACTGAAACTTTTATTATCGATAAGACGATAGGCAAACATTCCCAGTAAATTCCAAGAGCTAGAGCATGCAGCATCATACTAAATTCCTGGTTCGCAAGCGCGCGCTCGCGATCGCAAAGAGAGTCATGTGTGAAACAGCGCCCTCTTGTTTTTACATTTATTTATTCTCACGCGCGAATAATATGCTACGGTGGCCCCACACTAACATCTTATTTCACGTGCAATTAAGTATGCAAAATATGATAATGTCCGCGAATTTATACTGTTATGCTTTGTCAATTTGGTGATGATGTATGCATTTGAACCACCGGTTCCGCTGACAAGACTAAATATGTAAAATGGAGCCAAGAAAATGAAACGTTAAAGTTCCTCAATATTTTATTTCAATTAGGCCTAGTATGCCTACTATTTATAGCCCTATAGCCTCAGTATACATGCCTATCCCTGTATCGCCCGAAACCGCCCGAGCCCTCATACAATGGTTTTACGGCTTCATCAGTGAAAATAGACAATTTAACAATGTCATACAACTGCTGTCCCAATGAGTGCAAATTTGATTCTAATACAGCTGATGAGTCAAAAAAAACTATTGATTTAGTGGAGTTCTGCATGTAACACTTTCAAAATCTAAGATATGAAAGCCCAATTAATAAGCTTTTTCTTTTTAGTACAAGAACTATTCAAATCACTCATGGCTTCTGAAGTCATGGAATTTTTAACACAACCACCGTTTTAAAGTTCTATCCACGGATCACAAGAAGGTAAGTGTTCTTTCAGCAAAACGAAAACAAATCACACTATAGCGGATGTGTGTGAATTGTTCTTGTTTTGCTGAACGCACCCCTTTTTCTGTGATCAGTGCAAAGAACTTTAAAATGGTGGTTGTGTTTAAAATTCCGTAACTTAAAAAGTACTTGAGTGATTTGAATGATTCTTGTACTAAAAGAAAGCTTATGAATTGGGCTTTCAAATCCTAGATTTTAAAAGTGCTACATGCAGAACTCTACTAAACAATGGTCCGGAGATTTGGGTATCGTTTTTTTTTACTCACCCTATACAGAAAGGCTTTTATCATTGAAAAGCTGCCATTTTTATTGCTTCGTTAAGTTTCGTTGACAGATCTCTCTCCTCAGATAAATTGGCTTCAAGTTCAAGGCGAGTGAACAAAGCATAACTATTGAAAGGGTCATGCAATGTACTTTTTGTTTTTCAATTTTCGTTTTGTCATTTTCAAGGGCATTTTGGTTTTTATGCTTCAAATCAATGCGAATTGCCATATTCATGAGCAAAAATATGTGATCAGTTGTGGCGGAAACCTCAATGTTACAACTAGTTCAGCACCATAGTTGCCAGAATTTTGATTTGCTCAGTGTCATAAATTCTATTTTCTTTGGTTATTTATTGTGTCGGTAGAAATTAGGCAAACTTTTCTCGCAATTGTTTTCACTGATGAGCACATGTAATCTGAATGAAAACCCCTCAAACGAAATCACAGCAACAGCGCCCTGAGTTGTCCAGAAACGCATGGGCAATTTTGAAATGTTTAAAAGATTGCCCTTTTCAATAATTTATCCAAAAATTTGGCTGTCATAAAGTTTCCATATACTTTTAAGAGAAGAAAGTTTCACAAATTGTGTTCCTAAAAAAATTATCTCGTGTGGACCCTTGAATAAAAAAAGCAGAAATTACAGTTATCGTCCATGTGTAAATCTTTGTTCTTAATTAGAATGATGGAAAGTCCATGCATGGTATAGGCCCACAATTAGGAATTGTCATTAAATTAATCATCATTTTGGTGATTGTTTTACAAGAAATCGAAAGCGGGTACAAGTTGCTCTAGGCCCTACTTTCTTACATTACACAGTAACACACCGATACAATATGTTTGTGCAAACTGTTACGCTTCCTATTCATTTCCATTGTCAAGATTATGTTAAATATTACCGCCTGGTATATGCATGACTTTATGAATTTGTTTTCTTGGGAACAAAATGTGAAAGGCCGCGATTTTCTTGGTAGATAAATATTTTGCTATCCAGGCTGCTATTTTCCTCACTGCAGGTTCTAACAAGGTTTGTTGAACTTCCCCCTCTGCAGGTTGTTTCCGACCTCCGGTGACAGGCGAGTGGCGATGAAGCTCGTGCAGGAGTCGGTCGCAATGCGGTAATCATTTTGCGGTTGTCCCAATGGACCTGGGAAAACGAGAAAGCAATAAACATACCTTCAATTCCAGACGAACTGTAAATGAAATTATATAACTGACATACAGATCCTAGTCATTTGATTGGTGGAACTCACATCACATGGCATTCGTTATTGCTCCCATTCACGCCGCGGCTCAAAAAGTACTATCCGCCCATGGGGAATGGGAAATACTATAGACCGCTTGCAGACGCGTTCGATACGCGCTAAGGTGAGCGACGCCATGTTATGGGACAAAATGTGCGTGGATAGATATGCGCGTGTCCCACAACATGGCGTCGCGCGCCTTCGCGCTTCGATTATCGAACGCGTCGATCTGCAAGCGGTCTATTCAACAGTTAGGATCATGACGCGGTATTTGTGTGCAAATGAATGCTGGTGTGCGCGTTCAGCGTTGCGCGTAGCGCGTATTGTTCCAAAGAGCCAGCGCTACAGCGTTAGGTTCAAACATTTTCGTAATGGGGTGGTTTGGAAGAGAGAGATAGATTTTCCTTCAGTTTGTATTGAAAAAAAAAAGGTTCAAATATATCAAATGACAAGGATCTAGATGTCAGTTATATAAAACAAATATTGAGTGGCTTTAAATTGTGAAATGGGAGGAATATTATCGCGAGGTAAAATCTGGACTTGTCCAGTTCACTCGGCTTCGCCTCGTGAAATGGAAAAGTCCAGATTTTACCTCGCGATAATATTCCTCCCATTCCACGCTGAGCCACTCAATATCATGTATACTATTTTTGAGCTCGCCCTAAAACAGATTTTGGTTCATTGCCGTCTTTTCTAGCAATACAAAAGTTATCCACTAGAGCCTCAGTACAAAAAAAAATAATAATAATAACAATGTAAAAAAGAATCAACCCACGTTTAATTATAGGGATTATTTCTTTACAGATTTGGATTTATTCGCCATCAGTAACTCTGTTCGCAGGACAGACTGATTCCTGTACCAATTAATAAGAATCGAAAATACGCCCGGGGATCCAGTACACTCGCAAGGAGGGTCGATTGTTTGCAAAAGCAACCTAGCTCGATCAGAGAGGCTAATTTTGTTGAAGAGCACGCACATTACATCTTTCATGTACGTGGGTTTTCCCAGGTGTACTCACTGATCCGGAAGGAGAGGAAGACCCAGAATTAACAAGATTGATCGAGAGAATAATGTCCATCATGTCGTGTACGGGACCGCCGGACCAACCGATCAACCAATAACCATACACAGACATATCATGAGGCCTAGTCGTATAGTTTAGGACACCTCTATGTTTAACAAGTTCCGTTCACTAATCAAAACACCGTCCTCTTTCCACAAAATGAAGATAGCTGCTGTTATAGAACATGGTATCTTAACTACATTTCCTGCTTACCATAGCCAAATTTAGGTATTAACTCCCAATACATGATATGATGTCTTTTCATGGGAAACGGGGTCCTTAACTACACCATTGCCGAACTTTTCTTGAAGTTTCTCACCTGTTGCAAACCACGCGTTAAAATGTACAGGCATCTTCACCACTGGGCAGATGTACTCGTGAAGTGTGGTACGGATGTTCACTGTACTACCCTCAGACACGAGTCCGCTGTGCTCCGTGCGGTAGACGCCCATGACTTCCACAGCATAGTCCACGTAGTCTTCCTGGCTGTTCTTATTGACGTGCCTCACAATGCCGCGGAAAACTTGTGGAGTGTAAAATAAGGTTGTATCTCAATAAGTATCTGCACTGTAAATACTGCAGTGTTAAATTTACACTGTTGGTATCTATATAGGACCATCTGGTGTTAAATTTTACTGGTGTTGTCCTATATAGATACCGAATGGTGTTAAATTAACACTACAGTTTTTGCAGTGTGGGACAAGTTGCGGGACAAGTTGCAGAATTCTGCACATCTTCGCTTGGATTTTGCACTCAGTGAAGTTATCAACATTATAACAATGCTGATTTCTTTAAAAGTGTGTACATTGTGCTCGATCGATATTCCAAGTGCGCCGGCGACCCCGATCCCTTTTCCGTCAGATTGTTTTAATTAAAATAGAGGAGACATGGCCAGCGCGACAATCAAGGGAAGGTTACTGTATGAGCAATGCATAATTCATTGCGCAATATAAAGTGCATGTCGCGCGCGCGCACGTGCATCAGTGACGATACCGGCTCATGAATGTCTACAAACAAAAATGAACCCGAGGGGTCAAAGGTCGGCAGCCTTTACATGGGAAAATGAGGAAGCCCTTAATTACACCATTCAAATCAATGCAAAGCCATGCACAGCCAAACACTATGCCCCTCTGACAAGAACCACATTTCATGTTTGTATAAGACGATAAATGTGATAAATAAGGCCATGCATTATTTATCACATTTATCGTCTTTATATACAAACATGAAATGTGGTTCTTGTCAGAGGGGCATAGTGTTTGGCTATAGATTATCAGGGTTAATAGTTCAACCCTGAGGACTAAATTACAGGGCCACTCACCACGCTATTTAGCCATGCTTGAATGAGCAACTGGTGAAATATGTAGGTTGTGACAGACCATTTTCGGAGTACACGCCAGTAAAACAAAGATGGGAAACTGACTATTTTTAAGCCCAATCCCATTTAATATTGTTGATGTACCCTAACGCGGCGCGGCCCCTAACGTGGCGCACTTTGATTTTTCGCCTGTAGCGCCTAGCTAGAGCAAAAGTTTTAACTGAAATTTCACAGAAAATTAAATTTCATCAAGTTCTAAACACTCCCGTTCATAAATTGCGAGTTTATTTACCAACTACAAAGTTAAAAGAAAAAATTATTTTGGCATGATTTTCCGATTTTATTTTCAAGTGCAAAGTGAAACCTTTGAAAATGCCCCGAAAAATAAGAAAATAAGTTTCTGACAAACATCTGGCTGGGTATGTAAATAGAAATAATAATGATTTATCAGAATTGATCAAGTTAACAGAAATTCTTAAAATGTTAATTTGGAATTTTCCGAGATTTATTTAAGTGCGCCACGTTAGGAACAACTCTGCCAATTTGTGCCCAATTCCGGACGCCACCGTTTTTTAATTTCGGCTTAAATTTTATGAAACCGAAATTGTTCACGGAGGTTAAATAGCAAGCATTAATAAGGTAAAAGTACCAGTATTTTACTGCATGAATTTGAGGTTTGTCAACAAAGAGGTTTGGCAACACTACACCAGGAAAGTTGGGTGAGCTTCGAAGTGCGCCACGTTAGGGAACACGACTATACACACATGAAATAACTACTCAACTGTTAAAAAAACGGGAGTCACAGAGGGCGCGATCAACATCGGGCCACTGACAGGTGTATGAGCAACTCTTAGATGATGCGAGACAGACAAGGCTCAGGACCACCGCCGAGATCAACAGTGCAGATTTGGCCATCATTCTGCTGCAGGATTGTTTTTGGATCCGGAGTGAGCTGAAACAAGACCTCAAAATCTAGAAAGATCGGAAGGTACAGAAAAAGAACACAAGACGAGTCTAGAAAAGCTCAGTCCCGGAGCACACACAATTAAATTTAATTGTTCAACATTGGATATTCACGCACAGGAAGTATTTTCATGCATTTTTGGTCAACACGCATTTTAACCTATTCATTTGCGTTACGGGGATACTACACACAATAGCACTGTCCGGCTCCTTAGTCAGTCACAAATTACGATTTTAGAGTCAAAATCTCAGGCAAGCAACATTGGAGCGAAACCATTAACACTTGAAGTGAAAACCATTAACACTTGAAGTGAAAACCAAACTAATATAAAACAGTTTAAATTGCTTTATTGGTAGACAACACAAACCACAGTTACTTTGTTAAAAAAAATGCAACTAATAAACTGGTCCAAGGTCCCTTTTTGGCTTTTCTGCCAGTTTCACAAGGGGGAGTAAGTCGGTCAGTCAGCGAGACAGGTGATACACTTGTCAGTGCCTTAATTGCCATCTATAATAGTAGAGGGGTAGGGGATATGGAGGGATTGTGCCTTTGATGATACAAGCATAGAATTTGGCACACAGTCAGAGTATGTCGATTGGAAAGATATTTGGCTATAGGGCATCGCAGATTTGTCCTTTTGAAGAAATTTAGGTAGAAAAACAAGTTTGGCTGCCATTGCTTGTTATTCTATATTATTTTTTTCAAAAGCCAAATCTGCGATGGCCCTATATAGCCAAATATCTTTCTCACCACGTGCCAAATGTCATGCTTGTATAATCAAAAGCACATCCCATCATGAACCTATCTGCCGTACACTATAGGACAGCAGGCCAAAACGTTTGAAAGGACGTACTCTACTTTACCTGGCAAAGCTGGTGAAAAGACGATGCCACTTGTAGTTTCTTCGAACAGACAAACTCTCTTAGCGTTTTCGAGTCATTTATATAGAACTAATGTGCCACAAACACCAGATGGGAAATAAATTCCGCAAGGAATTGACACCTCACACTGGCATAAACAGATTGTTCATTGCCTGTATACTCGTTATGATTTCAGTTTCATTTGATAGGTTATGCGAGACGGCACATACCTATCAATTTCACAGAAAAGTGCCGATCGCGACAAATTGATGACTGCAAATGTTGGGCTTCACACGCAGCCGACAAATCAAAATTTGATTTTGTTGTAAACCAATTACTGGAGTTAAACGTGATACTGCCGGTCGCGCGTGCTTGAACATCACTCCCAATTTAGTGGGACTTAGATAACAAAATTATAACCAAGTTCCACTTTGTCCATTAAAAAATCCAGAGTTATACATTTCGTAATTCATCAGCAAAATGAATGTTACGTGACTGCCCTTTTAACTTGCTGATGGGAAAGGAAATAATTATTAACATAAGAGCCTGTATTGAAGGACCTAACATATGCGGCAAAACCCGTTATACATATCATACATAGTGTATTATCTTCAAGCAAACTTGATTCCTCGATCCTGATTGGTCGATCCATGGCAACAAGCCGTGCTACATATAACCATACCGCACGACCACGGTCCATAGCGCACTCCGCGTATTGCGCTATTCTAAGCCTACGTGACGCGATTAGTGCTGCACAATTCACTGTGAATTCAAAAGTTGCGCGTAGGTTACACAGCATGCGTGTTCCAACTTTACTGTGCGTCAAGTTTGCTTGAAGATAAATTCGTTATCACGCTCGCGCTTGTGGAACACGGAAAATGTAGTGCGTCTGTGTCCCACATACCACTCGGCCTTCGGCCTCGTGGCATGTGGGACACAGACGCACTACATTATTCCGTGTTCCACTCGCGCTCGCAAGATAACTAATAATATCCAGTTCGCAAAATAATTTCCCCTCGAGGCTGTAGAGACGTTAAATAAACGTTCAAGTATTGTTTACAACGTCCGCGTGACGGACTTGTGTAGAGTGTTTTTAAACGTCGTGGTGAGGACCGTTGTTTCGTGACGTTGTACAAGTGTTTATATAACGACGTACTTAATGACGTCGAAGCAACACTCAGGTATAATATCCTATACAACGTTTCAATTTAACGTTATAACGATTTGTTTTGAAAAGCATTCACAGAAACGTTAAGTAACTTTGTTCAATGATAGTGCAGAAAATTAATGAAGACATCAAATAACAAAGTGTTCCTATAGAATTGCTGTCATAATTCAAATTTTTCGATTAATTAATGCTTTCTGTTCTTCAAAGATACATTAAAATGTGAATTTACTCTAACATGTAGGAAACAAAATTAAGGTGATCTTAGCTAACACGTTTCAAATTAACCGTACTACAGTTAAACGAGAAACTGTAAGAACTTGATATAACTAAATTGTAAATTCAACTGAGTTGAGTTGAAACTTTCACAAATTTAAGTAACTTACAGAATAAGTGAGTTACAAACTAACGTTGCATGCAAAGGTGCAGAGCGGTTTTGTAAATACATGTACACATATTGATTATAAGTTCAAGTCACTACATTTTTGGTTCACTACAACATCAAACTGGACACATCTTCACCAAGAAGCACTATCATGAAGTTGTACCAATGTAGGGTTACACTCAGTGGTGTTACGAAAGGGGCAGGGGATTAAGTTTCATTACCCCTTTCCCAAGACACCCCCCCTTCCAAAAAAATAAATAACGTTAAAACTTAAAACAAGAAGAAACAAAGTGGCGAGAAAGACACTTAATAGCCAGATCTTATTTCACAGTAGGAAGGGACCTTTCAGACTGTACATATAATTATGTTGGGCAACACGTATACATGTGTTGTATTAACACTGTCTGTCTCAATTACACGTCGATGTCTAACACCCGCACCACTCCCAAACCGCCCCGATGTGGGTGACGCCAGCCCTAATGGCAGACACAGAAAGTTGGTAGTACACTGTGTGATTAATGGACCGATCCATAAGCACCGCCCCATGGTATTCTGACCAATCACAGCCGTGATTTATGTCCGACATGCGTGCACACAAAAATCCGACATGCGTGCACGCGCGTATGATGCGCGCGCGGCAGGAAAATGCACTGTGGCATTGGGGAGGAGCAGTGTTGATTTGCCCACGTGCGCAGTGGGAGGGGCTTACTTGGTTCGGTCCATTATAACGCATGTTGAAGTCATCGCGCCCGTTACCGTGGTGACACCCAATACAGGTAACCTAGTAACCTAAATTGCACTCTTGGCACAGTGCCAACGTGCTTGCCTCGTAGTTGTTGCCCCTGATTTCATTTCAATGGTTTTCAATACAATGTCCCTGAAATGATTCATCATCAGTGTTAATTAAATGTCAAATGACATCTTGCACCAAATGCAATGTCACATATTGTTAGAAAATTGGTTTTAAGTGTGTTACAGTTGTACCGACCTTCAATGACTGGTCTAGTCTCACATTATTTACACAATTTTCGGTTTGCTGGACGTGTGCCTGTACATGACCTAGCTATTGAGCTTATGCATATCATATGCAAAGTATACAGTATTGTCGATTGAGGGTGATATTACTGATGATACAGTAATTATAACAAGAAATAGAAACCTGGAACGGTTTTGGATGCATACAATGCAAAATCAGAATGAGGGGAGGTGTTTATGTCTCAGATAATCAAAAAGCTCTTTATAAGATATAAAGGTCAACGTCACACTTTCATTCTAGTCACTTGGAATGGTCGACAAGGTATCACAACTGCTTGAAGCATTCTGATCACATGGTTTGGTAGACCCGCCCCCATGCACAGCGTCTACTGCGCGAAGGGGAACGTCGTTGGCGGATTTACCGGATCCAAGATGGCGGCCGATGAAACCCCAGCAACCGGTGCGCACGCGCTTCAGCTTCTCTCGCCAGAGTTTGCGCACGCTGGCCTTCAGGAGGAAGGTGAGGGCGATGAGGGCGCCCTGGAGGGAGTTGAAGAGGACCGAGATGTACCACACGGCGGGCTCCCTGACCAGGTTGGCCACGAAGAAAAAGATCCATGTTACTCCAGTAACAATGGCGAGCTGGCAAGAAAAAAACAGTCAAAGACTATATAACCTGTTATGCAAAAAAACAAAAGCAAGATTTCCGACTTGATCATTATTCTTTCTGGTTGTTGAATCTTATGCAAATTTGCAAATAAGATTTGAAATTGTGCATGGCGTTGGTGTGAGTGAGAGTTTGCAGTATGTGCATAATCTCTTTTGAGAAGAGGTGTGTTTCTGAAATCAACCGGCTGGTGTGCAACTCGACTATCCGTATGCGTCTGATCAGAGCATTCTGATCGGAGCGTCAACTTTCACAAGCAACCTGTCCTTTTCAGAAACACATACATCTGCACGAAAAGGATTCTGCATGATGTTAAAGGTAAAGTCCATCATTTGTAATTTGTGCATTTTGCTCGTTTGAAGCAACAAACGTGCTCAAAATCTAAAGAAGGGTGCTGAACAACTAACCTGATGAAGTTTCAGCTCAGCTTCAGCTGTATATTTCGTCGGAAAAACAGCATTCTAGAATCTCGATTTCAAATTAAAAGTTGCTGAATCATGTTTTGAATTGGGCCTGAATTCAGCGTCCTGATTGCAGCTACGCGATGTCGCGCACCGATCCGACGAATTATAGCAACGCGTGTGAGTCGTGTCAACGCTTGCACGTGCCTCGCCGAATAAAAAAAACCGATTTACTAACGGAAATTTCCAAGACGCGCCGTTGGAAAGGCCTTCTTTCGTTGATTTCTTCAAAATTGCAGTTTGCCAGAAATAATAATTTCACAGCGAGTTTAGTCCCGGCCCTTACTGTCAACCAAGTATGTTTTTCAACAATAATTACTTTTTGGATAGCTGCAAATGGTGGACTATAGCTTTAAAGCAAACCGATCACTTCAAAGACTAAATCTAAGTAACATTCTACCCATCACCGATATTGATTGATGACATTCATATAAGGCTTTCGTGGTGTCCTGTATCCTTACCTTGAAGCAAAGCAAGATGGTTGTCTTGGTTTTCTGCGCCAATCGTGCGACGACAAGTCTTCGATGGTTGGCAATCACGATGCATACCATGTAGACGAACATCGCCAAATTGACTATGATTGCCACAGAAATCGAAAGACCGAATGCCGCAGAGGTTATCCATCCCACGATCCAGCAGCTGCTGCCACCGTACCCGAACCACTCCGGACGGAATTGTGACGCTAAGAAGCAAGACACCACGATGACAGCCGGTAAACCCCAAGCAAAGGCCGACAGCTTGAGGACCTTCCAGCCCTCCGACCCACCCCGTCTCGACGGGCGTGCGGGCCTCACATTGCACTTGAGATTGTAGGCCAAGTCACAGGACAAGACGTTCATCCAGAAGAAGACAGACAGCCAACAGAAATGCAGCATCAAAGCTCGCAGGACACAAAACCAAGATTTGGGATCCGTGAACATGAGGAACAGCTGGGCCATCAAGAGCGCCCCCATGAGATTCATAACGATCTTACCAGGCGTGTTGCGCAGGCTCGGGAATACACCATACGTCACAAGGGCTAGGATAAGACCAAGTACTGAACAACAAGTACCTACATAACTGACATAGCCCAGAACGTGATACCACACTATCTGGCACACTCGCACTGTGCCATCTGGTAGCAGCCAGTACTCGCCAACAAGGAAGGGAACACCAGTCTCAGCGTGGATGAGGGCGCCACCATCCGTTGACTGGAAGAAATCGTCTGGATACAAAGTGAGGAGAGAGCAACGACGACTTCCAACAAATGGATTGCATAGCGTGACAGACTGACGTCTGATGACGCTGGCCTCGTTGATGTCAAAGAAGTACTCCGTTTCGTGCATGAACTCGTGCTGGTCGTAAACAAATCCACCAATGTTCACACTGAAAACGCCGTCCAACACTAACAGGTCTGAGAAGCTGATATTGCCAAAGCTGAATCCTTCGCATATTCCCTTCTTGTTGGTTTCAGATTCACCTGAAGCTACCAGTATCATCAGAGACGCGTTACATGACAGAGAAGCGAAGCTGTTCGTGTCTGTGACGTTAGATAGAATCGGGTCAAGAGACTTTTGAATGCGATCAGCTGAAGCGAAACTCGTGTAGATGTTGAGAATGTGGCGTGGGCTGTCTGAACCTTCATCTGCGATGTCTGCACTCGTCCAAAGGTCTGTGCTGGTAGACATCTCGCTGCTGTTCATAGCAATCAAGTTTTCTATGCAATCCTCCGACAGATTGGACGATCCTCCTAATGCCTTCCTTTGACGTGCGTCCAAACACGCGCCTGATGATGATTGAGGAGGTTGCCCATTAGGGCAAGTCAAATCTTGGCAGACGTCTTGGAAAGGATCGTAGATTTGCCATTGGCTGCAGTTTCTCAACAATTGAGGAGAGGATGTGATCCCATTGAATAGACCCTTTCTCTCCACACTGTGTACCGTACGACCCGTGAAGTCAAAAATGAGGGTGAAGGAAACAGCAGCGTTGAATCTGTTGTCACGTAATACTTGTGTGCATCTTAGATCCTGAATATTGGAGACGTCAGTCGATCTGCTGCAATTCCAGCAGTGGACGTTCTTGTAGACGACATCTACGTCCTGGTTGAACAGCAGGGAGGTGTGGTTTTCACAGAGTTGCATTTGTTCGGCAGTTGTAGTCGAGCTGAGAGTGCATCTGTTGACGAAACTGGAGTAGCATCGGTGAGGGTCGTACAGCATTGAGGGAGGTTCCATGTGGAAATTCGAACAGGTGGTGTAATCTGGTTTGCCGCCGTTTAGGACCGGTTGAGTCTCCCCTTCAGCAGGCTCACAGTTCCAAAGTTCCACAGTCCAAGAACGAATGTCATATTCCTCGATCCCATGGCAGATGGTGCAGTACACGTTTTTGAAGACAATGTCACCAGGACCGTTGACAAACAGAGTTAGGAGTTTCTCCTGCCTCGACAATATTGTGCTCTCACATCGACTCTTGATGGCGCCCTGAGCCCAATCCGGGGGGCACCGATCGACCACTACAAAGCGTTTGTTCATGGGATCAATATCGATGGGGGAGACGCAGCCGAGGTATTCGGAGTATTCGGAGTGGAGTATCGGTCTGTTGCGAGACTCCGAGGATGACTCATTGACGCAGTTGGTCCAGTAGTCTTCACAGCAGTCATCGTAGAGGGCGCACTGTGGGTCACATCGGCACAACTCTCTGGGTGTGCCAGGTATCACATTTTCTTTATCCAGGCAGCCAACTGAACAGCGTGTCCTCGATTCAGGACAAACAAGACTGCTACCTGAAATGTTTGACAAAATTAAATGACATTGAAGACATGAAACTGTAAACCGGCTCAGCTCCGAGCGCCAACAAAATTAAGAGGGTGCATTGTTACCACTTTTGAGAACCCGTGGACGAGTCACACAGCGTGTGCGGACTGTAATAATTTATAATGTAATAATAAATAATTTGGTCAATAATTTGGTCGTGCGCGAAATACGTACGACTTTCTGAATGTGTCAAAGTCACAGCGTCCTCGCGTGAGCGCCAGGTGTCGTCGGCACGCGAATACGTTCGACTTCAATTTGCGATGGTCTCCCAGGCTTATCCCCGCCCCAATAACTTCGGATCATTCGAAATACGCAGTGGTGGACCAGGAACCAGTCTATAGGTTCAAACTCTCCTTTTCTGGCCGTTGATGGGGTACTTGTGCACGGAGCTCATAGCGGCAGAAATAGCAGCTGCAACAACTCTTAAGGTCATGAATGTTTGGCAGATTATTAAAGAAACGACTTGATAATTACGGCATTGCGAACAGCAACAACAACAGAATGAGCCTGATGTGTTGAAATGAAAGCGTTTAAAGGATTAAAAAATTAACTCGGACCAAAATGTCAAAAACAATGAATGGAGAATTACAATGATTTTCATTGGAAGGGGTAAGGGGGGTGTGGTTCCCCACCCCAAACCGTTCCTTTCAATCCTCCGGCCGGCACTTACACACTCCCCATATAACAATGTAACTAAGATATACTAAGAATAGTGCCGTCTCGTAAACGTTACAACCTATTGTAATAATATTCAACTTTTTTTTCATCACAGCAGAGAATAATTGGCTGCACAGGAGAAAAGTCCAATATCAAACAATTTTCTTTTCTAATAACTCTCCGTGTAGACACAATGCTTCCCGGCCAAAGGTTTGGATATAGTATTTATTTGGCAAAAAAAAAAAATTTAAACAGTTTTCCAGTTGGCTAGTGTTCCAATGTGGTTCTTGTGGTCTCGGTGTTTCTTCGGGACATTTAACAGCATGTCAACCCTTAGGCCAAAAAAAAGTCTCCGGTTTTTGGTATGCGCGCGCGTTGCCGTAGCCATGCGCGTCAGCAAAATGAAAAAGTTTTGTTTTCAATAAAAGATGACGTCTCAAAATCGCCAAACTCACTGGTTTGACTGGAATCCTGCTGCTGCACAATTTTAACGTGTTTTTAGATTGGGTTATGGTCGAGAATAAGCTTTATGTGGCCTCTCTGGACTCCCATATATTTGCAGTAAGTTTAGTCGGGCACCATTTTTGCAGTCATCAGCCGACATTTGAAGCCAAAAAATCAGGTAAAAAAAAAAAGCCGCGTCGCCGCACCACTTTTTGGGAAGCTCCATACCAGAAACCGGAGCCTTTTTTTTTGGCCTAACCTACAAACCCAGAAAATATAATTAATGCTCCTTTGAAAGATATATTGCAGTTCTGCTTCAGTTTTGGCAGTCAACTGTGCTGTCTAAATTGTTGGAACAATCGATCACAAACATTATTCGTTATCATCTTCACCTCTGACCGGTAACAATTAACGAGCGATAAATATCAAAAAGGGTGTTGTCTTGAATCGTTAGAAATGTGCGTTCTGCGATGTGTAGGCCTACTCTGTTACAATTCGTGAATTACCAAAGATAAAATCACCCACGCTCCCCCCCCCCCCAAAAAAAATTGTAAACAAAATTGTCTCAATTACGGTCAGAATTAGTCGATGCCGTACACTACGGTTAAAATCAGTTACAGTTCATGCAATAACAACTCGCCAAGGGAAATATTCACCAAACAATACATACATTTACAGGCATGGACCTCGTCTAGGCTCATACACAAAAATATAAAACATTCGCGAAAACGCAGCTTCATAAATGCCCGGTTTTAGATGTACTAGATATATTTTTAAGAATCGGTTGCTAAGGCCAAAAAAAAAATGTCTCCGGTTTCTGGTATGCGCGCGCGTCGCCGTAGCCATACGCGTCGGCAAAATGAAAAAGTTTTCTTTTCAATACAAGATGATGTCTCAAAACCGCCAAACTCACTGGTTTGACTGGAATCCTTGCTGCTGCACAATTTTAACGTGTTTTTAGATGGGGCTATGATCGAGAATAAGCTTTATGTGGCTTCTCTGGACTCCCATATATTTGCACTAAGTTTAGTCGGGCACCATTTGCAGTCATCAGCCGACATTTGCAGCAAAAAAAATCAGGTAAAAAAAAAAAAAAGCCGCGTCGCCGCACCACTTTTTGGGCAAGCTCCATACCAGAAACCGGAGACATTTTTTTGGGCCTAACCTACAAACCCAGAAAATATAATTAATGCTCCTTTGAAAGATATATTGCAGTTCTGCTGCAGTTTTGGCAGTCAACTGTGCTGTCTAAATTGTTGGAACAATCGATCACAAACATTATTCGTTATCATCTTCACCTCTGACCGGTAACAATTAACGAGCGATAAATATCAAAAAGGGTGTTGTCTTGAATCGTTAGAAATGTGCGTTCTGCGATGTGTAGGCCTACTCTGTTACAATTCGTGAATTACCAAAGATAAAATCACCCACGCTCCCCCCCCCCCAAAAAAAATTGTAAACAAAATTGTCTCAATTACGGTCAGAATTTGTCGATGTCGTACATTACGGTTAAAATCAGTAACGGTTCCTGCAAAAACGACTCAAGTGAAAGAGTCACCAAACAGTACACACATTTACAGGCATGGACCTTGTCTAGGCCCATACACACAAAAATATATAACATTCGCTAAAACGCAGTTTCATAAATGCCCGATTCTAGATGTACTAGATGTATTTTTAAGAATCGGTTGCTAATGTGATTTGTGATACAGGTCGAAATATAATGCTCGTTACTTTTTTGTCTTCATATTTCGGCAGATGGTCGCCGAGAAAAAAAAAGAGGTCAAAATGGCATACAAGTGTCGTTTGAAATAACAAAAAGGTAATAAAACATTAAATAACAAAAAGGTAATAAAACATTAGGGGGTGTCAAGTTTTCCGCCCCCAACCCTTGACTGTTTTTTTTTTTGGGGGGGGGGTGTAAACTGACATCAACAGCAAACGTTGCGGGGAGAAGAAAAAGAAAACATTTGAACAAAATATTAACAGAAATACAGGAAAAAAATGTACCGATTTTCTTATTTAAAACTTCTACTGAAGGTCAAGCAGGGGAAAAACATCTCTGAAGGGTTAAAAAAAAAAGAACTAAGTGGGATGATTTTTATCAGTAAAAAGTACAGCCGTTTTTGATAAACGTGGAATGTGATGCCTTTGGGGAGAAGAATGCAGCTGTACAAGGCATAAAAGTGTTATCGCTTCAAGGTTTTCCAGCTTAGAAGCTGTATCAATATAATTGTTTAAAAGCTTGCAATTAGGGGTCTCATAAAAAAACACCAGACAGCCATACCAAACATGGGATGTTAACCATCAGTCTCTCAATACAGTGTATGCCCAACCCGATCAAATTTCCCAGTACTGCCTGGTTTCATAACGAGTAAAATACAATCTTATAGTATGTTGTAACACATTGTCATACACTGTATACATTACATTCAGTACATGCTACTCATTGTAATACAGTATATCACAGCTGCTAATGGGTTAAAAGGCAACAGGGGAGCCAGAATTGAGATCAGTATTGACGTACGGTGCAAGACGCTGTGAATAACTCAAAAATAACTCAAAATCGGTTGGAACAAAAAGGTGCATAGATAAAATCGTTGAACATACACCATGTTATTTTCAACGCACGTCGCCCGCTATTAGACTTAAAATAAAGTTGGGGATATTAAATTTTGAAGGCATTTAATACTCCAAAGGCTTCATTTTTAAAGGAAAGGGGAGAGGAGAATCATTTTCATACGAAAATCGGAATACTCCATGAAATTTAAGAATATTTGAAAAAAAAAAGATAATAGGTCTTATAATGGGAAATAAGACACGACGCTGAAATGAAATTCTTCGGCAGGTGGTGCCTGGGGTAAGTGACGTTAATACTCCAAGCCTTCTTTTTAGCCCGACACCTGTTTACGCGAGGCGAGCGACCCGCCTGCTGAATACCGGAGGCAGTTTAGGACAAATGCCAACAAGTCTGAACATTTAAACCGCTACTATACTGCGATGTCGCGCATTGACTGCACTCAAAAACCAGCTTTGTATTTACACTTTTTCAATGTGTAAACTTACCCACGTGGAGACAACCAGCTAGTAACCAAGTACCAAGAAGGAGGTTCATTGCCAGACATTGACGAGCCATGGTTCTTGAGGGCCGCGCAGCCAACAAAACTTGGCCGATTGAACCTGTTTGCTTACTTTACTGTAATGACTGCAGTGTCTCAAGACTACACGGTATTTGCACGCTTGTGACATTTGAATGACGTCTTGACGGGACATATATACCAGTGACGTATTTGCTTTTACTTAGTGATCCCAACCAATCCCGGGGAATTGGTACAGTTTCCCATTTCGCTCGTACCAACAACTGCCAATTAATCCAAGGGAGTTGGCGATCATTAATACCACAGAGTGGGTTATCTTGAGATCGAGGTTACCTCCGCTGGTTGTTGTTGATTCACATGCGTTAGGCCATACTGCTGTGCGTTTCAGTACAGGATTCCGTTAAAAACAACACGGACAGCAATTAAGCGAATGACCGATTAATTATATATTTTCGTGCGGCGTCAGTAATTGATTGGACATCATCCGAAATCGTGAACGGTCGCGGTATAAGGTGATCGAATGATGGCCTACTTGGTGGATGATTTGCAGATCCGTGTTAATGAGTTCCTGAAGTTAATCCAACCTAAGGATGTAATTTGGAAGGGAATTATTAAGTTCATCAGCAGGTGCGGGAAGAAATAACACCAAGTACATAATGGAGCAGAATACGTACATGTACACGGAAAAACAGGCGAGCTAATCGAACAGCCCAGGCCTGGTAGAGCTAAATTTATAGGCAGTGGAAAACTCGAGCAGTAAAGCGACTACGCACGGGAACATGCTCAAAACCAAGAGCAGAATAGGGTCAAACTTGTTAACAAGACAAGCTAAGCCTTGTAAATCTGGTCCGATGACGCACCCAATGATATTCAATTGATCCAGAATCGCTATTTACTGGAAGCCTTTTCATTGTCTATGGGCTGGATTTAGCCCATTCATTGGCGTAACAAGGTAATCCTATATGATAGCACTGCCCGGCTCAAAGGCGACAAGGGTCAGTGAGGTACAAAGAGGAACGTGGAGTGGTCCTATGGGACCAGTAAAACAAGGCATGTACTAAATCATGTCATAAATGCACCATCAAGAAATTTATCCGTTTGCCATTTAAAAAAAAAACTCTACTCGTGAAACCATTAAACGAGTATTGCAGAGGTGAGTCTGTGGCAAACAGACAGGTACCACACACATAGCTGGGGCAATGGCCGATGATCCTCCACTGGGAACCAGACTCAAAAAGGCCAGTCAGTTTATAATGGCCGGAAAAATGTGGACGTGGCGTCGGGCTCCCTATTTAATGTAAACTCAAAATTAGAGGTGAACAAAATTATATTATGGTCTTCTTTTTAATTGTCAATATAAAATATTGTATAAAACTAAGGTTATTAAAATATAAATCTCAAATTATCTAACATTTTCAAAACCAAATAATATACATGTACATGTAATAGGAAAGACCAATTATTCATAAATTCGATTCAAAATTGCCATCTAAGTTTTCCATCCCATAGGCATAGCAAGGTCATTTTTATAGGGGAGGGGGTTAAACATTTCTTGAAAAAGGCACTCGCACACCCATGCTGAAATGTAGACAGGTAGACACTTGGCCTAGATCTGTAAAAATAGGGGGGGGGGGGGGGGGGGGGGCTAGTGCCATCTTTCAACGAGGGCGCTGTTCAAAGCAGACAAACATACAAACTATTGAACAATGATGTTTTCCAGGGACGCACTCGTTACAAAAGGACAAAACATTTTTGTAAAAAGGGCACTTGTCCAAACGAAAAAGGGTCCTTTTTTTCTTCTAAAGGGCACTTGTACAAAAAGGGGCACTCTTTTATTTTTTATTTTTGGGGGGGTTAAAACAGTTGCAAAAAAAGGGCAGTTCAAAGGAAAAAGGCAGTCTTTACGAAATATTGGGATCCCCCCCCACACGCCTAAGCCTATGCACCAGTTAATGACCAGATTTCGATTCCCACTTTTGTAAATGCTTGTTTCGTTTAGACTCGTGGGTTCCTCCAAAATTAAGCTCTAATTAATAACGAATCAACAAGTGCTTCTTTTAGTGTTTTCATTTCTTGAAACGTCTTTGTTGTGCGCATGTAGCATTTGTGCTATCGTCACCAGAAACAAATAAAAAATAAACATGCATAGAAGAAAATAGTTTACTAAAGCAAAAATTCAAACGAATGAGGTAAAACAGCCCATGAAATAGATTTTCGTCAAACTACAAACCTCCATCTCACATCCAACCTCATAGGCCACCCCCCCCCTCCAAAAAAAACCCCCCTAGAGAACCATTCACCTCGACCCACCTTCGCTCCCAATTCCAAAAAGTTTGTCTTTCGAAAGGCATAAAATATATCCTCCAAGCTACGAGGTCATACAGTCGACTCTCGTTATAACAAGGTCGATGGGACTCTTTATGACAGGAATGTTGTTATAAAAGGACAGCGAAACAAAGAAACACAAAGAGAACCTAAGATTTGGGACCTCAGAATCTGCTCTTTATAAGCACAACCTCTTTATAAAAGTGCTCTTTATAATGAGAGTCGACTGTAGTTTAATGCATTTGCCAATCCAATCATCCAATTCTGTTGTTTCCCGATGTCTGGACTGACAATTTTCCCAGCTCCCCTCCACCTAATAAAAACAAAAATTCATGATCCGTATGTTGCTTCTTGATTTATCTAAGCTGATTGCATCCCAACTCCAACAAATCAGATAAACTAGAACCGTTACAAACTGGCCTTAATATCCAGGACCTTCTCCGGGTCGAGTTTGACGTTGGTGCCGATGAGGACGTGCTCGTTGTCGCCTCGGAGAATCCTGTCGTAATCAGGATTGTACGGAAGACCTGCAAAAAACAGGAAACGAAACAACACCTTGCCTTGAGTTAATTAGACACAACTCATCATTCATCAGCATCTACTTGTCTGTTAAAATTGCTTGTTTGTTTCACATCTTGTTCACAAACAACAGGGTAGTTTTTTAACTGCCTCAAAAGTTAATTACCGTATGAATAAGAGAATCCTTAGTCCTACAGAGATCTGAATGAAAAGAAAATTTGTGGAGTCATTTTTTGTCCTAAAAATGCAGATCAGTAAATTGTCTTTCAATTTTTGTCAGAGCAAAAGCAAATTCAAGGATGGTAGCTCTTTTTTGTTTCGCCGTAAAAACAAATTTGAATTGTTCTCAGTATAATGTAATATGTCCTTTTCAATGACGTATTAAAAATTAAAAACAAGTCATAACAAAGGAGCGATAAAAACATTCCCCTGTGATAAAAATCCACAAATTGTAACCCAAGCAAGCACAAAAATAAAAACACATGCAAACTAAAACTAGAAACAAAGCCAAATTTAAACAATTTACGCTAAAACTAAAACTTGCCAAAGGGTTGAACTATATGAAATGAAAATTAAACAAACCTCAATCTTGCTTTTCAAAACCCAAGACATACGATTAAAGCCTTAGTCCTATCCAAAATTTAAGTAAAGCTACTGACAATAGCAAACCAAAACCAGGCACAGAAAACAGACACAGACAAGAACTAGATAACTCAGACACAGAACCAAAACCAGGACCAAAACTAGACCCGGAACCAGAACGAGACCGAGATGTCGAACCAGGCAGAACAAGTTCCAAACAAATGCCAAGATACAGTCCTACATTATAGATCAAAAACTAGAAACAACCCAGTTCCGGACCAAATGCACACATATACAGATCCAGACCCAGATACAGTCATACATAATAAAGATCTAAAACTGGAAACACACCCAGTTTCAGACCAAAACAGAAACAGAATCGGACCGAGATACACTTCCAGGCCAGGACACATACCCAGAAACAGACCCAGACTAAAGGCCAATACCTAGACCCAGAACAAGAACAAGACCCAGATCATGACACACACCACGGCCTAGTCAAGTAAGAGTAAGACCATGGTCCAGACCAACACCAAGACCCAGTCCCGCGACCCAGAACCAAACCCCAGATGACCGCAGACCCAGACCAGATATAGCCAGATATCCAGGGCCAGACCAAGAACCAGACCCAAACCGAGTCCAAGATCGAACCACACCCAGACCCATAATCAGGCATGCAACTGGAAAGTCACAAAAAAAAGAGGAAATTCAAATCTTTCCAACACTTTGTAAAGTGTTTTTCTATTATCAATGACACACATGGGAGGTCAAAAAAGAGGAAATCAGCTGATCCGAGGAAAAGTTGCATGCCTGCATAATGCACCAGACACAGACCAAGATAGTAAGAACCCGACCCACACTCGTACTCACACCCAGACCCACTTGCACATCACATCGTGCGCACAATATCTTAATAAAGTATGTGTATGTATGTTCGGTATTTGTTGACTCCAATAAAGCATGTGACGTCACACAACATGGCGCTGTCCACGTACGGCAAAAATGTCGAGGTTTCGATCATGGAGAAATTTCAGCGAAATAATTGTCAAAAATAGACATTTTAAGAACACGTTTTCCAATCGTCAATGAGAGGATGACAAAAAGTGATATTTCCTTTCTGAAATAAACCAAAATGGGACAGCAAATTGTCTAAAATTACACTGTTTGTTTTGGGGAATTTTCGCCGACATGCAATTTGTACCCGTCATGACCGTGTGCGGCTACTGGATCGCTGGTTCACGGTTTGTTATGCCACTATTACATGCAAACTGACGCGCGGGTACCAGCCGACCTGGGCCTGCGCGCTCGCTGTCACATGTAACATGTAGCGTAACAGTTTGAACATGGAGTTTCGGTGGATAAACAACCCCACAATTTTGGTAACATTTTCTCGGTGTCATTTACTTCCTCATGGATTTTCAATTTCATCAAGAATCGCTGGGGAAAATCTGTAGAATATGCACAGAAAGGCTGCATCCGGGATCGAAAAACCCGAAACGAAAACCACTTTCCTGCAGCCGCGTTCGTTGGGAAGTATTTAGTTTATTTCGAGTCAATACGTGGAACGATATACATGTACCCGACCAGCATCCAGCCTTTTTGTGTGAGAAGTGCGCTAGGAAGTTACGACACTTCACTGGCGGCACCCGTGACATCGATGTCCACAAATTGCTCTTAAACCAAAAAGTGCAATGGGACTGGCCTCCACACGAAAGCACAGGTGGATGCTTTGTGTGCAGGCTGGTGACAACTCAGGGGAAAGGGGGTGGAAGCCACAAGAGAAGGCCACAATACTTCTCATCGGGAGGGCCTTTCCAAAGTGCGGTGCAAGACACAGAATGAAGACGCTGCCTTTGTGTGTTGGATCATTTTGAACATCTAAAATTTATTTTTGCGGTAATTATTTTCCCCCGGAGTTCGCGACTACTGGATCGCTGGTTCACGGATCGAGCTTCTTCATGCAAACTGACACGCGGGTACCAGGCGGCCTAGCCCTGAGCGTGCGATGTAAACTGTGAACATCTTTTTTTGGATTAAGTTTTTGGAGTTCCGGTGGACCAAACAACCCCACATTCTTGTCACTTACTTCATCATGGACTTCAGATTTCATCAAGAATCACTGGGAAAAATTTGTAGAATTTGTACAGAAAGGCTGCATCCGGGATCGAAAAACCCGAAACAAAAATCCTCACTTTCCTGCAGCAGCGTTCGCTGGGAAGTATTTAGTTTATTTCGGGTCAATACGTGGAACGATAAACCTGACCAGCATCCAGCCTTTCTGTGTGAGAAATGCGCAAGAAAGTTACGACACTTTACTAAAGGCACACGGGACATCGATGTCCATAAATTGCTCTTGAACCAAAAAGTGCAATGGGATTGGCCGCCACATGGTACCGGTAGTACATGTTTTGTGTGCCAGCTGGTGACAACTCAGGGGAAGGGGGGCCGAGCACGCAAGAAGAGACGGTCTTCTCATTTTCATTCAGGACGAGCTTCGTCAAGTACGGTGCAAGACACGGAGTGAAGACACTGCCTGTTGTGTTGGATTACTCTGAATTTAAACACTTGATATAAAAAAAAAAAATTTTGAACATCTAGAATTACACGGATAAAAACATTTTCCCTGCAGTTCGCGATTACTGGATCGCTGGTTCACGGTTCGAACTTCTGACGCGTGGGTACCAACCGGCCAAGCCCTGATGAGCGCGCGATAAACTTGACAAAGTTTTTGGAGTTTCGGTGGACAATCATTTACTTCATCATGGATTTCCGATTTCATCAAGAATCGCTGGGGAAAATTTGTAGGATTTGTACAGAGAGGCTGCATCCGAGAGTGGTAAAACCAAAACGAAAACCACTCCCCTGCAGCAGCGTTCGTTGGGAAATTTTCAGTTTATTTCGAGTCAGTACGTGGAACGATAAACCCGATCAGCATCCAGCGTTCCTATGTGAAAGATGTTCCAGAAACATTCGACATTTGACGGGAGGCACTCGGGAAATGGATGTCCACAAATTACTCGTGAACCAAAAAGTGCAATGGGACTGGCCTCCGCACCAAAGCACGGGTGAATGTTTTGTGTGTGAACTGGTGAAAACTCAGGGGAAAGGGGGTAGAGGCCGCAAGATAAGACGAAAATACTTCTCATCAGGATCAGGAGGAGCGTCTCAAAATACGGTGCAAGACACAGAATGAAGACACCTGTTGTGTTGGATCATTTTGAACATCTTGAATTTATACACTGATAAAAAAACATTGTTGAACATCTCGATGGACATGCATGATGGAGCATACATAGCTGAAGCCAGCCAAGTTTGGTTGAACTTTTAAACCATTCATGGCTTCCTCAATCCTTCAAAATCCTCCATGTGGTTTTGGAGGATTTGGGATGCATGCTGGAGGATTGAGGCTGTATGAATGGCAAAAACAAAGGGTGCATGAGTCGATTTTGGAGGATGCATTGTGCCGAGTTCAGAGGCTGTATCCACCATTGTCTATATTCAGCCATTATTGTTGGAGGATTTTGTAGGAAAATGAAGGATCGAGGCAATAATGGTCAATGAGGCCCCTCCCTCCACCATGTCCACTGAACAAATACTGCAGCCGATGATTTTGGAGGATTACTCCGATCCAATTGAATCCAATTTTACATGCTGGCAATTGAAGGATTTTGTATGGTTCCTGACCGAAAGGGCCTAATCAGTGACGGCCATTATTGTTGGAGGATTTTGTAGGAAAATGAAGGATCGAGGCAATAATGGTCAATGAGGCCCCTCCACCACGTCCACTGAACAAATACTGCAGCTGATGATTTTGGAGGATTACTCCGATCCAATTGAATCCAATTTTACATGCTGGCAATTGAAGGATTTTGTATGGTTCCTGACCGAAAGGGCCTAATCAGTGACGGCAGGAAGGAGGGGGGGGGGGGGGCTATTTTCATTTGTTCAATCTGTTGATTTATCAAGGAGGCTGTTGCTATGGACTTGGGTCAAGCTTCAAGCCACAATCACCGGGCATTACAACTGGTCGTCGGGTAAGATTTTTCTATAAATTTGCAATAAATTTGATCTTTATTTGGAAATTTTTAATCTCCATCATACAAAACAACACTTTCATACAATACAAATGGTTAAGCTGAACAACAGTCATAATCTTCTATAATTTAATACATGGAATTTTAAACAGAAAAATGACCCGACTCTGGAACAAATTCAGTCGCAATACTCTAAAGTATTATTGTATAAATTCCTCTCTTTACAAAAAAAATATAGACATGAGCTCTATACACATAGGTGATGGGCAGCATCAATTAAAACTTGCAATTTAGGAGCGCTGTGGTCCAATGGTTACTATATTCGGCTCACTTGCAGTGGTATGAGGGTTCGAACGCGGACGGGGAACACAGGCATGCAACTGGAAAATCACCAAAAAAAAGAAGGAAATTCAAATTTTTCCCAGACTTTGTACAGTGTTTTTCCATTTTCAATGGCACCCGTGGAAGTAAAAAAAGAGGAAATCAGCTGATCCGAGGAAAAGTTGCATGCCTGGGAACATAATGCTTTTGTTCTTGGGCAAGGCACTTTACTACAATTGCGTATCTCCACCCAGGAGTATAAATGGGTACCTGTGAGGGTAGAGACCAGATTGCGCTGATCTTGAGCTGCTGCAGAAACTGGTCTCATAGCCTGATGAACAGGGGTAATGATTGTGAAGCGCTTTGAAACCTTTGGTATAAAGCGCTATGTAAGCACCGTATATTATTATTATTGTTATTATAACACATCATAATTAAAATGAGTTTTCTTTTCTTTGTGAACAGCCTTCATATTATTATACAACACCTAATGACAACGAAACCATCTGCAGTGCATCTCTTGGCCCGAAGCATGCAAAGACAGCCTTTGTACTACTGGCCTCTCACTTATCATGATGCGAGACTGACATCTAGCATGGACTCAGCTCAGGAAATCAGGAAGATGGGGTATGTTCGTTTGCAATGTTTACACAATGGGAGACTTTTGAGACGTTGGTGGCAGCAAACACAACGGTCCTTTTTCCGTTGTTTGCATCACATTGAGCATGCGCGCTTTAGCATTTGGTATGTTTGCTGCCACCAGCGCCTCAAAGTCTCCCATTGGCCGGGATAGCCCACGGCATTCAGGGGCGGATCCATGAAGTTTTGCAAGGGGGGGAGGGGGGAATTTCATCGACAAAAACATCTGAAATGTAGACGGGTTTTTTTTTTTTTTTTGCAGACACTTTCATGGCCTCTGAAAATCAGGGTGTCAGAACGGGGGGGGGGGGGGGGGGGGGGGGGGGGTCCGCATTTTTTTTCATGAAACGACAGTTTTAGTGGTTGGAGGACAACCCAAAAATAAAATTCTATGAAAAACAACACGGAATCAGGCAGGGACTGCATATTGGTCAAGGCGGGATTAGAACCTAGGTCACAGTGGTGGAAGGCGAGGAAAGTACCACTACGCCAAACTGATCCCCCAAATGAGATAAAAGTATATGTATATATGTAATATACATATGTAAAAACAATATGTAAAAGGGTATTTGTAGTTCATTCTAAAAATTGCTTTTTAAAAGTTGAATTTTATCAAAAGGGCCTATGGATTTAAGAACTCATCAAATAACAATGCACACATCTGAAGGCAATACCGGTGTTTTTTTTTTGGGGGGGGGTGGGGTAGAAATCTGTGGAATATCCGCTTGCAGACAAGCATCTGTGATGTTCGCCCAGATTCAGCGATAACGCAAAACATGTCTTGACCTCGATATTGTGACCATGCAGCGGGCGCCTCATGTTCCATCTGGTCCTCCATAACCCATATTGTGACCATGCAGCGGGCGCCTCATGTTCTATCTGGTCCTCCATAACCCATATTGTGACCATGCAGCGGGCGCCTCATGTTCTATCTGGTCCTCCATAACCCATATTGTGACCATGCAGCGGGCGCCTCATGTTCTATCTGTTCCTCCATAACCCATATTGTGACCATGCAGCGGGCGCCTCATGTTCTATCGGGTCCTCCATAACCCTTTGTTGTATTACAAGAACATGGCAGCCAACAGCCTATCAACAGCCTAGTCCACATTTCTGGTCGACATGACGCCACAGCTTCAAAAGTTAACTCCGATACATGTATCAGATGATGGATACAGTGTGAGGGCTCCATTGAACAACGGGTGATACTCGGACTAGTGGTAGGGGTTGCAGTTCAAGTTCACTATTTCTGAATTGAGTTGTGGTGAGCAACGAGAATTTCGGTTTGACATTGTTGCCTCATTAATTACAGATACCTGAATGTCCAGAACTGCATACCAAGGATGCCTTGAGGAAGCTGCAGGAACTCCTGCTCAAGGGTATCTTCAAGGAGAAATCAAAGAACTTGAGTTCAACAGCCACAAGGTTGATGGAATAAGGGTTTTTCAACTGAATCTGTACTCTTCGCCTTTGTTGGGGACCTCAGAGAGATGGTGTCTACTTGAATCCACAGCAATGGTAAGAGTTTACAAATCACTGTGAACATTCACGGAAGACATTTTGTCTTTCTATCGTGATAAAAAACAATACGTTTATGTTTTAGTATTTAACTTTGCTTCCAAAAGAAATGGCACCTTGACATGACACGAAGGAGATATTCCTGAAGAAGAGGTGTGGATTCATATTGGAGGGGAGAAGGGTGCATCTTTGATTCAGAGAAAACTTAAATATTTTTTACAAATTTACTGCATTTCTCCATGACTTGATGTTGTAAGTCTTGTTAGTCCATCTGTCCCATCTCAATCCCCCCAGGTTATAACATTACAAATTATTTATATCAACTATATTTTCCAGATGCATCCGGGACTTGATAGCGGCATACAGACCACCCCTCCCACCTTAGACTTGGTCAAGATGATCGGCGGTCATTGTCCAATGATTGAAGGTTGGCCACTGTTCACTGCAGCCACGCGCTATGACTCACACATACGTACATACATACATGTACTGTTAGTCTGTATGAAGCGAGAACAACGACCTCAAGCAGCTTGCTACAATATGCAAATCAGGAAGTGCCAGATACATGTAAATGCCTTGGAACATCTGTGGCTTTAGCATATGTTTTTCTTACAGAGGTTGTGGAATGCTCGAAAACATTTCCGTCATTTTTTGGGTGTATGTAGCCTAAGGTGTGATGAAATAAAAACGACTGTTGTTTCTGTCATGAAATGAGTACAAAAGGTACTTTTGAGAGCTATTTTTCAGGTCCTGAAGAGCCACATGATCTTTACTAATTAATTTTCACTAATTACATGTAACTGCTAAATTAAATCTTATTACTGGGTTCATGTAAAAATTCAGCTCACACAGAATAGTGCGATGGTTTCCTTGCTTCGCAAAGTTGTTGCAAAGTGGTATTTTTTGCAGTTTTAAGATACATGTATGAGAAACTACTTTTGCGATTATCTCGAAAACAGGCTTTCTACTGAAGAATTGACACAAAAATTGCAAATGATAACGCATACACTTGCAAGATCATTACTGGAGCATCAGCCACACCACACTGTGAAAGTACGGTGATCAGTTTTACACACATAGTGGACTGTACATAGCTTCATTGAAGCCTTCTTTGGTATTCTTTTGCACATATCAATAACCCAAGGGCGTCAATCACTTTTCAAAAGTGGGGGGGACTTTCGTTGAACTGAATTAATGCGAGCGCGAAGCCCATGTACGGTGTGGGGTCTGGGGCCCGCTTAAGGGCCCAAAAACATTTTGGGTTCTGGACGCTCTGTGGTGTGATCTGAGGCAATTTCTGACCGCTTTAACACATCTTTTTTTGCAAAAGATCACAATTTAAACACCAATTTTAAGTTAGGAGTAATTGAATCAGCTATTCTGAGCTACAGAATAATATGTGGGCTACATTTTTTGGAGGGGGGCGAAAAAAGTGGGGGGGGGGGACAACCGATATGATATCCCCCCACTTTAAAAAAGGGGGGGGGGACTTAACAATAAACCAATCACATTCGTACATTTGGGGTATTTAAATCCACAAACGAAAAGAAAGGCATCATTGGTGGACAGCATAATTCATCGCGCTTCATTGTCACATGATTTTACACCAAACTAGTAGCCAACAGAGGACATTCTTTTTATCAGCGAAACTGCCGCGAAACCGCTGCGAAACCGCTGCGAAACCGCTGCGAAACCGGTGCGAAACCGCTGCGAAACCGCCGCAAAACCACTGCAAAACTGCCGTGAAACCACTGCGAAACCACTGCGAAACCGCCATGAACCAGACCCAGAACCAGACCCAGACTGAGTCCGAGAATCTGACCCAGACACATATAGACCCAGAACCAAACCCACAACCAGGCCCAGACTGAGTCCGAGAATCTGACCCAGACACATACACATGTATAGGCCCACTACCAGACCCGACCCAGAACCATGCCTGAAACTAGATAAGGCTAAGAACTGTGCCAAGAACCAAAAGCAACACCCACTCCCCAACATATGTGATGCGATCAAGCTAAATGAGACGTTTGATGACCCCGGTCATTTTTTTTTTTTACTGCAGATTTGAAAAGAGCGTAATCTGAGCATTACTGCTGTGAAAACTGTATGCTGGTACCATCTTAAGTTAAACAAAATTGTGGAAGTCGGAACACCAAGAGATGGGATGAAGTGATGTGATGAAGTGGCCCTATTTTGGCCTGAATTTCCAAATAAAAAAACAAGACACAGACCCAGACCAAGAATCCAACATAAACCTAAACAAAATCCAAAACTCATAACGTACCTAATTTAGATGACAGAAAGGCCAGGGTAGCATGTAGATTGAGCTCCATGGCAAGGACTGGATCAAGGCTGCCAGCAAAATGCATAAATCTTGCCATGGATGGCCTGAAGAGGGTAGCAAAGTCACACTGACTTGAATGTACTGTCCCACTGCCATAAAAAACAATTGCATTGCGTTATAATCATCGGACTAGTACTACTATTTGTCAATTCCTGAGAAGTACTTATTTAATAACCGCCTTGCAGAGTCAACCACAAGCCAAATCACAAGGCAGCACCCGATTTCATGAAAAGCTGCAGTGCTGCAGTGCTGCAGGGCAAATGACTCGAGTCGACTCGAGTCATTTGCCCTTAGGGACTCAAGTCGAGTCGAGTCACCAAAAAATGTGACTCGAGTCGGACTCGAGTCGAGTCATTGACTCGAGTCATTACAACTCTGGCTGCTGGTCACACAGATAAGCAATGACAAGTAATGCTTTGTCACAGTTCTGCTCAACGGTGCCTTCACTGTTCATTTTAAAGCAACATGGACTGTATCTTGGCTTCAGAATGATTCGTGACGACAAGCACATATTACAGATGTGGAGTGCTATGGCCTCGTGGTTAAGGGCACTGATTCGTGGTCTGCAGGTAAAGCTGCAGGTTGTGGGTTTGAGTCCTGGCGGGGTCATGGTGCGTGTGCCCTTGGGCAAGGCACTTTGTCACTCATTGCTTCTCTCCACCCAGGAGTAAATGGGTACCTATGAGGGCAGTGATGGTTATTGTGATTGAATTAGCTTCCTTGCGCCTAACAGGCAGCATCGAGCTGTATACTCCCCAGGAAGCTGAGATGGTATATGGAATGTTTAATTGGCCCAATGATCAGGGGTAATAATAATGTAAAGCACTTTGATCTTCCGGTAGTTAAAAGCGCTATATAAGAAGCTTGGGCCAATTTCATAGAGCTGCTTAAGCACAAAATTTGCTTAAGCACAAAAACGTCTTGCTTAATAAAATCAGGTTACCGGTCAAAACTCCATGTGATTGTTATGCTAAGTAAACAACCGCTACATACCAGTCACAAGCAATGTACCTCACATGGAATTTGGGCCGGTAACCTAATTTTACTAAGCAGTGTTTTTTCGTGCCTAAGCAAATTTTGTGCTTAAGCAGGTCTATGAAATTGGGCCCAGCCTGTTATTTATTGGATGTAGGATCGCTTACCGTATGGTGATCATTCTTCTGTCTTCTGTTGGTTCATTGAGGTCAGGAACCAATCGGATCATGGGGGTCACGTTGGCCGGCCAATGAAACTTCTCAGTGTTGATCAAGAGCACCGGTTGGTCAATGTCAACGTATGTTGTCTTGTCAATGGGAAACTGCCAAGGATCTAAAGCCACACAGCATCTGTGTAAACATACACACGCATAAGTGTGATCTGACTTTTCCTCGGATCAGCTGATATCCTCTTTTTTGACTTCCAAAGTGTGCCATTGAAAATAGAAAAACACTGTACAAAGTCACGGAAATATTTGAATTTCCTCTTTTTTTGTAAGTTCCCAGTTGCATGCCTGGATACACCGTGCCCTCTGGAGACGTGCACACAATAGGGAACAAAAGATTGTATACATCTCCACAGGGCAATTTCTATAGATGAATACGTCTCCACAAGGTTTTCACAAAATAGATGCCGTATATGGATTTGACTCAAAAACGAGGAATTTCCAAAGGTTGGTTGTTCTGTCGCCAATGGAAGAGTTTTAGAAAAGGGATATTAAGTCCGAATTTCAGCCAAGGAAATTAATTCTGGTTAAATAAGAGCATTTTGAAACTTTACTTTTAAACTCGAAAACTTTACTACACGAGAACAAAGAAATGTCTCCACAAGGATACAAATTTCAGTGTGTATTTGCCTGCATCTGGGGACCCCCTCTTTTGTTTGAACTTAAATAACTTTTTTGGAAGAACTCCTGTATGTTCTGTTCACAGCGCCAAATTGGGGACCTTTGGGAATTGTCCTCTATTGTTCAATGTCCCCTATCGAATGCAGAAACAAGCTCACTTTGTTAGTTTTTTTTTTCTATACACCCAAGGACAATGCTTTGTGTTTCCGACTAAATTTAGTGCAAAATATATGGGAGCCCAGAGAGGCCACATAAAGCTTATGCTCGATCGTCACCCCATCTAATAACACGTTAAAATTGTGCAGTGGCAGGATTCCAGTCAAACCAGTGAGTTTGGCAGTTTTGAGACATCATCTTTCATTGAAAAAAAAAAAATTTTCATTTTGCCGACGCGCATGGCTACGGCGACGCGCGCACATACCAGAAACCGGAGATTTTTTGGGGGGCCTTGTCAATTTCCACAATAAACAAAAAGGGCACTTTATGTTGACCCTGTCAATAAGAACTTACTTGAATCGTTTATCTTTAGACAATGTCAACAAGGTAGTTGCTCCCCCAAACGAGTGACCGCATATTGCAACTTTGTCACTGTCAAGTTTGCCCTATGAAAAACATAATTGGAAAAGATATATACATTAGAACACACTACATGTCACTATGAACATCTTCATCCCTTAAAGGGAAAATACAACATTTGCAAACATCAAAAAATAAAACTACCAAATCATTTTGAAATACCTTGCTGGACTGTTAGTGAATGACAGTGTAAAGCATCCTGTAAAATCATGGCACCCGGTATACTGTCATTTTCAAGAAAAGTGGTATTTTTGTATCAATTTCCAACGCTGATCGGCCGATCAGCGTTGGAAAAAACTGGCTTTTTTTTCAAATACTGGCCCCAGTTGACCATCGCACTTGTTTACAATCGATTACACACCTATGAACGGGTACAAGCCAGCTAGACTGGTTCCCTAACCTTACAATTCCCCAATATATGTAAACTGCTCTGTTTCTTCTTAAATGGAGTCAGGGAACCAGACTACAGGAAAATGATTGTTTTTCTTGGTTTTTATAGCATTTTCGAACCCAAAACCTCAAAAAAGTCAGTGTAACTATATTTGCTATATATTTCCAACCCCCCAATTCCATCCATTTCTGAAAATTACAGCAAAAGCAAATGATGTATATTCCCTTTAAAGGGACACTGGGTCCTGGAACAGCCCAATTGGGCTACAAAACGCGCTTTGAACGAGATGATGTTAATCGGAAAGAACATTTAAAAGTAGGATATAAACATCCACACAACTATCCTTTCAAAACTTGGCGTTTTTGTGTTATTCCTGTATTATGCGTGCGAGAACAAATTTCGGGGTCCACTTTTGCGACCCCGTAAATTCGAGCTGTTTGGACGCTAGTTGTGATTTCATTCGTAAAGCTTTCGCCTTTTGTGGACGTTGAAGAAACTATTTTTTTTTGATTGGTGATTGGTCACCGCTGTTCCCGAGACACACAACGTGTATATCGTAAGCTGAGAACGACACGAAAAACGTATTCGTACTCCGTCGTGTCCGATGTAAACAAGCGGGGTTTTTTGCGTCTTTTCTCGGGAACGGTAAGACATTAGGTTGGTTTCCTTTCAACCAGATGTTTGAAAAAGGCTAAGCAAACAATCCAAAACATGACATGTTCAGGGATTTCTGGACCTACATGTAAGTACCCCTTTAAAAATTCGTTAAAGAGCCATTTTCCCTTGAAATTACAGTTAACTAAATTTTCAAGGATTTTCCAACAAATTAAGCCAGATTAGGAGTCCTTGAAAACACACTTAAGAAAGTCCTTTGTTTACCCATGGAGATAGACACAGTGTACCGTTATGTATAACCAATGATAATCCTCAGTGGCAAGGGTCATTAAAAAACATGTGAAAATTCCCTTACAGGATTAGTCCTTTAAAAGCCCCATGTGAATGTCCATGAATGTAATTGCGACAACAAAATGTTGCCTCTAAAGGGGTCTGTGACATTTAGGAGACATGAAAATGTCTCCCTATTGACAGATGTCTCCCATCGAGCGAAGAAATTACAATAACATGTCTCCTTAATGTACCTTTACACGTATAAAACAACATTTATATAGCGCAATATGAACCAAAGATTCCTCAAAATGAGAAACAATATTAATAATCCCAATTTAAAACTCAACTTCATTAAGGACTTAGGCTGGACCAGTTGATGTCTGAATTATTAATTGTTATAAAAACTGTAAAAAAAACTGCAAACTGTTTAAATTCCGCAGTACCGTACATAGATGAAATACCATTAAAATATTGTAAAAAACTTCCTCTGATCATTAAAAATATTTCACTAAAATATTTCCGTACCTGAAACATGCTTCCGTCAAACTCATCATTGAGTGCATTGACCACTGGTTCCCCGTTGTTCATTTGTAAGAGCAGATCAAGAGCTCGACTACACTCTGCTGCACGCGTGTTGAGCTACATACATGTATTCATAAAGCACACAAAATCAACCAGTTAAAGAGGTTGTGGAATGCTCGAAGACATTTCCGTCATTTTTCGGGTATATGTAGCCTAAGGTGTGATGAAATAAAAACGACTATTGTTTCTGTCATGAAATGAGTACAAAAGGTACTTTTGAGAGCTGTTTTTCAGGTCCAGTTTCGACCCGAACGTGCAACTGTGTAAAAGTGGTCGTTGCGGGCAGCAAACAAAACACAGTAAATCGTGACGTAATAAACAGGACTCCCGATGCACAGTAGCATACACGAGTCCTGTTTATTACGTCACGATTTACTGTGTTTTGTTTGCTGCCCGCAACGACGACTTTTACACAGTTGCACGTTCAGGTCGAAACTGGACCTGAAAAACAGCTCTCAAAAGTACCTTTTGTATTCATTTCATGACAGAAACAATAGTCGTTTTTATTTCATCACACCTTAGGCTACATATACCCGAAAAATGACGGAAATGTCTTCGAGCATTCCACAACCTCTTTAACGCTGGCGAATGATGACAATGTAGTCGAAGGGGTGGGTACGGGTTTAAAGCTATAGTCCATTATTGCAGCGATCCGAAAAGTAACTGGCGTAATTATTGTTGAAAAACACACTTGGTTGAAAGATAGTAAGGGGACTTCGGACCAATGGGACGTTGGACCGATGGTACTTCGGAATATTGCGACTCAACCAATATTTTAAGCAATGACTGCCCACAAAAAGTACCTGGTTGTTCCTGATCTCGAACTCATCTTTCTTCATAAGGAGAATAGGAATCCACTCCCGGACTGTGTCACTAGAGGGCGCCCCTGAGTCACTGTCATCCGTGGTGACATTTTTGATGACGTAAGTGGTGCATGCTGACCTATCCCTGTGTAGAGAACAAAATATGTAAAAGAATTTTAAAGAGGTTGTGGAATGCTCGAAGACATTTCCGTCATTCTTCGGGTATATGTAGTCTAAGGTGTGATGAAATAAAAACGACTATTGTTTCTGTCATAAAATGAGTACAAAAGGTACTTTTGAGAGCTGTTTTTCAAGTCCTGTCATGCCTGTTTCGACCCGAACGTGCAATTCGTAATGTCGTGACATAATAAACAGGACTCCCAATACAGGGTAGCATAAACGAGTCCTGTTTATTACGTCACGATTTACTGTGTTTTGTTTGCTGCCCGCAACGACGACTTTTACACAAATTGCACGTTCGGGTCGAAACAGGACCTGAAAAATAGCTCTCAAAAGCTACCCTTTGTACTCAATTCATGACAGAAACAATAGTCGTTTTTATTTCATCACACCTTAGGCTACATATACCCAAAATCTGACGGAAATGTTTTCAAGCATTCCACAAACTCTTTAAAGAAAAATGTACTGACCATGTTGAAGGGCTGTCCCAAATACCAAATTGTCAACTGAACATTTGAATAGCTAGCTTACATTTTTTGCTACTGACCGCTTTATTTTTTCAATCCAAATGCTATAAAGCTAAAATTATTTTTAAAATCGATCACGATTCTGCGATAAAGAAGAAATACCTGTGCTCGACAGCTGCGACTACGAATCCCTGTGACGCCATCTCGACGCAAATTGACGAGTACGTGGTCCGGCACGAAGACAGACCGTGGGAAAATATCAGGACTGGGAAAGGGGCATCTGACTTGGCGAGTGGTGCGTTCTCGACGGCTGGTATCTTTATGCGTCCTGTAGAATATTGATACATATGTAACAATAGAGTACAAACCAGTGCGGTAGCTAGTCTGAGTATCACCCGTTATCCACGGAGCCATCTCCTGTCTAACGTCTGATATGTCAAAGCATGCAGATTTATGCAAGCCGTGCGCCAGCCAATCGGAGTCGACTTTACTAAATAGTGACGTCATTTCATCCCAAAATCAGGAGTAACGCTGTGATTGGTCAATTTGAATGCAGCGTTTTGTAATACAACAACAGCCGGGAGCGAATTCGCATAACATGATACCGAGCGCCGCACGCTGTGATTGGTCAATTCGAATGAAGCGTTTTGTAATACAACAACAGCCAGGAGGGCATTCACGTAACATGATACCGAGCTCCGCGCGCTGTGACTTTTTTTTTTAAATCCATGTCTATGCCGCGCAACGGCTGAATGACCAAAGACCTGACAGACCTATAGAAAGCGCCTGCTGATTGGTCAAAATCTAGGAAGTCAAGAGGCGGGGTATTGCCTAATTAATCAGCAAATCTGTTTGCGCAGGTCCTATCTCCCCCCCCCCCCCCCCCAAAAAAAATAAATTCAAATTTCTGATCTTATCTTTGGAACAAGAGAGAAACCTCTTCTCTATTTGAAGGTAAAGAAGACATTATTATGGTGAAATTAGGGCGAAATTTGCAGTTTAAAAAAGCAGACAAACAATGATGATAGCAGAAATTATACTGCTTCACTGTCCCCCATGTGCCATACCGGTGTGTTATCGAAGCCAATACGCCCAAGTCTAAAACACATGATCAGCAAATGAGCGTGTCATTTTGCTCTACGCAAACAGCGCAACGAGTGCACGTATTCGCGTTGCATTAATAGAATACACTTTTAAAATTCAATCCATCTATTTTGATTGTGTTCTACAAACACGCACATGAATTCAAAATGTCTTCGCCCAGAGCAGCTTCAAAGCGTCTCCACGCGCAAGAATGAAGGGTTAGCGCTCTAGTAATTTAATATAGCTCGATGCGTAAAACACACATCGATTTACAAAGTACAAGCATAGCCACAACCTCATGCCAGAGGTCACATAAATATAATACAACGCGACAAACTCGAATTATCAAGGTAAAACATTTTTTTTGTCGACCTACCTGTAAAGTAGTTCAAGACAGAGGCTAAAAGTCGGGCGGAGCGCTGTTGCAAACCCGCGTAGGCAACGAATCCTGTGGCATACTCCTTGCTCGGAAGCCAAGTTGGACATGCCGAGTTGTCGTTGAGGGCGCTTTCTTTTGGCGTGTCAGCTGGGTAGAAAAGCCGCATGAAACTTCTGTGATGGAAATCAATTTTGAAATCTTGTAAAAAAATTGTTGAAATCACTCAAATTGTTTTCCATTTTGGTGCCCTTCAAATTCCTTTGCCTGCAAGAGAGTTTCTGGAAACAGGAATTTTGCTGAAATTTCCTAACGTGCCTGAATCCATCAAAATCCACACTCCTGTTTCGCCAGATTTTGGCGGAATCAGGATATTGAAAAAGTTGGGGGATTTTCATGATATCATGGGAGTTAGCCTAGAGCATACTGCAGGATTTCGATGGATTCAGGATACCTCCATATTGAGCAGTTGGGGACATGGATTCAGGATCTCAACAGATTAACTACCGGCTATTAAACTGGTGGATTCTGATGGACTCACTGGCCACCAACATTTTTGCATGACAATAATTGATGGATTTTGGCAGATTCGGGATACTTTCTAGTTAAAATACCCAAGTGGTTAAGGTTAAGGTATAACTTGAGTTCTTGAGACTATTGTTACGGAAAGTCTTCTTTTTTTCACCAAGCTGTTTTGAAATGATCGACTAATCATCAAATATCTGAAGAATCGTTGAGGACCTGTATCCAGTTGTGTCATAAGAAAGGGGTATGCATACTCCCAGCCCAGTTCGTCATTTTGTTTGATGGCACCAGGTACTTAAAGCTATAGTCCATCATTTGCAGCTATCCGAAAAGTAGCTGGCGTAATTATTGTTGAAAAACATACTTGGTTGAAAGATAGTAAGGGGACTAAACTCCCTGTGAAATTATTCTTTCTGGCAAGCTGTCATTTTGAAGAAATCAACGAAAGAAGGCATTTCCAACGGGGCTTCTTAAGAAGCACCGTAGGAAAATTTAAATTAGTTGTTCGTTTTGTTATTCGGCGCAGCGCGCACAAGCATTGGAACGACGCACAGGCGCGCGCGGTTACTATAATTCGTCGGATCAGTGCGCGACATCGCGTAAAGCTGCAATTCAAACAATTCGAAACATGATTTAGCAACTTTTGATTTTAAATTGAGATCTTAGAATGCTGTTTTTCTCGGAATATGAAGGTGAAGCTGAGCTGAAACTTCATCAAGTAAGTTGTTTAGTATCCTTCATTAGATTTTGAACACTTTTGTTGCTTCAAACGAACAAACTGCACTAATTACAAATGATGGACTATAGCCTTAACTGTACATAAGCCTATGTAAATGTGCACAAGCACACTAGGTTTTCCCGCCAATTTTCAACCCCTCCACTAGGATCACAAGACTGACACTTCCTCTGGTGGATGTACCATGGTCCGTACTAGGATCTAATGATAGATGACATGGGCATGGCAACCACGTGGCTGGGACAATATAAAACAAAGAAATGTGGAAGCGATTTTAAACACACAGAGTCCAAGTTTGAAGTAATCCATGGCCAAGTTCGCGCAAGGACTATAGTTGACCAATGGTTAACTAACGTTTGCCCGAACTCTGTCTAGTCGACGGTGGTTGACTACGCTAGTCGACTATTTGGAACCAGCCTACTGGGGTTGGTTGCTTCGCTGGTAACCAATAGCCGCGCGCATTCATAACGCTAGCAGAGAGCCAGGATCCAGAAGTTTTGCGATGACATTTTGACCAGCGTTTGACTAGAGACGTTCGCACGTTGCTATCAGTGCGCAGGCGTAAGGTACGTCACAAATCAACCACTAGTCGACTAATGGTCCTTGCCCGAACTTGGCCTATGTAGTCCTTGGAGGGGTGACCACTGCCTCAATCCTGTCAAATCCTCCATCTGCAGCAATCAATGTCAGTATGTTGAGGCAGAGCCAGTGACATCCTGGAGCAGTGCGGATGATTTCAAGTATGAGCAAACACACAAGGTCTGACCTAAGACCTTGACACAGTGCATCTTCCAAACTCAGCCACACACTTTTGCAATATAGCCTAAGGCTAGGTTTACACTATGTTCCAGGCGGCGTGTCAGACTTTGATTAGAACGTGAGGAACGTGAGGGACCCCAGAGGGACCCATCAGAACGCGACAGGCCAGGAGGGAACGTACTGGCATTCGTGGTAGACCGCAGGCCGAACCGTAGTGCGCCTTTGAGCCTCCGGGACTCAGCAGCCCCTTTCCCCCACGGCCCATCACATATACCGTGATAGACCGTGAGAAAACTTAGCAGGACCTAAAAAAAACTTGACTACGGAGAAAAAAAATTGCCAAAATCCCACGGCGCACTACGTTTCGGGCAAACGGGGCTGCCGTGACCGCCAGGAACATAGCGTAAACCTAGTAGTCTTAATCCTGCAAAGTCTTCCATTTTGCAAAGAGGATTCTGGAGGATTTGGGAAGGTTTAAGTGGTCAATGCATTTTAACAAAAATTGCCCTCACCTTCATGGTGAGAACCACTGATCTCTATATAAAGACTGGATAGCTAATAAAGAACCGCACAATGAACGACTTTGACGCCATATTAATGAGACCGGCTGGTGATCTATAAAAGACAAGTTGCCGTTTTTATAGACAGCACGATTTCTTTTGTAACGTCGCGGTTCACTTGACTTATGTTTTGACCACCACCACTGACCAAGGTTAACTACAATTTTTCTAACGAAGTGGTTACTAAAATGCCGCAAATACCACTTTTTCGGCATTTTGAAATAATAATCACTACGGAAATGTGTCCCTTTCAGAACATCATAATATGTGTACGTGACCAAAATGCGCGTCAACTGTTGATACAACGCGCGCGTATTTACGCGTAGAGCGTTCGTGCTATACGCGGCCATCTTCGTGAGACCGGGGGTGAATTGGTCAATATGCAAAGTCTACTGTGTGAATGTTGTATGCATATCCGCTGTCCAGTCTTTATATAGAGATCAGTGGTGAGAACCCTGCACCCGATTTCACTAAACACATCGTAACTTGCGATGCATTGCAGCGCCGTGACGCATCGTATCCCTACTTTGCCTGGCAGCTGCGACGCGTCCTGTGATGCATTTCACAAAACACGTCGTTAGTGTGACACCTCATAGGTGTAAACTATACATGTAGCACAACTCAGTGACTGTTTTATGTATTTAGTCAGCATACAGTAAATAGTTGTCTGATATTCAACGAAGAGTCATCAGATCTGAGCTTAAAATTGGTTACGTAAACCAAAATGGCGGCCGTGTAATGCAATTTTCAAGGAAAACAAGCTCTCAGTGGACTGTATAGCTACTTTGAAATTTCAACTGCAATTTTGCAGTCTAATTCATAATTATTCAATGAAATTTCTATTTACAACTTTATTCACATAGGCCTATCTCGTGTAATGTTTATGGCATAAAACTGGCTAAGAAAAGGACTCTTCTTATCTGGTAGTGACCACTAGACACGTCGTAACTTGTGAAGTGTTTTAAGCCATTTGACAAGGAAATTACAACGCGTTCAACTCATTGCATGTTTCGTGAAATGGATTATATGATGCCTCGCAAGTTGCGACGTGTTGCACGTCGTAACTCGAGCTGCGATTCGTGAAATTGGATGCAGGTTAAGCGGCTGCCCCGAAGGCCTTTAGGAAAAATTCGGCTATCCGATCACATCTTTTTTCAATTAATTTTCTAGCGCCAAAAGTTACCTCTTTTATGGTTATTCCTCCACTTTCCCTCCTCTACTCTCACCCTCTCCTTTCCTTAATTTCTATTTATCAATCAGTCACTCACTTCATCGAGATTCGAACCTCGGACGCTTGCTAAATACATGAGTCTCTTAACCGCTAGGCCGCGCACGATCGCTGTTGCAATGATCAATCTTTGGCATGTTTGGACGTATTTGAAGTATCCATTGAAATAAACTAAATATTCATGAGAAAATAAATATTCACAATGACGTATTGCACTATCACTGGCCGGCTCATGCGACGTCTCATGCGACGTCATGGTTATCGATGTCATGCGTATAACGTACTGCTGTTCCAGACACTTCAATCAGTTTTGACCGGCTGCTTCAACTCAGATCTGCACTACATGTGCATGCAAAATGTGCTCCAAAAGCACATTTTTACCAATTTTTGTTTGCATGTCCACTCTTTCCTTTATTCCTCTTGGTTGAAATCACAAGGTGAGGTGAAAATTTGGATGTTTGGCGGCAGGTAAGTGGTAATCGGTTGGCCGAATTTTCCCGGCCTTTATCTTACCCAGAGAGTGAGCTGTCTGCCATGATGTCTATGCATCCCACCGAGTACTTGCCACGTCCTGGTAAAACGCCCGTGTTTGCGCTCGTGGTGAACGGCCACATGATGGCTACGTGGCGAGTCCAAAATTTCCAATCAAAGAGAGTAAACCGCATACATTACAAATGTCCTGACAACAAAAATGATACAGATTACTGAACAACCAGATATGATCTCAACAAATTTCACGTGTAGCACTGTTGTGTTAGTAAGAGCAAGCTACTGTCCACTGAGCAGATTTCAACATTTTCAAGAAGGCTTGATATGTGAATACTTATCACGCGGTGAAGCAATGTTCAGTCTTTGTCACGGTAGGGCGATTTCGCTTGGTTTGAAATGGTACAAGAGCATGGCGTAGTTTACAAGCCACGTTCACAGGTCTAGGTCAAGGGCGGATCCAGGGGGGGGGGGGGCCAAAGGGGGCCATGGCCACCCCCCCAAAACGAAACCATTTTTTTTTTTATGTGACATCGCAATAAAGGTAGGCAATGAGTACACCACCATCTTTTCCTCAAAAATCATTGGTTAAAGTGGTCAGAAATTGCCTCAAATCGCACCACAGAGCATCTAGAATCCAAAATTTTTCGGGGCCCTTAAGCGGGCCCCGAACCTCACGCCGTAATTTTTTGACCCACTTTGTTGGGGGACCAAAAATTGTTTTGGCCCCCCCAAAATTGTGTTCTGGATCCGCCCTTGGTCTAGGTCATGCCTAGACCTGTGAACGTGGCTTGTAAACTACGCCACACTCTTGTAAATTATATTCGAACCAAGCGAAATCGTCCTTCCGTGACAAAGACTGAACATTGCCTTACCATGTGATAAGTATTCACATATCAAGCTTTCTTGAACATGTTGAAATCTGCTTTTACGCCAAATCTGGCATTTAAACGATATTCGAGGTAAAATCTGGCAAGATCTCGACGTCCTGCAACCTCCTCCTGATGCATGTGATTTACCACGTGATAAATGCTGCAGATAATTTGGTATCGCACTGACGCTCCGGGCACTCCGGAGTGCGATTCCAAATTATTAGCTGCGTTTATCACGTGGTCTCGTTATTGGCCAATCAGTCGCCGCCTATCATATGTGCCACATGAAGCAGACGGGTAGCTCGGAGGGCTCCGATAATTTTGCACGCAAATGACACTGGTACTCGTCCAGGGTCATTTGTCAGGGTCACTTGTCGGGTTAAAATCTAATTTCTACACGTTCGTATGGGTCTTCATTGATGGCAAATTTTGTCGAAATGACACATCCTGAACACGCGGACAGGCAAATTTAGATTTCTAGGTGAGTACTCAACATCCATACAAAATTATGTATGGCGGATCGATTTCCCTAGGTTCGAAAATACACAACAGCATGGCGTTACAACGCCACGTTCATGGGTCTAGATCATGCCATGACATCGGTTATTCGGAACCCATTTACTATTTAGTGACTTCCATTTTAATATGGGAAAGAATGTTGCAACCTGACGCTGCTTTTTCCTTCATATATCTCAATGAAGGTCATTCATTGCAATGAAAAGAGGCCTACTTAAGTAGGACTTCAAATTGCTTTCACAGGTCAACTCGGTCCGTGACCGACTCGGTCCGTGAGCAACTCGGTCCGTGCCCAACTCGGTCCGTAACCAACTCGGTCCGTGACTAACTCGGTCCGTAACCAACTCGGTCCGTAACCAACTCGGTCCGTAACCAACTCGGTCCGTAACCAACTCGGTCCGTAACCAACTCGGTCCGTAACCAACTCGGTCCGTGACTAACTCGGTCCGTGACCAACTCGGTCCGTAACCAGCTCGGTCCCTATGGGAAAATGTACGCAAAAAGATTGCTTTTTTTTTTTTGTAACAAGGGCCCACATGTACAAAATGCTGCTTTAACGGTACTCCACTGTCAGTGACATCCTAGAGTTTGAGACCTTACGATTACAGACTTATTTATGTTTTTTGGGGGGACGGCACCGCTGGCGCTGTGCGGCCAAGCGTGGCACTGTCACCGGTGCACCGGTGCACCGGCCGTGCGTGGTGGCGATGGCCAGTGGGGCTGTGCGGCCAGGCGCGGCACTGTCACCGGCCGGCCTTGCATCGTTTTCACAAAGTCCGAACGCACCCGGCCAGCTGCATATATGCCCACGCGGCCCGCCGTGCGCAGGGCCGGGTCTTAGGGGTGACCGAAGGGCCGGCAACCCGCCAGCGCAGCCTACATGTACGTAGCCTCAGCTCAGCACCCGTACACGTGGATCGTGCGTGAAACTTTTTATTTCAAAGCTCTTTTTTTATATTTAAGCTCCACAAGCTATCCATGGCCCGAGCCGTCCACATGCCACCTAGAAATTGAGGCAACAGAAACTATAAAGTGCGTACGGAGATCTGGAAGAAGAAAAAACCCACTCGAGACCGCCTTGCCCTTGTTGCAAGAAAATGAAGTCATTTTGCGCACATTTTCCCATACTGGCCATAAGGACCGAGCTGGTTATGGACCGAGTCGGTTACGGACCGAGTTTGTAACGGACCGAGTTGGTTACGGACTGAGTCGGTCACGGACCGAGTTGACTCGGACCGAGTTGGTCACGGACCGAGTTGACCGGCACCCTTCAAATTTGTCTTGACTTTCCATAGACTTTGTACACAACCGCTGAAAGTAGCGTCGGCTTGCAACATTCTTAATTGAATCATGTTTTAACCACACTCGTAAAATTCCATCGTACTCAAAACCCCAAATTCAGTTACCTATGATGCGCTGAGGTGCAGCTATACTACAGAAAATACACTGACGCGACAAAATTTCGACAAAATCGAGCAACCTCTCTCGTCGGTGATCAGCCGGTTGTTGACGGGCCCATCGATCTGTCCGCTGGAACCCTGGAGGGCGCTGTATCCGGTCACCGGTCAACAAATAGACTTGCTACAAGTAAGTTAATGCCGGGAAACACTAATTACACACTCGATCCCGATAATCGATCCCGAAAATCATTGACTGGCGTTTAAAAAGTATTGGTACTCTGTGATTACATGTTAATATGAATGGAAGGCAGTTCCAGTCTCGTGTGCCCGTAAAGTGGGAAGAAAAGTGCCAACAATATAATGTGAGTATGTAGTACCACGGAGCTATAGCTCCATGGTAGTACAACCTTTTAATTCAACGCACGCGCCTTGACCACTCATCTGGAGTTTGCAGGTTCGAATTCGATTCTATCATTCTTTGCCATGCCCTCTCCACAAGTCAATTTCTTTTGTTCTTCTTTTAAGTACAAAGGGTTATATATATTGCTCCTTGTAATGAAGATTGAAGAGTCGAGACAGGGAAATCATTTAGAGAAACCGTTTGTATTTTTTGACTCGGCCTAATTAATACACCGGGAAAAAAATATATCAAAAATGAGCGGGGCGGGGCGGGGGGGGGGGGGGGCGCTAACACCACATTACACTAGGGGGAGCTCTTCAGGTATAGATGTATATCAATATTTATATACTTGCATCAAATATAGGCGCATGTTAAAACCTTTTGTCACCACTTTTCAATGCTATATAATACATTTTTGTCAATGGGGTGTTGAAAAATGACCCCCAATTTTTTTTTTCTCATCACGAAAAAGTGTGGGCCCGGGGATGATTCAATAGCCCACCCCCTGGTCAAAAAGTGGGGATATACCCCCATCCCCCGGGATTTACGCCCCTGTAAATCGGAAGCAGAACTATTTTGGGGGCCTATTTCAGCTGAATCACTTTAAAGACTCTGGCACATTCCTCAAAGTGCATAAGCATTTTGAAAGCCCCTCGTTGTGGTATAAAACGCGTCTAGCAAGGAGCATCCAATCTTTCTGGCCAATCTGGAAGAACTTTCATGGCTGATGTAATATTCGGCGAGTAGACATATAACAGGGTTCGAAATTAGCGGTAGCCCGCTAGCCGTAAATGCTAGTCAAACTATTCCTTAAGAAGCCCGGCTGGCGAGTCCAAAATTATTGCAATACGGCAAAAAGGGAAGGACAGGAAGAAATGAATCATGACACTCGGAACGCGAAAAACGAGGTGCGCGCGCATTTTGGCATCGTTATTGGTCGAAAGAGCCTGGATTGCGTGTGTACAACCCAGGTGCAACTAGCGGGAGTCTTGTGCAACCGCTGCCGCCGGATTTGCTATAGGCCTAAATCTTGTGAAGAAAAAAAATCAACTAATATAACTTGAATGCACATCAAATTCTGTCTAAATCGCAATGATTTTATTACTAAAGTATTACAAAGTTAAAATTAAGGCAGCCTCATTTCCAGCTCCTTTTTATATACATTACTTGTCTTTCTAAAAAATTCCCTTCCAAAAAAAGCGTACTACATAATGAAATTGTGAAAATTATATACTGGGCAATTATTAACAGCTGATTTAACGATTTAAAGAATACAAAGGTATGCATGTGTTGATACACTCTTTAGAGTAATATACAGCACAGATCCTACACACAAGGATGAACGACTGTTCCGAGCTCTAGTACAAAATGCGCTGAACGGACTTGCCGTATTTAATTTGGTTGGGCGCCTGATATAATTAACAGGCCTTCATATCGCGTGTCCCCGCGCGCAGTGAAGCGTCAAAGCTGTCTGGGTCTTTGTTGACAAGTATTCATGATAATTGTCACCTGTAATGGGCCGACGGGCCCTTATCACGCGTCTAAGCAGGAGTTTGACCGAGATCGTTAATCCTTGCGTGTAGGATCCGTGCATACAGGTAGCATATTATACAATGTACTGTACATGTCATTAACAAAATGTGTCAGACTAAACATGTGAAAAAAGGTGGGTACCCAAAATTTCTTTAAAAGATTATAAGCACCATTTTGAATCGAATCGAATCGAATCAAATCGAATCGAATCAAATCAAATCGAATTGAATTTTTTTCAATCACTACAAAAAATCAGTGCATCCCAACATAGACTGCATAGCGGAATAATAAAAAATCTCACCCACAATGGAGGACAAAAAGTTGGACAACTCATCAACCAACTACAACATCCTTAACCAGCATCAGGCTAGGAAACATAATAATAACATCCAGACAAGTACAGCTAAACTTGAAGGAGCAACACCCGTCAGTAAGGCCCCCCAAAAAGTCCCCGGTTTCTGGTATGCGCGCGCGTCGCCGTAGCCATGCGCGTCGGCAAAATGAAAAAGTTTTTTTTAATGAAAGATGATGTCTCAAAACCGCCAAACTCACTGGTTTGACTGGAATCCTGCTGCTGCACAATTTTAACGTGTTTTTAGATTGGGTTATGGTCGAGAATAAGCTTTATGTGGCCCCTCTGGACTCCCATATAATTATTTGCACTAAGTTTAGTAGGGCACTATTTGCAGTAATCAGCCTACATTTGAAGCAAAAAAATCAGGTAAAAAAAAAAAAAAGCCGCGTCGCCGCACCACTTTTGGGGCAAGCTCCTTACCAGAAACCGGAGACTTTTTTTGGCCTAATAGTGCTAAGGGCAACAATCGGAAAAGAGAATTTCCAATGTTTCATATAAACACATTTTCTGAAAATGGTCCTATAAACGGCAGACTGCATGGTGAAATTGCCAGACAACAAAATCTCACTCAAAAGGCTATATAAAACATATCCCATAAATCGGTGAGTACAAATATTTCAAATACTACACCAAACTACAAAATTGCTGACAAAATATTCCACTTAGCAGCTACACTAAAATTAGCAACCTACAATTTAAAATAATTTTTTTAACTGCCTAAAAATTGAACAGATCTACAAAGCTTGGATACCAAATGGTCAAATAACATGTATTAAGCACAATTCTACAAATCATAATTTGACAATTAAAATTACACAGCACATAATGTAATCAACACTCAGTTGGCGGTGAAGTCCTTCGCTGCAAGGCGAGGCACGAATCAGATGGTCACCATCATGTCCATAGTTTCGCGAAAGTTAAAAACGGTAAAGCGAATAAAAACGCGGAAGCGAACTTATAAGTTCACTTTGCAGGAGAAAATCTAAAGTCCGGCACAAAATACATCCGGACCAGCGTCGTCACTAAAACGTTCAAGGCAATGTTGAACACTCCATCCTGTCTACGACGCCATTTGAAGGCGAGTAGACATCTTGGAGGAATAAATCAGAACACTCAATCCTGTCTACGACGCCATTTGAAGTGGACCAGCTTCCACGTCAATTAAGGGGGAAGGAAGGAGGAACGGTCCTCTAATTAAAGCGGACGAGTGTTCATGCAAACTATACAGTTTATGATGAAATGACAACTATGATATCCTGAACTAAAATACATTTATTCTAACAACACTTCAAGCAAAAGCCCCTATGCACAATGAAATGTCAAAGTAAATACAATGTGCGTGTCAAAGTTCAACACATGGCTGTATGTACGCTACACACTATAATGCAAAACTTACAATGCAACGAAAGATGTCTCATTTCTCTCACAAAATGATGAGACACAGCAAGATACTCACTGGGAACTTTCTATGAAATTTCCCTCCAGAGTGATATATTTCGCAGGAGCCATGCCCCCTACAAAAGGAGATAATTTTTGGAGACAATTTTTGTCGGTCTTCTCTGGTCGAAGCCCACAGAAGAAAACGTGTTACAAGTTGCCTTTGCGCGGGAAGCACAAAGGTCACACTATGCAAATCACCTTGCCAAACTTTTGAACGAACAACAACTGAGGGCGCACTTGGTCTCCCTACACATGCTTCTTGGGACCTAATGAATTATTCCAGCTGATTTTTTGGTTGTATTTTTTCCCTGCTGCTGACTCTTAAAACCTCAAAAATAATTCAAACAAATTCTGGATTTCATGATTTGTGGGACATGACCTTTTTTCAATTCACAGGAAACAATCCTAGACCCAGATACCTCGTAAGACCGAAGTTTCACCTCTTGTCAACTGTTAGTGATACAAATTAATCTCTCTCTTGTGTTTATTGTATTGTGTTCAAATATTCGTGACGCGAATTACCTCCAGCTAGATATTTAATTCGATTCGATTCGACTACGCATTTCTTCAACATGACTCGACTCGACTCGGGTCACAACAGTCCTTGACTCGTAATTCTGTTGAGAATTGGCTGGCATTGAATCGGCTTGACCCCTTAGTGCGCAATTACGCCTCTGGTGATTTCTTAAAGAACTAACAGAAGTGAATGCCTTGCCACATTTGCAAGGGTATGGTCTCTCACCCGTGTGCTGCCTTTCATGCTCAATGATTAGACGCCGACTTTTGCTTACTTTGTCGCAGTAGCGACACGGATAAGACTTTTCCTGTTTATTACCAGTCCCCGAGACTGATGGCGCATCTGAACTCTTTGAGCTGTGCTTGATGTGGGATTTCTGCTTGCTTGGGCTTCTAAGATCAGACATGCTTGGAGACTTCTGCTGGGCAGTTTGTCTGATTGGGCTTCCCAAACTGGTCACTAGTTGGCTATGGCTTTTTGGTGCATTATTGGCAATTTGGAACTGGCTTGTACTTGCACCGGACACTGTGGGACTTAGGTTTTTCTTTGCTTTGGCCACATTGCTGATTTGGCCTGTGCCGGCCATTTTTGGACCTTTTTGCACGGAGCTTGTATTATACATGGGGCTAGCGCTTGCATTGGGAGTGTTTGCAGGTGCCGCTTTACGCGTTAGGCTGGCATAGGATACTTCTGTTTTGAGGTTTTGGATTTGTAAAGTTTCTACCACTTTGCGGCCTGTGGGCCTGGCAGCATCAGTCCTCTCCAATCCAGGGATCATCTCTGGATGCATATCATTCAGATGTTTGTTGAGGGATGATTCTCTCGTGAAGTATAGCTTCCTACAGTATTGACATTTAAAGAGGTCCTCCTTCTGGGGCGCCATTGTTCTCTTAGCTGGCATGCTTTTTGGAAATTTCTTCTTCTGTATCTGCCTCTGTGAGGGTCCGGGTAAGTGTCTACCCGAGGGCATCTTTTTGCCCATTTTGCGGATCTTTAAAGGATCTTTGAGGTGGAGGCTCTCATGATACAGAAGACGAGATGAGGAAGACAAACTCACACTGCAGTACTTGCAGCGATACTTTTGCTTGATACCAGATCGATGAGTCTTGGAGGAAACACTAGAAGGAGAAGCTTCAATGACGACACCGCCTGTAACAGTGAGGTTTGACTCCTCTTGCTTCACCTCGCATGTATCACCGTGATACTGATTTACTCCAGGACTTGTGGGAGGATTTGAAGTGCTAGCATGAGCAATTTGTTCCTCCTGTGCTGTGTAAGTACCAGGTGTGAGATGCGTGGGCTGTGGTGCCTTAGACTGGGACTTCGGACATTTTGGTTGTTTTTGGGATTGGAGCTTTTTCGGATTTGTATTCGACATATTCTGGTTTAAATGGGTCTTTGCATGTGAACTTTTTGCTTTAACTGTACTAAACTTTTTGCCACAGATTTTACAGGATAAGTCTTCGCTGTGTTTCAAAATGTGTTTTTTTAAATGGCCCTCGTGCATGAATTGTTTTGAGCAAAAAAGACAAGGAAAATTCCTCGGTAATACCGTCGGTGTCTTTCTTTTTGGCGACGCACCGATGGGTCTGGTCTTACCCGCGCTTTGCGGAGTGCTGACGTTCCCTGTATCTTTGCCATCAAAACCATTATCTTCTCTTACAGATTTCGCGAAGGAACCTGGTTGCAGTGTCCCTGCACGGCTCAATTTCTTTTCTTTTACCTGTCCTCTTTTATTCCCCACCTCTTCATCAACCAAGGGCTCTGTGTCTGGACGACCTCGTAGGTATTCTGAGAAACAGAAAAAGAAAGAGAAAAAATTCAGTCTGATGAAATTTGCAACTGTTTATTTACAGTTTTTAAGAGTAGACTCTTTGGAAACTGTGGATGATGTAATTAGTGGTCATACCAAAAACATTCAGAAAAGCTTGTGAACAAGCTTAATTAGCTGCGATAGATCTACTACATTTATTGCAGAATTCTGAACAATTCCTCAGAATCTCACAAAGTATTTTCTTCTTTTTCTTAAATTTCCATTCATATCCCTTCTTTTTACAGCCTTGGAATTTGTCCCCAGTCCTGCCTCTTACATGTCTATACCAATGGCCTCTAACCATTTCAATCACATGACAGCCATCCAGAAGATGGTAGACCTTGGGCACGACCTATCTATTGTGCCCTTGTAGCTTGCCGACTGGACGAACCCAGTCTGACCCATCTACAGCGAAGTCTCTAGAGCTATTTTTCGGGGTTCCTCCTGACATCAAGACGAGTCTGATATTTTTTTCTCGCTTTGATTAACAGCAGTCTTGAGGTAAAGAAGCAGTCTTGTTTTGCATAATTAATCCTCAGATCTGCTCCCACATCATAGACCCTTGCTGTGTCAGTAGATATTCCATAGACTTTTTAGAGACCTGTCCTGTTCAATGGTGAAACTGCTTGGCATCACTACCCAGGCAGATTGTATGTGCATGTATTCTTGTACTAAAAAGAAAGGCTGGGCTTTCATAGCCTGACCGGGCTTTCATATCCTAGATTTTGAAACGATGTATGGTTTTCTTGCAGGTGAAAAAGATCGCAGTAGGGGACAACTTCTCATTGTAATCGACGGCTACATTCAGCAACTCTATCTATGCATCCTATCTACAAACAGTGAAAGAAAGCTGGGTATACCGCCTGTTGTATTTGACGACAGACGTTTGAGAGTCAATTCAGATTGTAATTGCAACTCTTTGATGCAATTAGAAGTTTATACACTAAAACTAATTAGCTTAGAATTAAAGAAAGTACATGCAGACGCACAGGTACCGTACCTGGCTTCTCTTCAAAGTAGTCCAAGTTGAAATCTCCTGGCCCCATTTGCACCTCATCAGCATCGTCCAGGTGCATTTGCTCACCATAACCTGAATCAGGAAAATTATCATTATCTCATTGATACTAATTCCACGTAATGAAAAATCGCCATGCATGTTGTCAAAAGCACTCCATGCCATACTAGGCAATGGACCGATCCAGTAAGCACCACCCCATGGTGTTCTGACCAATCACAGCCGTGATTTATGTCCGACGTGCGTGCACAGAAGTCCGACATGCGTGCACGCGCGTATGATGCGCGCGGCAGGAAAATGCAGTGTGGCATTGGAGAGGAGCACGTGGTAATTTTCCCACGTGCGCAGTGGGCGGGGCTTACTGGATCGGTCCATTAGGACTAGTATAACTGGTCCCCCAAATCACACAAATCTATTCAATTTAAATTCAAATTGGCTATGTACCTGAAACTTCTACTACATCTGGTCTACACAATATGGGTAGACTTGAGTCTATTCGTTGACATTAATCCTTGATCCTCCTCAATCTTCGTGGGGGTTTCAGGGGATTTTTTGAGACTGAATGGTTGATTTTGGAGTCAATTTTGTAGGCTGTACCCTGCATTGGTTATGTGTATCTGTGCATAACTGAGCCCTGGATTAGTGCTCGCTACCTCAACCCATTAACACTGATTGTTGGAGGATCTTGAAGGAACCAACTAATTTTGTTAATGTTCATCTTAGGTTTTGGCAAGTGAACATAAAGCATTGAGATTGCCAAATTGCTTTTAAGCAATTTGGCAATCTAAGTACAAAGAATTGCTTTACTAAAGAAAAAAAAAGATTGATGCTCCTACCAAAACTGTCTTCCTCTGTTACTACGGTAACCTCGATATTCTTCTCCCAAGCATCTTTGATGTCCCGCAGCACTGCCATTCTTTTAGTGAAGGTTGTTTCATCGACAAGACTGGTCAGTTCCGTCACGAGCTGAAATGCGAGGGCGGACTGCGACGATTTTTGAGGTTGATCCATTTTGTCTACGGCGTTATCCAAGCTGTGCTGTTATGAACAAGGAAGCAAACGATCGTGTTGATGATCATTTTCGATGGAATACATGTTGGAAATACATAACTTTTGATATTTGTGACACGTTCTGACAAAATGAGACGGAAACGAGCAGAGGTCGCAATGAGGGTTAGTTTAATATGATAGTCCAAAACTTTGGAACTCTCAAAACCGGTACCTTGTATGAGAGTCCCAAAACGTACGGTATTCAAAACATGCAATACAAGAAAATAGACTGGCACCTGAAACAACCAGTCCAACACTTGAACTCTTCATCAATCAACTGTCAGCTGACTGTGCCAAAAATATCGATGTTCGGTACTAGGTCACTATTTCTACACATTTCTCCATAGTCAGGCACCCGACTAAATTACAATGAATGAAGAAGTCAGTCATGTCAAATAGTTGGACCATGGATGGACATGTAGAAGTCTAGTATTTAGCATCATTTTAAAGGGAATATACATCATTTGCTTTTGCTGTAATTTTCAGAAGTGGATGGAATTGGGGGGTTGAAAATATAGAGCAAATATAGTTACATTGACTTTTTTGAGGTTTTGGGTTAAAAAATGCTATAAAAACCAAGAAAAACAATCATTTTCCTGTAGTCTGGTTCCCTGACTCCATTTAAGAAGAAACAGGGCAGTTTACATACATTGGGGAATTGTAAGGTCAGGGAACCAGTCTAGCTGGCTTGTACCCGTTCATAGGTGTGTTATCGATTGCAAACAAGTGCGATGGTCAACTGGGGCCAGTATTTGAAAAAATCCAGTTGTTTTCCAACGCTGATCGGCCGATCAGCGTTGGAAATTGATACAAAATACCACTTTTCTTGAAAATGACAGTATACCAGGTGCCATGATTTTACAGGATGCTTGTACACTGTCATTCATTAACAGTCCAGCAAGGTATTTCAAAACGATTGGGTAGTTTTATTTTTTGATGTTTGCAAATGTTGTATTTTCCCTTTAAAAATCACTTGTCTTGTGTAAGTGTAAGGGCGCGCCTAGTGGTGCGCTCCCTGGGGTAGTTTGAGCGTGTGCTAACAAACTGGGGTAGGGTGTGTACCCTGGTGAATAATTGACAGTCAGTTCTAAATAAAGTGATCCAGTGACTCGAATATTGCACATTTGCAGCTCAGAATGTATTTATTTATTTGTAATTAATTAGTATGTGTGGAAATCCCCTGATAAAAATGGTCTCTGATAGTGATAATCAGCTACAAGTACAAGTAGAAATGACAAATTATCACTTTAAATATTCCCTTAAAACAAATTGGATCCTGGCAGTCACAATACAAACTACTTGAATATTAAATCCTAATGTCAAATTCTGAGATGATCCAAATCCTGGTATGTATGTATCCCTAGTAGAAACCCTCTACAAATCCAAGAAGATATTTCTCCAAAAATCCAGATCCCAAATCTTCAGTATAAATCAATCAATCCAATCCAATCCGACAATCAATCCAATCGAATCGAATCGAATCGAATCGAATCGAATCCCCTATTGATGCAAAAAAAAATACCATTCATTGATTCAATCTCTTTCCATGATAAACTAAGTAATATAAAAGATAAATGGATACTGTTCCCCTCAAAGCCCTAGTATAATATTACGTATAACTCACCTAGTCCGAAAATTTGGGACTCTCAATACTGTGTATGAGAGTCCCAAAACTGAAGGTATCCATATTGTGCAAAAGTTTGAGCTGCATAATAAAACCAGTGTGAATCAAATGTGCAAGCTTCTTACTCACTACAGTTTCTTCAATAATCCCCGAAACTTCTGCCCTGCAAATTTAGTTGCTGTTGTGAGCATTGCATCACCAAAAATTCAGCGTTTAATTCTAATTTTGCACAGAGTTATCGAAATCCAAACGTGAAACATCACGTTGATGTGTACTGCAATGCATTGTGCAAAAAGACTACTCGGCTAAAACATTTTCATCGTTCCATTTCGCTAGACACGCGGCTGGTCTGTTTGCGTGCTGAGGGATTTTCCCCGATAAGAAATCTTTTTATGTGTAGAGCAGAGCACGCGTTGCAGAAATCGAACCCTCAAAGACCCCTTCACAGGTTGAATAAAGAAATAGGTTAAGTAAAGAGACAAAGCCATATCGATTAAGCAATTTATGTTAAAAAAAATTCAATGCCTATAAAGAGCTGATCACATATTGTACATGTAGTTCCATACATTGACATCACTCGACACCCTGTGCACAGATCCTCAGACGCAGTTTGGAAAAATGTTTTTTTCTAAGTAAATGCTTCAAAATTGTTTTCCATAAAAAAAAAAAAAAGTTTTATTTTCTGACTGCTGATATTCAACTGCAGGGGAAAATTGGTGATGATATACGTACACGGAACTCATCCCAAACTGGTGGGAAAAAAGTAACATAAACAGGGAGTGCGATGGGGGCGTAGGCTACTTGCAGTAGATTGCACATTGTAACACATGTGAATATACACATCTAATAAAAAAGCTGCTGGAAGTTTTCTTAATACATAAATATATTTCAGGTATTTGTAAATGTAACACGAAAATCGCTGGAATTGCCTTGGCCTATATGGCGAGTTGGTTGGACTTAAAGCAACATGTGTGCAAACACAGCAACAAGGTTTGCAAAACAAAAGCCTCATTTATGGCTGCAATTTGTTGGTCGTCACGACACAATGTTGCCAAACTGAGGGCGAAAGCCACACCAGGATCAACTAGTGATACCAGAGGTCAAATCTACAAAAACGTAAAGACAAAAAAACACCCCGATATTATCGGCGCAACGGCCTACCGGTAAACTTTGATCACAAGCAAGGCCTTCGCAATTGCCAATCATGCCAAAACCACACAGCCATCACGGCAAAGAATCATCTGATTGTCCACATCGTCGCTCCTACTTTAATATCCCTTTAATGTTAATCTTACCTTGAATGAAAAGAAATAATAATGAAGACAAGAAAACTGATGGAAAAATTGTCGGAGAAGAGATCTGCTTGGAAACAAAAGGCACTTTCATGTACACTTCAGATCGCTTTTCGATGTGACATCCCGCCGAACGAACTGCTATGCAATGCATGCTACGCGTACGTTCGTGTGCAAAGTCGCTCGCATAGCGTACGTTGTGTACAACGTGGAGCTTTTGTTTATCTCCCAGTCCCGGTCGCGAAGGTCAAGTCGCGCATGCGCAGTTGGAACTCCGAAGTGGCTTATTGCACACGACATGCATGTGCCGGGATCACGTAAATGTCAGGCAGTGACAATTCCAAATCCACAAGTGACCCGGCATGACATTCTGATAGCTCCGATTGAAAATCAGAATTGATCGAGTTAATTAAAATATTTGGGTTTTACAGCAGCAACAAAATAATTAATGATCAAGGTACCTATTTTGTAATCCAAGATAGACCTTCTGCTTGAAATAAGGGCAGAGAAAAAAGCAAGGAAACCACTAGATGAGCATGCATATATATCCTCTTGATGAGGTAAATGATTCCAGCTAGTTTGAATTTTAAAGCTCATAATGAGTCGTATCTTCATACGAGATACATTTCGACACAGTTTATTAGTACCGTACGTGACTTTATAAATAACTTCTGTTTTCTTGCAAGAACAATGTACTTGTACATGTACTTGTACATTCCTGTCCCCAGCTAAATTCAAATGTACCACACTGCAGTAACTGTTTCCTGTTGTATTGGGTCGTGACCCCACTCAAAATACCGTGCGGGAGTCCAAAGCCAAAAAAGCGAGTGCGTGTGGGAAAAGTACTGTGTACCGCGCGCGCCCAACGGGAAGAGTTCAGCACGTGCTCATCTACACGGGAATTCCCGAGGATGAGAAATACAGCTTGATTGTTAAAACACGTGGTGTCTAATTCCACGTACATGGGCGCCCATGATGATGTAAATTTGTAAAAATTACTCCAGTTCTAGAGTTGGTGATATCATAAAGCCATGGCGATATCATGGAGCAAGGAACTGAAAAAAAATCAGTGTGGTAAATGCAAATGATTATACAAACAATAATGGAAATATCTAGGCATCACAAAACAAACTTCAATCTTTTGATTTTTTTGTTCTTGTTCAAACCAAGCCCTCAATAAAGTCAGGAAAGCCAACAAATTAACAGCCTCCAGGAACGATCCCGGAAAATGGTTGCCATATATGTCACCCTTATAGTGCGAAGAACATTAATTACTTGTGGCCACTGCATAATTATTAACTTTCTCCGTCATTGCTATTTTTTTTCATAAATATCAATCTATGATTGGAACAAAAAAAAAACCGTCCTGCGACATACATGTAATGTTGCCCGTATAATATGCGAAGAACATAGACGACTTGTGGCCATTGCGAACTTTTCACTGTACTTCAGAATTCAACAGGTGAAAGATCAAACCAAAAGATCGATGATTGGAATAATATACACCGGCATGCAACATGTCTCATTCTACTGATCAAACGGGGTCTGTATGTAACCCATTCAAGTAGTGCTGTACAGAGGTCATCAGAGTTTCGAACTGTGCTTTGTTCCGTTTACACGATGAACGCACACTACTTTCCTCACATGCCTATATCATAAACCTTTGCCCTCTAATTCTGCCGTTACACATCAAGATTGGAAAAATGTTGCGACCTGACGCCATTTTCTGTCTTCATATACCACCTCAATGAAGGTCTCTCGTTTCAAAAATGATGAAGACGTGAATCTGGGACTGAGAAACTTATTTTATTTTGTTAAATACATCTCCATAGACTTTGTACACAATCGCGGAAATGGCGGGAAGTTCAGCATCGTGAAACTATTGATCAACGATACTTAAATTTCTCATCGGATAAAGCTGCTTAAAACTCTTACCTTCCTGGGCTACATGTACTGTACACTCTCAAGGATGCAAACACTGCAGTCCAAGTACAACTCAATGTCTGCGATCAGACTTCATGAAATGAAGGCATGCCATGCAAAGGCTGTACGCGACGTCGTCAATTTTATGAAATCCTCGCATGGAACATATGTTATGATCGAAATGTGCATGTTGAATGTGCAAGTGATCTCTATAGTACCGCGCCCACCCGATACAACCCTCTGTGCTCATTACGTCACGCAATGTTTACCTCAGTGCATTGTGGGATTGAGTGGGGGCGGTCGCCGCACCGCGATTGCTATAGAAATCATATTATGGTATTGTGTACCGTCTGATTTATTTTAATTTTGATCATCGAATTAAATGACCCTCAAAATGTGATAAAACCTTATCTTAGTTAATCTAAACTGTATTTCAGACGATGCAGACGATGGCCATGTATCGCACGGTATTAACGCGCGTGACTGCACTGTGTAGCGCTAGTACAGCGGGCTGCGATCGAGCGACTTGCTGCGGCAGGACATTTCGGGGAAACACGCTGCTTCAAGTCAGAGCGGTACAACCGGTACAACCTCGAAATACATGATTAAACCAAATAAGTACATCCAATGGTTAACCACGGAAAATACGTACACAAAAAAGACGTATTCGATGTATTACACTGCTTTATGTTTATTAAGTTGGACAAATAATGTTAACGTCTTCTTAACATAATTTTCAAAGTTATATAACAACATTAGGTTTCGAGTGAATCCAGTGTATCGCTTCAAAATATGAAAGGAGAAAAAAAAGAACACAATGTATATTTCAATAAATACGATTAATACAAAAACGAAAAAAGAAGAAGAAAATGGTAAAGAAATATGGCACTTTGAAATTGAATATACTGCCTAAAACAAGCTAGTGCATCAATGAAAGATGATTATGGCGATTTCCAGCTTAGTATATAAATGCAATCAATGTTGCAAATGGACCCACATCCTAAATTTATATTAAACTAACTTAATTAATTATTCACATGTGCTGTGTTAAATTGGCACACCTGTCCCCCCCCCCAAAAAAAAACCCCACATAAGATATGAAATATTTAGCAAGGCAAGTGACACATATCTGACCAGAAAATTGGCCTGTAATTTAAAACGATGAATGAAAATATAACAATAAGTTTATGACATGATATAATAGAAAATAAAAACACATACATGCCGGTGAAGCTAGCTCCATAATGGGTACAAACGTTGTAGGCCTCAAAATGCCTCTTCATCAATATGATTATTTAATGGGTGGGCAGTTCCATGAAAATGTGTACCCCCCCTAAAAATTTAACTTATATAAAACTTTGAAACCTTGTTTTGTCAGTGGCCGAGAGGTCAATAGCATTGCAAAGGTAGGTGTACACAAAATCAATGTAAATGAGTTGGTAGTGTATCTAGTGGTCCGAGAAACGGAACTGCATTAAATTAAACAAGGACCAAACCATTTTAACTTGAAAGTTAACACCATATCCAAATGTAATGTCTACGACGGCAGATAGAACAGCTCAGGAATTGCACATCAAAATGTATAGGCTTTCCAGCTGCCAACTATAATTATACCTTTTTTAGGGTGCATTTTTGGGCATAATGTAGCAGAAATAGTACAGGGAATTGCGTTAATGTCAGGTGACATAATGCTGCGTTTCCAACGTGCATGTCAGATCGCATTAACATTTATATGTGTCATAAAACAAATATTGAATGCTTTATCTCGTGGTGAAGTAAAACTAGCCTCCCTCGGTGATCCATGGAGCATTCTATTTTCCCTCGGCTTCGCCTCGGGAAAATAGAATGTCCATGGATCGCCTCGGGAGGCTAGTTTTACTACACCACTCGAAGCATTCAATATTTGCATAATATACTTTGGCTCAAACTGGGTTTTGCTGGGGAGCTTGACTTTTAGTTGACCGCCACTTTAGGCCACTGACCTTTGTCCTCAGGGCCTGTTTTATGGCGACCGGGGTGGCTGTCGTGTCGGCGTTGTTTTGCAAGGTGAAATCTGTTGAAGATATTTTTGTTAATTATCAAAACATGACAATTGTTCATATACCACATATCTTTCATTATTTCATTGACGCTCGTTAAAGGGCAGATGGCATAAGACACTGATAGTAGAAAATTGCCCCTTATTTATAGATCAAGATGTGTATCAGCCTTCAAACAATTAAACAAGTACTTTTGCATTTTAAGCTGCGTTGATACTTATATACCAGCTATATTTTCATTTATCTGAAAGTGGATTGAACCCGGAAGTCCGGGCCAAAGCCAAAATTGGGGCTTGGGGTGCCCAGCCAGGGCATGCAAAAAAATGAGCGTTCTGGCAAGAAAATCACTTCCACGCAAACTGCATTAAAAGGCTTCAATGTCCCCTGCGCGTAAATATGAAGCCAATATTCTCTAAGCAAATTTAATATAAACAGTAGGAATTTTGAATTTGTAACATGGCTGCATCATAATTTTAGAACAACTTGTGTTATATTTCGGAAGGAAATCTTTACATTCATTCATCAAAATGGAGGTTATTTTTTGCATGTGCCCTTTTGCTTGGAATGGTCATAACGAGGTCGCGATAAGGGCATATACGCGCATGCCCTTTTGCCAGACATACGGCTCACGAACTTGGGGCGTCACAGCATCAATGCAGCCCATTAAATTTTATTCATAAATACCTCAGACAGTTTAGCCATTCCTATTGGTCGAGAGCCCGTCACGTGGCCGGTCTTAAACGGATGATAAAGACATGGCTAGCTGGTCTTCAACACTTTTCCAGTGTCACAATAAAATGTGGACTCCTAAAAATCCAGTGCCTCTTACCGTTTCATTGGTTGAACGTTCACAATCCACACGTAGACATGCGCAACACTACAAGCGAGACAGAATGTTATAGTTCTAAATTCAAAACGCAACGCCCCAGGTGCGTTCTGCGTGACATCGCGCAGAACATGCTACGCGCGCGTCAATCTCCATAAATGGGTTGTTTACATCTTACTCGCCAGCTGAACACTCCATTATTTTGCTACAGGGATGTTTCAAAAAGCATGAAGTGAACTTGTTGAACAAAATCGGGATTTTTTGAACGAATTATTTGATATTTTTTTACGGATAAGGTATTTATGAATGGGAATAAATATGTGCTCGGTCGGTATTTATCACTCTGTTTAATACCGCTTAGAGTCTGGGTGCTGATAATTACCCTCGCCTCCGGCTCGGGTAATTATCAGCACCCAGACTCTAAGCGGTATTAAACGAGTGATAAAAACCTCCGGAGCACACATTTATTCCCTTAATCACAAATTCTTATTTCAGCTAAATCACTGCAAAGATTCATTCCTGTAGAACTTATGCTGAATAATAATAATAAAAAATATAATATCGGCATTTAAGAACGCTCTTATTAATAAACTAAATCACAGCGCTTAGAGTATTATTATTATTACCCCTGATCATTGGGCCAATTAAACATTCCAAATACCATCTCAGCTCCCTGGGGAGTATACAGCTGGATGCTGCCTGTTATGCGCAAGCAAGCTTATTCAATCACAATAACCATCTCTGCCCTCACAGGTACCCACTTACTCCTGGGTTGAGAAAAGCAATGAGTGACAAAGTGCCTTGCCCAAGGGCACACGCACCATGACCCCGGCTGGACTCGAGCCCACAACCTGCAGCTTTACCCACAGACCACGAATCCAGTGCCCTTAACCACGAGGCCACAGGTAGCCTGGAAACATGACAATTACAATGTGACAATAACAATGTGACAGGTAGCCTGGAAACATGACAATAACAATGTGACAATTACAATGTGACAGGTAGCCTGGAAACATGACAATTACAATGTGACAATTACAATATGGCAGGTAGCCTGGAAACATGACAATTACAATGTGACAATTACAATGTGACAAGTAGCCTGGAAACATGACAATTACAATGTGACAATTACAATATGGCAGGTAGCCTGGAAACATGACAATTACAATGTGACAATTACAATGTGACAGGTAGCCTGGAAACATGACAATTACAATGTGACAATAACAATGTGACAGGTAGCCTGAACACATGGCAATTACAATGTGACAATTACAATGTGACAGGTAGCCTGGAAACATGACAATTACAATGTGACAATTACAATGTGACAGGTAGCCTGGAAACATGACAATTACAATGTGACAATTACAATATGGCAGGTAGCCTGGAAACATGACAATTACAATGTGACAATAACAATGTGACAGGTAGCCTGAACACATGGCAATTACAATGTGACAATTACAATGTGACAGGTAGCCTGGAAACATGACAATTACAATGTGACAATAACAATATGGCAGGTAGCCTGGAAACATGACAATTACAATGTGACAATAACAATGTGACAGGTAGCCTGAACACATGGCAATTACAATGTGACAATTACAATGTGACAGGTAGCCTGGAAACATGACAATTACAATGTGACAATTACAATGTGACAGGTAGCCTGGAAACATGACAATTACAATGTGACAATTACAATATGGCAGGTAGCCTGGAAACATGACAATTACAATGTGACAATTACAATGTGACAGGTAGCCTGGACACATGACAATTACAATGTGACAATTACAATGTGACAGGTAGCCTGGACCCATGACAATTACAATCGAGAACCAGTACTTACCAACCACCGCATCTACAATTTCCTTCGGTACATTCCTCAAGGTGCCCAATGTGGAAAGCTCCTCGTTGGTGTAAAAAGCGTTCAGCAAGGTGCATGCCATCTTTGTGGCCGATCTGGAAGAGTGTCGCATGGCTGACGTAATATTCGACGAGTAGACATATATTGGTATTCCGGGACTTAGTTCAGTCATCTGAACAGACAGGGAGAAACAAATGCATTACAAAGCTGTAAAAAACGCGTGTCCTTTCAATAGCTTCATCAAAGAGTGAAGAGTTTTTTAAACGCAACATCCATGTGAAACTAAAGTGAAACATTTGCACAGTTGTGACAATTTAAAGTCTAAGAAGTTCATTTTTTTTTTTTAGATTTATTGTACAGGTATTCTTGTATGTTGTGTTTGACTGTTATTTAGGGGTCATGACAGTTTGACAATGTTTGTGCGTAACCCTAACCGTAACCGGGAAAGGTCATCCTCCAGTGATTCATTAGGGAGTATTTTCATCTTTAGATAACTTGCAATTCTCTGAAGTTAAGTCACGTACATCCAAGTTGAAGGTGGCAATTTTTTTTACAAGAAAACAACTTGATCTTTAAAGAGAAACTATACTGCATGAGATTATTTGCCACTAGACGTGCCCAAATAATATACAGTAGAAAACCACTATAAGGACACGATGGGATCCATAAAAATGCTTCGCATTAATATCGAATTCATGACAACGATTGGGTATAGACCGCTTGCAGACGCAATCGATAATTGACGCGCGAAGGTGCGCGAAGGTGCGCGACGCCATGTTGTGGGACAAAATGTGAATGGATATAGATATATGCTTGTCCCACAACATGGCGTCGCGCGCCTTCGCGCGTCGATTATCGAACGTATCTACAAGCGGTCTATTACAATTGACTATTTCGGGATCAAAAGGGTATCATCGTTGTAGCTAAATGTTCGTTATAGCTAAATGTTCGTTAAAGCGGTGTTCGTTATAGCGGCCTTTAACTATATTCGCCATAACAGTAAATGTGAACACTAACTTTATGCATGGATGCAATGTTACGGTGGACTAGCCCTGGCCTTGGTGGACTGCATGCATACAATGAGTGACCTGTAAAAAATGCACACAAACGGAATACATTAATATAAATACCACATTTTATGCAAACGCAAGATGCTCTTTGCAAGCTGATTCCCTAGCATATTACCTGGTTGTTAGACGACAGTCAGCTCCAAGAACGGTCTTCTTGCTGTCAAGTTGCTCACGCTCTTTCATACACAACGGAATCTACAACAATATACATGTGTGTGATTCTATATATCTGCGGATGAGGCCAATGAGTTTTGGTGTTCATCTTTTACATTGTGATATTTGTTTCCCTTACCAATAGTGAAATGTATATCGATGACTTCAGCTGTTCAAATTGTAGTCGCGCTACTTCTACCTTTTTGGTAGCAAAGGATGGAACATCTAACTAATTTCATGGCAGTAAGGGTGTCCTAAATAGTTCATGGTTTCAGGGTGTAAAAGGACACTAAGATTGATTTTTAAAATTGCTTTTGAAATGTGTTTGTTGGTTCTTATATGTTACATGCTACCATGTAGTAATGTGTTGGAAAAGATGCCATTCATTATGATAAAGCAAGCTGCTTTAAAGTGGCTATTTAATATCGATTCACGGTTCGTTAGCCACAGTGTTTCACGCATAAAACAAGACCCACATATTTGGTGTCCTTTTACATGAGCAATTTTTGCAATGTTTTTGAGAACTTGATAAAGGTATTATTGGGTTCACTGGCATAAATATCCAAATGCATCACCAATATGCCCAACTTGATAAGTGTGAAACTGTAACAGAGGTTGCATGCTTGGGATGTTTTTATATATATATATTTTTTATTTTGGGTCATTAATACTAGGTTTCACGTGTAAAAAAGGATATCAATACGGTGTCCCCTTATGCAACCATGCGCAGAATTTTTATTTTTAGTCTAAGCTGGTTATTTTCACAATAAACATTGATGTGTTATCCTGGGTAAGACAAACAAAAACCGCATATTAAAATAAACACACCACATTGAACATAAATTATCACAAAAATAGCAGAACATTTATTTGGTGTCCCTTTACACCTGAAAAATGGGTTTCGACATGGTACGTTTTTTGCTTTTCTGGGGTAATTAAAGTTTGATTTTAGATACAACTACATGTTGAAGATGTCAATATATAGCTTTCAGTTATACTGAATTTTTATCGAATCCCCTGTCAATCATTTTTTTTCAATTTTGGGTCAAAATTTCACAAGTTTGCACCCTTACTTATTGAATAACCCATCATTCTTTTCTTTTATCGGTTATTCATATCTGGAACTGCATAGTGGAATCCGGCGACCAGAATTAGAATTTTTTACTGCGATGCATGGTGTTACGTTCAGGCACATGCTGCACGCGTTCGTAAAGACGAGGCGGACGCACATTTTTTGTACACTGTATTCTTATCGGTCGAAAAAAGAGAATATAACTTGAATGCACGGCGGATTATGTTTAAACCATGCTGATTTTATTACCTTTTCTACAACAAAACCAAAAAAATAAGGTAGACTCATTTCAAGCTCCTTTATATACCTTACTTGTCTTTTTAAATTTCCTTCGATAAAAAAAAGCATAAAAAATGTACACAATTAATGTTATGGTTAAAATTAGATATTGAGTTGAGCAATTGACCTAGCGCCGTATGAGAGTAAGCCACGACCCTTAGACAACACAATTGAGTTTTTGTACACTAACTTTTTTGTCTCAGATTTTGCGCGCTCCCGTCCATTTTAATTTGTATATCATGTAATTGGACAATATTCATAAGCTGCGTTGATGCGATTCTAACAAGTTCTACTGCGATAAGTCAATTATTAACGCTGGGTTAAAATAGGCATGCTTGCGCTGATTTGCACACTTGAGCGTATAAACAGGTAAGCCTACATACCACATACGTCAATCACAACCAACACGTAAATTTAAATCAAATCACCTTGATGCTAAAATAATATTTACTAATACATGTACAGTCGAATCTCTTTAGTACAAACTCTGTTAATACAAATTTTTGGTCATTATTACATAAAGCCTTAGTCCCGAGTGTGCATTTATGTGCACAATGAATGGGACTAACGTTCCTCTTAATACAACATTCTGATATAACAAACAATGTGGCTAGGTCCGATCGAGTTTGTATTAACGAGAATCGACTGTACGTGTATAATATCTACGTGAATACAGCATGACTTAAAAATTACGATTCACAAACACAGCTGGCAAGTTGTTACAGCACTGTCTACATTTACAATTTATGTACAGAATTGAAAGTGAATAAGCTTTGTAAGACTTCAAGTTGTTGTCACGAAATTAATTCAATTAATATTTGCGATAAAAAGCAACAATCTTCCAACTGCACAGAGCGAGTTGTTCTACCAAAATTGTCATCATTATCCATCGAAATTGCAGTTGACTGAGCAAATCTGCGAGAAATAGGATAGCCATATTTCTGAAGCTATTCCCAGCTTTTGTTATGTCAATGTGAACCATGAACTCCATTTTTGATGTATGCACCATTTTACTCATGGATCAAAAATTTCTTAATATCAAATTTTCTTTGACTACAAACATACTTTTCATGCAACAAAGATGTATACATTGTTATGTACTGTACAACTTTTTAAAGGAATAATTACACCAAAATGGGTGGACGTCCGAAGTTGGAAGAATCAATCGAATTGCCAAGTGATGACAGAAATCCTTAAGATTAAAATAATAACTTTTTAAAACAACTACATTTTCATGTACTTTAGGAATACAATGGATAACTTAAAAATACAACAATAAAAAACATGTATAAAAGAGCCGCACCTTAACAATTATCTGGTAACTGCTCAAGAGGTGCCGGAGTCAATCGGGTATAATACAGTAACCCACAAAATAGTGCACATAATAGCGAGGGTTTTAAATGGGATATTGTCACAAGGTAGCAAGCACGTTATTGGGAGTTTGACACACGCACACTATTATCTGGGTTATAGGGAGGTACTGCAAGTCACTGTAAGAAAGAGCAGCGTATAGTGTATGTAACTGCCCTGTTAGTGCCCTATTACATTGTGAACTGGTACTGACGCTGTTACATTTAATTATTAATAATAATAATACATGTAGTGTCACAGGCACAGGAAATTTGAAGACACTTTGACAGGGATAATGTTCAGAATTATGTAGTTAAAGCAACAGGGTGCAAATTAATCGGAAAGACGTTGCACAAATGATACAGGGCAATACGTGTGCTTTCGGATTATAACTTGCACTGGGCCAAGGGTAATGCTCCAACCACTGTGGTGTATTTAGAATTATGGGGTAATGATGTCTGAAAGTGATGGAAGTGTACATGTACATCGAGCTGCGTTCGCTTTTATCTTTGATCCCCTCCCTCACACTTCTCCATCAGATGCAAAACGGGACACAAAATGGCCACTGATACTACTGGGATAGCCGTAACTACCAGTGACTTGGTGAAATAATCTTGATCCGCCTATTAAAAATTGGCTGGCATTGAATCACTTTGACCCTTTTGTGTGCAATGAAACTTCTGGTGCTTTCTTAAAGAACCAACAGAAGGGAATGCTTTGCCACAAGTGCAAGAATATGGTTTCTCGCCTGTGTGCTGCCTTTCATGCCTAGTGAGTAAATACCGCTGTTTGCAGACTTTGTTACAGAAGCCACACTGGTAGAGCTTTTCCTGTTTTATGCTAGTTCCCGAGACTGACGGAGCATTTTTACTCTCTGAGCTGTGCGTGATGTGGGATTGATCATGAAGGGCTCGTTTTTCAGCACTAGTAAACACCTTACTGTACGCTTGGTGAATTATCGGGTTGTTGTCTAGTTCAAAAGTTATACTGCCCTGCTTGCTTGGGCTTCTACGATCAATCATTCTTGGAGACTTCTGCTGGGCAGTTTGTCTCATTGGGCTTCCCAAACTGGTCACAAGTTGGCTATGGCTTTTTGGTGCATTGGCAAATTGGAACTGGCTTGTACTTGCACCGGCCAATCTGGGACTTAAGTTTTTCTTTGCTTTAGCCACTTTGCTGATTTGGCCTGTGCCGGCCATTTTCGGACTTGTGATGGAACCTTTTTGTATGGAGCTTGTATTACCCAGTTTACGAATGGGGCTTTTCTTGGGCATTTTATGGAGAGGGCGTGTACTCGGTAAATGAACACTAGGGCTCCTACAATCAGACATGTTAGGAGACTTCTGTTTGGCAGCTGGCCTACTGGGGCTTCTCAAACTGGTCACGTTTGGGGTATGGCTTTTTGGTGCATTGGCAAATTGGAACTGGCTTGTACTTGCACAGGCCACTCTGGGACTTAGGTTTTTCTTTGCTTTTGGCACTTTGCTGATTTGGCCCGTGCTGGCCATTTTTGGACTTGTCTTGGAACCTTTTTGTGTGGAACTGGTATTGCCCAGTTTACGAATAGGGCTTGCCGGCATTCTTTTTGGAACTTTCTTCTTATGCATCTGCCTTGGGGAGGTTAAGCGTCCCGGCATCTTTTTGCCCATTTTGCGGATCATTGAAGGATTTTTGATGTGTAGGCTCTCATGATGTAGAAGACGAATTTTGGAAGACAAATTCACGTTGCAATACTTGCAGCAATATTTGCCCAGTTTGCGGATCATTGACGGATTTTTGATGTGGAGGCTCTCATGATGCAAAAGACGAACTTTGGAAGACAAATTCACATTGCAATACCTGCAGCGATACTTTGGCTTGATACCAGATCGATGAGTCTTGGAGGAACCACTGGAAGGAGAAGCTTTATTGGCGACACCGCCGGCATCGATGTGGTTTGACTCGTCTTGCTCCAGTGACTCGTCAACTGCCGACGAGTCTTTCCCATCTAATATCCCAGTTGCAGTTGGCTTGTGCTGCATCTGTCTGTGTTTTATCAGAGCAGCCTTGGTTGCAAACACCTCTTGGCAGGTGCTGCAATCAAACCTTCTACCGACATGAGGCTTCTTGTTTGTGTGGATCTGCATATGTTTTTCCAGATTGTTCTGATAGGCAAACATTTTGGGGCAGTATGGACAGCAGTGCGCAGCCGTCAGCACTGGCATCTTTTCGGAGACCAATGATTTACTGCAGACTTCTATCATGTGCCTCCTGAGATTTCCATTTGTGGAAAAAAGTTTCCGGCACTTAGTGCACTGATGGGATGTCTCCTTTGATCTGACCTCAGGATCTGCCTCTTCACAACTTTTATCTTCCACTAACTGATGATGCTCCTGCTCATGGTGGCTCAAAGAATCAGAATCGAGAAAGACCCTAACGCAGGCCCTACACTTCAACAACTCTTTGCCGTGGACACTGACCCAGTGTTTTAAGAGGTACTTCCGCGCCTTAAACAAATCCAGACACTCAGGGCACTGATGCGGCCTCATATTACTGTGAACTCGCATGTGGGCTCCCAATTTCTTGATCGTCTTGAAGCATATCTTACAAGTGTGATTTTCTTGATGCTTTTGAAACCCTTTGACAGTAAACAAAACCTTGTAACACAAGTTGCACTTGAAGCCATCATTGTGTTTTCGCAGTCGTTCATACTTTTTCCGGATACTTTTGGATGCCCGCGTGGGTCGGCTTGCTTCCAGTCTGACACGACCTGTTGGACCTTTTCCTGTGTGTACTCTCTGATGTTGTTGGAGGTCAACTCTAGTCGGAAAAGCAATGTGTCCCTTCATGTGTTCGGCCAACGCTGTCTCAGCTGGAAAGTCCACCTCGCATATATCACAGCGATACCACTGATTTACCCCAGGACTTGTGGGAGAGTTTGAGCTAGCATGAGCAACTGTCTCCTCCTCTGCTGAGTAACTAACACGTGTGAGATGCATGGGATGGGGTGCCTCAGACTGGGGTTTTGGAGAAATTGTTGTTCTGTTGGATTGTAGCTGGTTCAGATTTGAATTCGAAATATTCTGGTTTAAATGGGTCTTTGCATGTAACCTACTTTCTTTAACCGTACGGCACGTTTTGCTACAGAAGGCACAGGATATCTTCTTGTCTTTGCTGTGTGTCCAGAGGTGTTCTCTTAAATGACCCTTGCGTAGGAATCGTTTCGGGCACAAAGGGCAAGGAAATTTCCTTGGTGATACCGCCGGTGTGCTTGTTTTTGGCGACAAGCCAATGGGTGTGTCGATGCTGCTTGGTGAGCTACGCAAACGTCCCTGTTCCCTTGGGCTAGCATTGTGCTGACAATGCGGGCAATGGAAAGGCCGCCCAGCTGAGAACTCCCCAAACTTGAAAGACCTCTTGCAGTATTTGCACTCAAAGGGCCTGGTCTTGCCCACACTCTGTGGAGTGCTGACATCCCCTGTATCAGTCTCATCTCCACTGTCCTCCTCCTCATCATTTTCATCATCCTCAAATGATTTCCTCACATGTGAGTTATCCTGATAGGCGTCAAAACCATTATCTTCTCTTGGAGACTGGTCTCCATTGCCCAGTTGCACAGTGCCATCAAGGCTCATTTTTTTAACAGTTACCTGTGCTCTGTTATTCCCCAGATCTTCAAACAAGTCCTCTGTGTCTAGACGACCTCGTGGGCATTCTGAGAAATTTAGAAGAAAGAAAAAAAGAGGCAAAATTGAGTCTGATAAAATTGGCAACGGTTTATTAACAGAGAGTAGACTCTTTGCAAATTGTGGCCGTAACAAGTGGTCAGCTCACTGACATCCTGAGTAAAATCAAGACCAATTTTTGTCAAAATAGATCCACTATGTTAATTGCAGGATCCTGAACAATTTCTCAGAATCTAACAAAGTATTTCCTTCTTCCTCAAAACTTTCCATTCGCTTCCCTTTTTTTGTAGGCTTTGTGTATAGATGCTGACAAAGAATTTGTCCAAATCATGCCTCTTATACCACTTAGCCATTGATCATATCAATCACATGACTGTCATCCAGAACCTTGGGGTCAAAGGTCAATGTATTTTGCCCATGTACCGTAGCTTCCTGACTGAACAAACCAAATCTAATCCATCTACAGTGAAGTCTGATATAGAGCTATTCTTCGGGGCTCCCCAGATATCAACATGGTAGGATAATTTTCATCATATATTTATGCTGCAGTTACATTGTGCATGCTGTGATCACTGGACGCACTCAGACAACTTCACTATCATTGAAGTGATGAACTTTTTACAGAGACTTGAAGATGCTATCATGTTGATCTTCTGCGTCAGATATCATTCAGCCAAGTTCCTGATGCCTCGATTATTGGTATCCCCTTGACGAATAGTCCGAGTATCACCCACTGTCCACTGTTACATTGTACATGCTACGATCACTGGAAGCACTCGGACAACTTCACAGACATTGAAGATGCTATCATGTCGATCATCTGTGTCAGATATCGTTCAGTCAAGTTCCTGATTCCTCAGGCAACTGTTGGTATCCCATAGCTGCCAACATTTCAAAATCCCAATTAGTAATCAACCCGCGCGGTCATTTTCAACTTCTCGTTTTATCGAAAGCTTTACCAACATCGAGTACAGGTACATAGTTTACATGTACACATACATGTGCATACCCTTCTTGTTGTGAATAATAATGTACTGTAGGCCAAAAGATAATACAAAAAAAAAGATGCTATCAGTGTTACATTGTACATGCTATGATCACTGAAAGCACTCTGACAACTTCACAGACATTGAAGATGCTATCATGTCGATCATCTGCGTCAGATATCGTTTAGTCAAGTTCTGATGCCTCAGTCAATAGGCAAATGTTGGTATCCCCTAGATGAATAGTCCAAGAATCACCCATTGTCCACTGTTACTTTGTACATGCTACAATCACTGGAAGCACATAGACAACTTCACAGACATTGAAGATGCGATCATGTCGATCATCTGCGTCAGATATCGTTCAACCAAGTTCCTGATGCCTCGATTATTGGTATCCCCTTGACGAATAGTCCGAGTATCACCCACTCTCCACTGTTACATTGTACATGCTATGATCACTGGAAGCACTCAGACAACTTCACAGACATTGAAGATGCTATCATGTTGATCCTCTGCGTCAGATATTGTTCAGTCAAGTTCCTGATTCCTCAGTAAACAGTCAATCATTGGTATCCCCAAGATGAATAGTCCGAGTATCACCCACTGTCAAACAAAACCCTCTGTCATGTCTGTGCAACCAACATCTGATATATACATGTACATGTACACTATGTGATCATGGCAAATTCACATGCAACAGCAAATCAGAATCAACTTTAGAAATTGTGTTGTCCTGGTGATTAGTCAATTTGACCGCCATGTTTCTGTACAACAATAGGTTACCGAAACTATTGGTCAGAGTTTTGAGGTGAAGACTCAGTCCTGTTTTGCATCTGCTCGCATATACCCTTGCTGTGCAAGTGGATGTTCCATAGACTATGTTAGAGACCTGTCCTGTTTAAAGCTGGAACTGTTTTAATGGCATCACCATCCAGGCCGATCGTAAGTAGAATGAGCATGTTATAATGTATGTGCATCAAGAGCAATGCATCTCTACACTAAATACCGGTACATCTTGTACCCAATTACCGGTACAACATAGGGGAAAAACCACTGGTACCTGGTAGCCGTTAAAGAAACCGAACCTGAAATTAAAATCTCAGAAGTCCCTTTTCAGATTGTTCATACTCTGTTCTGATGCACAGTCCTATAATGAAGACCTCATCCAGCAATACAGTGTCAAATTACAAGTCAAATGCCGAGTTGAGATCAAAACATCTGCAAAACCTCTTGTAACTTCAGAGTTGCATAGTCATCTCTGGGCACAAAACCAATATAATCTTGGATTGGATGTTGCCTAAGATACAATGCCTAAGGCCAAAAAAAAAAGTCTCCGGTTTCTGGTATGCGCGCGCGTCGCCGTAGCCATGCGCGTCGTCAAAATGAAAAAGTTTTTTTTTTAATACAAGATGATGTCTCAAAACCGCCAAACTCACTGGTTTGACTGGAATCCTGCTGCTGCACAATTTTAACGTGTTTTTAGATGGGGTTATGATCGAGAATAAACTTTATGTGGCCTCTCTGGACTCCCATATATTTGCACTAAGTTCAGTCGGGCACCATTTGCAGTCATCAGCCGACATTTGAAGCCAAAAAAAAAAAAAAAACAGGTAAAAAAAAAAAAAGCCGTCGCCGCACCACTTTTGGGGCAAGTTCCATACCAGAAACCGGAGACTTTTTTTTTTTTGGCCTAATCGCTTACCGCTTTCCATTCCCCCAAAACAGGGACCTTACATGCAATTTTCAATTCTGTATATTGGCCAACCCCAAAATTCTATATAGTACAGATGAACTCTGATAAAAAGAGCACTGTTCAGGCAACATCCTGCTTACAAAATTAGGTCCCAAGTCTTTGTTTTTATTTGTTTTCCAGTACTGTTGATACAAGGTATGTACCTGTTACAAAAAGGTAAGTTGTAAAGTCCCAAGGACCTTGTTATAAAGGTGTAAGACAGTATATGCCTTCTTGCAACAATGTGTGTGCCCAACTAAATGCCCTCTTGAACTTGTTTTTAATCTTTACATGTTATCATCTTTTATAGTACTGTAAATGTATACTCTTTTCAAAAAATTTTCTTAATGACTAACTTTATTGTAATCTTATCCTAGTTTATTTAAATTGTGTTTTATTTTTATTCTTCTATTTGTATTGTAACGTAATAAACTGTCAGTTCTTTTCAGAAGGTTTTTATAAGGATGAGAAGTTTTAAAAATACACCTGAAATGAAATTGAAATTGAAACAATGTGGCCTTTTGAGGATAAACTTGTCTGCAAAACAATTCAGCTATGTTGACTCAACATTTACACGTAAAGCAAGTTCGGTATTTCAATTGCACATATGCGCATAATGATAAGGGTAACAGGTCATTTGGGATAACTGAATGCTCCATCAAAATAATAAACAACATTACCTGCTTTTACATTGTATATATTCTGTGAGCAAAACGAGCTGCGTCGCGCGGCATGGCGCGATGTGCGAATTATCATGTGGCTTCGATTTATGCGCATACTTTATACGTATCCCACGAATGTTAAGGCCAGCGCCAATGCACTTGTGCACCACTTAGTTTTTCGTTTCCCGCAAGCGTATGGGCCTGTGGTGAGTGTTCGCGTAATACGCGCAGCGTTTTGCTCACAGGCGCAATAGCAAATGTCGTGACTAGGTTTTATTATAAGTCTATGGCTAAGATCAGCCTCATCGATGGCACACGAACGTGCAAGGAGATGGTCGCTGGCAGTCGCGCGTTAATTCGCTCTTTGCACGCTTCGCCATAAGCATGCAAAGCCTCGAGCTGGCAACTTTACACAACGTCGTGTCAGTGCAACAAGGTCGTATGTCCATTCTGCAACAAAGTCGGATCTCGCGCGTATACGCTCCGTGCAACAATGTCGTATCTCGACGTCCTTTGACTTTGCGTGTACATCTGGATTATTTGAAGCCACATACGACCTTCTGACATTCTGAAACTCGCGTCTTGCATTTATGCCATTTTAGGAGATACGACCTTGTTGCACTGACGCGACGACAATGATTATAGCCGGTTCAGTGATTCCAGAGTATACAAGGGTATCTCTGAACACCGACACAGGAATCGCTGAACCGGCTATATCTATTGTGCAAAGTTGCCCGATCGAAGTTCTGTATGCTTATGGCGGAAACGTGCAAAGAGCAAATTCTGAGCAGAATGGGCATTTGCGTAGCATCAAGTAAAGCCCGGTTCATACTTCACGCGAATGTGAATCGAATTTGACGTCATGGCACATTCGTTGCGAAATTCGCCCGAGTTGAAATGTGTTCAACTTTTGCAAATTGGCAGCGCGAATACTTGCCATGACGTCACAGATTCGCATTTGCTTTCGCATGAATTATGAACCGGGCTTAACATCACATCTTTAAAATGACTTGAAGCGTCGCATGGCAGATGAGATAAAAGAGAAACAATTGCGGGTAACACCATGTGGAAAGAAATGTCTTCTTTTAAGTGAGGTTCTGAAAAGAACCGGTTGGTTGAGTGTAGAACTCGACGTTTCGGACAGTGTGCTCTGATAGTCTTCACTCACCCTCCTGAGGATGGACAGAGCACTGTCCAAAACGTCGAGTTCTACATCTACACTCAACCATCGGTTCTTTTCAGAACCTCACTTCTTCCAAGAAGAGATTTCTTTCCACATGATGTTACCCGCAGTTTTTCTATTTTATTAGCAATAAATTTCCTGTAATTTCGTAATACATTCAATGTGGCAACAATAAATCTTTGAAGTCTTACCTGACGTTTGGTCAAAATCCGGCCTTGTGTTTGGAGACTGATCCAGATCCCTTGTGTTTTCTAGATAAAAACGAAGATGTCAAAAATGTTACAATACAAATCAAGTCAACTTTTTGTCAAAAAGCGATCCTATTCGTACCAAATAACCAACAGTGTAGCTAAGGTTTTCACATTGGGGAAAGGGGGGGGGGGGGCGAGGGGAAGGGTATGGATTTTATGGAAGGGGGTCCAATTTCTGTTAAGCCTGTTAAAGGGAATATACATCATTTGCAAACATTGAAAAATAAAACTACCAAGTTTTTACGAAATACCTTACTAGGATGTTGGTAAATGACAGTCTAAAGCATCCTGTAAATTTATGGCATCTGGTGTGAAGTCATTTTCAAGAAAATGGTATTTTTGTAGACATTTCCAACGGTGGTCAGCCGACCACCGTTGGGAAAAACCTAACTATTTTTCAACTACTGCTCCAACTTTACACTTTTTTTCAGTCCAAATTTTGTTTGCTATTGGTTACATGTTCATGAACGGGTGCAGGCCAGCTAGACTTGTTCCCTTACCTTACAATATTCCGGCATCCATTTTATCTTTAGTGGAGTCAAGGAACCAGACTACTTAAACATTTTTGTTTTTCTTGGTTTTTCCAGCATTTTCGATCACAAAACTTCAAACATGTCAGTGTAACAATATTTGATCTATTATACTAACCCCTCAAATAGTTCATTTCTGAAAATTACAGCAAAAGCCAATGATGCACATTCCCTCTAACTATGGTCACACATTTCCATTTTGCCCACAATGTATGTTTTCATAGGAGGGTTAATATCGCACGCACAAAATTGACTGCGTTTGCCTTCAATTGGCATCTAGGCATACACGGCGAGTCAAGACAAGCGAAAAAACGGTGTTTTTGTTTACAATTCCGTAACTTGAAAAGTACATGAGTGATTTGAATGACTCTTGTACTAAAAGAAAGCTTATAAATTGGGCTTTCATATCCTAGATGTTGAAAGTGCTACATGCAGAACTTCACTGAAACAATGGTCCCGACATTTGGGTTTCGTTGTTTTTTTTTTTTAACTCACTATGTACATTACAGTATCATGTTTGTTGGTGCATACAGGATGATTAAAATTTCAAGGACGTGTTTAATATGAGCAGTTCTGTAGAGTTCTTTGCTCACCTGCCTCAGGGCTCCCTGTGACTGAGCTTCCACTCTCATCCACAGAGGATAAGGCTCGGTCCGTGTAGCCTGCAACTCCCATTGGATGCAGCCCGTAACCCACAACTTGCTCTGAAGAACAAGAAGAAATGAAGGTTATCACAGGAGAAAATAAGACACAGGTTCTTAAAGGGAACATCAAAAAATGAAATGATCCAATTATCCCAAAATGCTTACTGGATTGTTAGGGAATGACAGACTAAAGCATCCTGTAAAATCTTGGCTCCTGGTGTGCTGACATTTTCGAGAAAAATTGTATTTTTCCAACGCTGGTCGGCCGACCATCGTTGGAGAAAACTGGTTATTTTTAAAAACTACTTCATATTTCCTTATATATTTAGTTATTCCACATTTTCGTTGCAATTGATTACACACCTATGGACGGGTACAAGCCAGCTAAATTGATACTCTGGTCATACAATTCCCCAAAGTCTATACATTGCTCCATTCCATCTCAAGTGGGGTCAAGGAACCAGATTACAAGAATATAATTGGTTTTCTTGGGTTTTCCAGCATCTTCAAGCCCAAAATGTGAAACAAGTCAGTTTAACAGTATCTGCTAAAACATACTAATCCTCCAAATACACTTATTTCTGAAAATTGCAACAAAAGCCAATGTTGTACATTCCCTTTAAGACAGTTCATTTCAAATAAAAGAATATAATTATGATAAAAATAAGGGAATAAATGTGTGCTTCGGAGGTTTTTATCATTCTGTTTAAGACCACTTAGAGTCTGGGTGCTGATAATTACCCGAGCCGGATTCATAAATACCTTTTCGGTAAGAAAAAATCATATAATTCGTTCAAAACATCCCGATTTTGTTCAACAAATTCACTTTATGCTTTTTGAAACATCCCTCTTGCAAAATAATGGAGTGTTCAGCTGGCGAGTAAGATGTAAACAACCCTTTTATGGAGATTGACGCGCGCGTATCATGTTCTGCGCGATGTCGCGCAGAACGCACCTGGCGCGTTGCGTTTTGAATTTAGAACTTTAAAATTCTGACTCCCTGGTAGTGGTGCGCATGCCTACGTGAGGATTGTGAACGTTCAACCAATGAAACGATAAGAGGCACTGAATTTTTAGGAGTCCACATTTTATTGTGACACTGGAAAAGTGTTTAAGACCAGCTAGCCATGTCTTTATCATCCGTTTAAGACCGGCCACGTGACGGGCTCTCGACCAATAGGAATGCGTAAACTGTCTTAGGTATTTATGAATGTGTATTATAAAGTGCACGTATCCATCGATATTGGTGCTCAAGGCGCTACATCATTATTTTCTTGCTCATTTGGCCAATACCATCTCAGCTCCCTCAGGAGTATACAGCTCGATGCTGCCATTTCGGTGCAAAGCAGCTAAAATCAACCACAATAACCATCTCTGCCCTCACAGGTACCCATTTACTCCTGGGTGGAGAGAAGCAATGAGTGGCAAAGTGCCTTGCCCAAGGGCAACATAAATTTTGCACCTTATTAAGTTTTGCTTTCATTTTTGGAACTTGAGTCTTATTGGCATTCGCTCGAGTCGAGTCTTCTGATGAGGGACTCGAGACGACCGGAGTTGAGTCATTTGCTCGCAGTGACTCGAGTCGAGTCATTTACCCTTGGGGACTCATTTCGAGTTCATCATCATCGTCATCAGTCTCAAAATCCAGCTATGGGACGTTGAGCCACCCGCACCAACCGATAGTCAAGGTGTGCCACAGGGCAGGGGCTGACAGAGCATGGTCGGCCTCAAGCTGTCGCACCCAGGTATTTCAGGGTCAGCCTCGTGGTTCTGACCAACCAGAGTCAGGCTTGTGTCTCTACAACTTGTGACTAGAGTCCAACTCGAGTCGAGTCATTGACTCGAGGCATTACAACTCTGTGATTCACAAGATTCGTTGGATTCCTTTTCATGCATCTGGTTTTCAGGGTCAGCCTCGTGGTTCTGACCAACCAGAGTCAGGCTTGTGTCTCTACAACTTGTGACTAGAGTCCAACTCGAGTCGAGTCACTGACTCGAGGCATTACAACTCTGTGATTCAGAAGATTCATTAGATTCCTTTTCATGCATCTGGTTTTCAGGGTCAGCATCGTGGTTCTGACAACCAGAGTCAGGCTTGTGTCTCTACAACTTGTGACTAGAGTCCAACTTGAGTCGAGTCGTTGACTTGAGGCATTACAACTCTGTGATTTAGAAGATTCAATGGATTCCTTTTCATGCATCTGGTTTTCAGGGCCAGCCTCGTGGTTCTGACCAACCAGAGTCAGGCTTGTGTCTCTACAACTTGTGACTAGAGTCCAACTCGAGTCGAGTCATTGACTCGAGGTATTACAACTCTGTGATTCAGAAGATTCATTAGATTCCTTTTCATGCATCTGGTTTTCAGGGTCAGCATCGTGGTTCTGACCAACCAGAGTCAGGCTTGTGTCTCTACAACTTGTGACTAGAGTCCAACTCGAGTCGAGTCATTGACTCAAGGCATTACAACTCTGTGATTCAGAAGATTCGTTGGATTCCTTTTCATGCATCTGGTTTTCAGGGTCAGCATCGTGGTTCTGACAACCAGAGTCAGGCTTGTGTCTCTACAACTTGTGACTAGAGTCCAACTCGAGTCGAGTCATTGACTCGAGGCATTACAACTCTGTGATTCAGAAGATTCATTAGATTCCTTTTCATGCATCTGGTTTTCAGGGTCAGCATCGTGGTTCTGACCAACCAGAGTCAGGCTTGTGTCTCTACAACTTGTGACTAGAGTCCAACTCGAGTCGAGTCATTGACTCAAGGCATTACAACTCTGTGATTCACAAGATTCAATGGATTCCTTTTCATGCATCTGGTTTTCACAATGGGTCAGATCTGGCCCATGCATTGAGACTTGTGGAGCGCAAAAATAATGAACCTAAAACCAAGAAAGCCTCACCAATTCTAGGCATTCCGGGGTGTTCTACTTCTTGTTTGACGACAACATCCAAAGCTTGGAATGTGGCTGCAAATTAACAAAACAATCAGATTAAGGCATTAAGATTGTGACGTTTACACATTTTAACGTTGGAACGAAAACAATTTCTAAATCCGTTTACACATTTTCCAAAACATTTCAAAGAAGCCCAAAATATATTAAGGTACCTACATTCACACGACCATCCTTCGAGTTCAACCTACATGTACATAGCACAAATAATTAACAATTTTTTCAAACCTTTTTAGTTTCCAAAACCGCAGAAGCACTGCAGTATTTGATTACAATCCGAGTTGTTCAGCCTTTACTTATTTAAGAGTTTAGGCTTTGCATGGTGCAGTATCGGTATCGTTTCTGTTTGCGGTAACACCATGTGGTCATAACTTCTTCTAAGAATGTATTTAGTTCTGAGAAGAACTTGTCCTGCTCATTATCACCTTTTGGTAAGAACTTTAAGTTCTGATAAGAACAGTCCTGCTTAAAGTTCTAAAAGAACTTGTCTTTGGTGTCAACATTTCGACTCGCCTGCTCTAGTCATCGTCAGGAGTCTGATTGGGTAATCATCCAGTACTTTTAAGTACTCATAAATACCTAACGCAGTTTTCCTATTCCTATTGGTCGAGAGCCCATTACGTGGTCGGTCTTAAACGGATGATAAAGACATGGCTGGCTGGTCTCAAACTCTTGTCCAGTGTCACATGAAATATTAAATATCATGATAGCAATGCCTTTTAGCGTTTCATTGGTTGAATGTTCACATTCGTCACGTAGGCATGTGTAACACTACAAGTGAATTAGTATTTCATTGTCCAAAATTCATACAAAATTCATTGTCCAAAATTCAACACTATATCAGCCCCCAGCTGCGTTTTGCGCAACACACCGCAGTACGCGTGAACCAATCTCCTTATAAGGTAAGGAGCTGTAGAGGTACATTCCATATCATCGTCAGAGGGGTGTTTGATAAAACATGAAGTAAAACTGTTGAACAAAATGGTTGGCAATGTCTAGTTTTTTTTTACTTGTTTGGATTTTTTTACCGAAATCTTTTTTTTACAGAAAAGGTATTTATGAATGGGAATAAATGTGTGTTTGGTCGGTTTAAAACATTTTTTTTAAGACTGGTTGGAGTCTTGAAGACTGATAATTACCCTCGGCTTCGCCTCAGGCACATTATATGACCCATCCAGACTCCAACCGGTCTTAAACAGATTGTTTAATACCGACCAAACACATGAGTCCCTTGATGACAGACACAGGAGAGTCAATTCTGATCATAATTGCAACTCTTTGACATTGTAGTGACTGCCCCTTTAACCATAACGCGACTTAATGTAAATAACAACATTGGCGTCACATGTAAAGAACTCGCCAATCAACGCCAGCGAACATCTTTGACTGGTACCCTGTAATGTACCAATTCGCTGGTGCGTTCACATGTGTTCCGTGTGGGTTTTTCCATGTGTTCTAACGGTTGGTGAAAAGTTAGGAGTTATTGCGTTTTGACATTTTTTGAGCACCAATCTTCAGCATAATTTTACCAGCGTTTATCATCGTCTTCGTGTGTTTTCGTCAAGTCAGTAATCGTCTGTTTGTGGCCTGAACAATCCTCGTGGATAAAAACTCTATACGAACTGTGGTTCGTGCATCCGCGCCAGGAAGAGATATCGCGATCGACCAGAGTCAGTATTCTTCCCGAGGCGAGAAGACCGAGCGAGTGGACTCGTGCCCAATTCACGGACAAATACCTTGGTGAGTTGACAACAGCTTTCGAACTGAGTATAACTATAAATATATTACAACATGATCAGAGTGTACACTAAACCTAGTCTAGAACTTGAAGGTAAACAAACAGTACCTGGATTCTCTTCAATGCTGCCCAAGTTGGAATCAACTGGCGCCATTTGTGGACTCTGCATCCTCTCAGCGGTGTCCGGGTTCATTTGCTCCCCACAATCTGAATCAAGAAAGTCATTATTATCTTCCCGACGCAAACTCCCTGACACGGAGCACCCTCAAAAATCCACTACACATTTGTGCCACAAATCCTTCAAAAATCCTCCATTTTAGAAGGAATATTTTGGAGGATGTGAGAAGATTAGGGTTGTAACTGATGTTGGACCACACAGTCTATAGTTATAGCGCCCTTCAAGGAAGTTTTCCGCCTGACGAAAACACACATCAAACGTTGAGTCTGAGAAAATTCAGTTGACCAATTCTAAGCAAAATTGCTGAACAATGAGGCATGGAGGTACGAATAATTGTTAATTATGATGTCTTAATGCGTAGTACAAATATTGAATAGTTTTATATGATTTATGAGGTTAAATTTCGCCATAAGAAATTAAACCAACACTCGTGCATGTGCATTCTAGCACAGCATTTATTATAGCAGTGTACATGTACATGTAACATGTTAAATACATGGCTTTGTGTGTTACACTGCAAGTACTGGGTCAATGTACATTGTAGTCTGTGTGCTTAATTAGGTTTTTCTTCTTGTCTTTTGTTTATAGTTTTCACGGAGTGATACGTAGTAAATGTCACACACAGAGTGAAATGCACTAATAAACATCAGAGTGACATTGATACAAAACTTCAGTGAATCACGCATTTAGCCTAGCCTTAATTTTGCGATCCGATCTCGAAGTCAGCCACAAGGGTTAACCCTAACCCACCTCACTCCTCCAAAATCCTCCTGGCGGTTTTGGAGGATTCTAGAGGATTGAGGATGAATGGTGATTGAATCAAATGAGGATTCTGGAGGATTGAGGATGAATGGTGATTGAAGCACATGAGGATTTTGGAGGATTGAGGATGAATGGTGCATGAGGCACAAGAGGATTTTGGAGGATTGAGGATGAATGCATTTTGAGGCAGGACTGTCTGATGATTTTGAAGGATTTGGCGTTGGTTATCCTTCATTTAAACACGAGTGCAAAGTTTTGGGATGAGGAGGATTTTGGAGGATTGAGGATGAATGCATTGTGAGGCAGGACTGTCTGACAATTTTGAAAAATTTAGGCGGAGTTGAAAAATTTTGGAGGATTTTGGAGGATTGAGGATGGTTGTAAGCAACAAGGGCCTAGGGGGTTAGGGTTTTAATGTTCATCTTAGGTTTTGGCAATTGAACATAAAGCATTGACAGTTCCAAAACGGAAATTGCTTTACTTCATGTACAAAGAATTGCGCCTACCAAAACTGCTTTCCTCTGTTATTACGGTAACCTCTGTATTCTTCTCCCATGCCTCTTTGATAACCTGCAGCACTGCCATTCTTTTAGCGAAGAGCACTCCATCGACAAGACTGGTCAATTGCGTCACGAGCTGAAAAGCGAGGGCGTACTTGTCTGACTGAGTCAGTGACGACATCGTCGTTGATGTGGACGATTTTTCAGATCTGTCCATGGCGTCATCCAATCTGTGCTGTTTATGAACAACATACAAAACAACCCTGTTGCTGTTACAATGTAATGTTACCAAAATTTGGTTTAAAAAGTCCCTTTTCCTCACACGATTTCAGTTTTCCCAAGCTATGAACCCTAAAACTCGAGGGTATGCGGAAACACCATGTGCAAACAATTTTAGAGAATGGTTTTGAAAAGAACTAGAGGTACAAACTCGACGTTTCGGTCAGTATGCTCTCGCGGCCAGAGCATACTGACCAGAATGTCGAGTTTATACCTCTGGTTCTTTTACAGATGAGCCGTTCTCTTTGAGAAAGTTTTTCGCATAAGGTGTTTACGTTAACCCTTCATTCGGGGCCGTATCATAAGTCCGACGCCTCGTAGGTCCGAAATTTCAGACTTATGAGGCGTCGGACTTATAAGGCATAAAATTTATTTATTCCGCCTCATTGGTCCGACGCCTCATAAGTCCGACAACGGAAAAACGAGGCATTTAATTTGTCGGAGTTACGAAGCGTCGGAGCTATGAGGCGTCGGACCTATGAGGCGTCGGACTTATGAGGCGTCGGACCTATGAGGCGTCGGACTTATGAGGCGTCGGACCTATGAGGCGTCGGACTTATGGGCCTTTATTTGGTTAGGGGATGCGATTTTGTCGGACCTATGAGGCGTCGGACTTATGAGCGGACCCCCTTCATTCACTAGTATCTCCACCATGCAAGCCTCAAATCTTACTTCTCTTGGATATTTTGGCTACAAACCTTGCCAAACATTTGCCTAATCCAGTGACATGCAACATGCACTCCTAGTTAGGCCTCTAGTTTATTTTACAAATCTGCCCAGTGTAGCGCGTTATCAGAATCTGCGGTCACTGAATGCTGCAGGATACATTACATACATGTACATCTGTAGCACTGTTCAATGGGATTATAGCTCAGATTTCTACCAGATGCATAGTGTTGTGTGAACTGTGTCTAGCAGGGTCCAATGAAAACAGGAGATGATGAGGTGAATAATAATGTACATGTAGGTCATGGTCACTTTGTTTATAAATGTGTGTGCTTTCCTATGGTGCTCAATGGACCGTGGGCCCCTACTGGCTCCATATAGGTGTAAACTGGTCAAGTTTTGTCAAGTTCACACAAAAGCTGTGTTGAAGAAACACATTTAACTTGTAAGGAGTACAAACGTTTTTTAATGCTGTTCAGTCTTACTCTTACTCTTAGTTAAAACGTTAACTTTTTCTCTGTCATGTCTGTATAGACTTCGTGCAGGTCTGATAAGTGGTGGCAGCTCTATGGTGGTGGCCCAGTAAAATATGGAATTCTTTCCCATCCATCATGTCCATATATACTATAGGTCTATAAATTATAACCTTTACAACAATAATCTGACCATGGCAATGTTAATAGATTGTCAGTTATCGAGAAATGTTGAAAAGACACATGAAAGACATTGAAACATTCTTCCTTGCGGTGCTCTATTACATTGTGTATATGGTGTTGAATTTCAGGCTCTACACTGACAACACTGTGCGGTGCCGAACAAACAACGCTGATTTTGAGTTGGGGGTCAGACAAGTCGACCGTTGAGACAACTCGACCGTTGAGACAACTCGACCGTTGAGACAACTCGACCGTTGAGACAACTCAACCGTATGTGCGATAAATGGAAAGACAAGTCGACTCTCATGTTTTTGAGCCTAGTTTTGGGATAGTACCGGGGATGTTGACGGCGGCTGATCGCCGTTTGGGAGGTTTTTGTTGCATATAACAGAGCCGATATAGCGCAGCATGATTGTCCGTGCACATCCTTCGTTTTTGCCGGGCATGTGCGCCCACTTGCCGGTCAACCCGTGCATGGTGACATCGTTTTTGCCTGGCTCTGTGCACGCACTTATCCCCGGTTAACGTGGCCGTAATGTGCATGGTGGCATCGTTTTTGCCGGGCCTGTGCACCCACTTTCCGTGCCCGCCGGCCCGACGTGGTGGCCACCGTATCGGAGCGCCCTCTGTGCATCGAGTATGCCCGTTCCGCGCCCGGGACCGGTCCTACCACAGATTTATGCAACTTTTTCACACGTGTAATGTATACATTTCCATGAAGTCGAGCTATCTCAAGGGGCGAGTTGTCAGGTTGTCCTGAGTCGACTGGTCTCACGTCTCAACAGTCGACTTGTCTCAACGGTCGAGTTGTCTCAACGGTCGACGTGTCCCGAGTCGAGTTGTCTCAACAGTCAACTTGTCTGACATTCTTTGAGTTTGACATGTTGTCTTCGTCCGACCTTCATAACCTTGGCACATTTTCAAACTCATGTGTTAAGCCCACCGTGAGGCGTGACCGGACCGTGTGACCATGGAGGAATAAGAACATGGTGTGACTTAAATTCACGGTCGTATAAAAAGTTTCACACACACGTACACACACTCAAAACTAACCAAACTTCGTCTTACCTGGTGAATAATTATGAAAAACTGTGTAGATCTCCCGCCGTATATGAATCGTCCTCTCACTCAGCTCAAAAGACATCGATTGTCAATGTCACTGTCAGATGTCAGACAAAAAATTGTCAGATAGCGATCGCGCGCGCGCGGAGCACAAAGGGCGCCACCATTCGTTTACTCACGCTTATTTTCAAGCAATGCAGTGCGCCACCAAGACTTGGCCAATTAGTCTTTTCTCCCAGTGCATGGTGGGAAATGGTCGACAAATTCGCAGCGCGGGAAATTGTTCTTTTTCCGGTCAGTAGTTTCGTCAGCGTATGGTTTGAGTATCTGTTTGCCCCTTTCTTATCTATTATCAAAATGTCAATATGCGAACATTTGGGGAGGGGGGGGGGGGGGGGGGGAGTAAGGCTCATCAGTACAGAACGATTTGCCCCTCTAGCTCAAGCATACGTCGACCGGATCTCCATAAGGGCAAATTCTTGGTGCCGCGCAAATATAAACACACTCAAAGAAAACGTGATATGCAAAAGTACATGGTCAAATATTACAGCAGAATATTTTGCTTGAACCATATCATTAGCCAATTAAGCGCTCTAACTCTCGGAGAACCATTGAACAAGTTTTTTCCCAAGTCAATTTAGAGAATGGCATGCCTATAGGGGAAAGAAAGACTGCGCAATAGTCGTAGCCTTGTTGCCATTTTGTGATTGGACAATGGACGACGTTCATTTGATGGTGTCTTCGTATCTCCAGTGCAAGTAGCTGCAAGCGCGGTCACAAAAAAGTAATGCTGCTTACGCACCTGGGATCCGTCCGCACTCAATTGGAGTGTTAAGTAATTCTTCCGGTCGCATTATCAGTCCTTTATAGATATTAGGGAGGTATTTTTTTTTTAAATTAAAACAATGATTGAAGAGAAAAGCAGGGGTCAATTTAATACGCACAATATGTACATCAAATTAATAAATTTACATTCATAAAATATTTTTTTTAAAGAAAGCATGAATATATAGATGAATAATATAAGTTTCTTTTTAAAGAGAGAAGTAATTCTTCCATTCCCAAAGTTTATGCACAAAATTAATGTCCAACGAATCATTGCAGATAGCTTGCAATGTTCATTTAAATATCGAGATATATACACAGTAGGGTTTTGTGAAATGATTTTTCTTTTTCCCCTTTCTGTTTCATTATGTGAACGAAATGTGTCACAAAAAACCTGCAGAATCTGGCCTTGTACGATGAACATGTACATGCGGCGCCCGTACGTGTACATGGTACCATACGTACTTGCGTACATGTACTTCAACGTCGTTAATTGACCAATCACAAAATGGCAACAAGGCTACGACTATTGCGCAGTAAAGAAAGAATACGTCAATCATTAAGCGTGTCACCTGGCACTTTATTGTGCTGTCTAGTTTTTTTTTTGATCCATACATGTATGCCAATGACGCAACAACTGCTGAATGACCGAATACCCGATATAGAAAGAGCCAGATGCTGATTGATCAAAATGTGGAGGTCGAGGCAGTTGTCTTGCAATAATTAATCATCAGCGCTGTTGAAATATCATAGCCCATGGGTTTTTTTACAGGCTGGCTGTACGTACATGTTGGAGATTTAATCCTCTTCAAATGTCTTTTAAAAATACAACGTAGAATTTGAAGGTATAGGCCTATAAATAGGCTTTAGAATGCACAGTCTGCTTTAATTGTGGGCAACCCTGACTTTTTAATTTAAATCCTTAGTAAATTGCGACTTTTTCATTCTGAACCAGGCCTTAAAATTGTAAATTTATGTGACAATTTTTCCAGGTTTCCTTCTTTTTTTGGGGTGCCAAAACCCAGGATGATTTATTTTCTTTTTTTGGAAATTAGCCATAATATCATTTTCTACTCATGCTAGCTTGGGCAATTTTCCTGCCCAAAAGTCTTCCCCATTCGTTTACAACAAACCAACGCATGTACAGTGTTCTTTATTGGGAGAACTTGAAAAGTGCAGGATTGCAGAAACCCAACCTTGTCCAATCAGCTTGACCTTGATCCTTGAGCTTGAGGGATACCATGTAAGTCCACAAAATCTATTTCAAGCACCCTTGTGCATGCATGCCCCCAAAACAGTGTTAGGATGGCAGGGGTCCGTGTGAACGGTACGTGATCAACCACAGTCAGCAGGGACCAGCAGGGCCTACTTTCTCTACAGGCCCTGCACATCTGGTAGATCCCGCATGATTACCACACATCGTCGAAGAGGGCCACATTCCACGCACGTACATATACCGCACATCAGCTGATGGACACGTACCGTTGTTCAGTGGGTCAAATTTCAAGAAACATATGGACTGAAAGTCAAGGACTTCAATGCCGGCCCATAATAATGTGGTATCTACTACAGGCCACAGGTCCTCAGCCAGAGAGAGTCACGTCCTATGAAGTTGTCAGGCATAACAAAAAGTTGAGACACGTGACGTTATCCATACTGTGGCGAGTCGTGGGGAAGTAACAGCAGCTAGAGGAAGTGATTGCAGAATTACAAGAGGAGTTTGGGGAAGATGTACATGTATGTGGGTAAATCAGCTCCCATTGTATCATTCTTTGCCAGGAAACAGAGAAAACGTGCTGGAGAGTACGTGATCACTCTATCTAAGAGGTTCTGCTAGGGCATGCCGGAGCCTGTGAAAAAAAACAAGGTGGTCATGGATCTTTGGATGAAGATGGGGATCTTCCTGGTACTACCCAATTCATAGCTGGTTTCCATGATAATACAGTGAGGCAGCAGCTTGCACCAATGCAACCTGGCGGCATATGACTTTCAAGGAACTACGGAAGGAACTGTGAGTCACTGCTGAGGAGTTCCGACAAGCAGACAAGGAGCAAGGTGAAACAGGAACACCATGTATATGACGAGTACGGCAGGGGATGTCTAGGCTCAGAATCTGTCTGATACACGGCAGTCATGTCTGCAATGCGTCAATACTGATGGCATTACCTTGCTCGGAGGAACGGAGCTATTTAGGAAGAAGACGGATGAAACTTCGTCCTGGTATGACCATCTTTGCAAAGGCACCTCACTCTAGGCAACGTCATACCATCACGACACTGGCACAAGGTGATTCTGACAGACGGCTTGCTGTAGGGTTGATGACGCTAGTTAAAACAGACAAGCTCCCACCAGGCTGTGCAAACTGTGCCAGCAAGTGGTATAACCATTTAGACAGAATGAAGTCATCGCAGCATATATTGTCCTGTGTCCAAGAGGTTGGCCGAGACCCCACAATTTCCAGCTCCAGTGTGGCAACAGTCTGTGAGCAAGAGGTGTCCAGGGGAATTCGATACCAGATTTTAAACTCAGTGATGCCAACCTGACATCCCCACAGAAAGCTATGAAAAACTTGCTGAAGCAAAATGCTGATATCTTCTAGAATCATTCTATGGGGCAACTACTACACAACATAAGATTCCCCTATAAGAGACCCAACTCCCTAATTCCGTATATGCTGTACCGACAAATCCCACTAGAGGAGTTCCAGGATAGAGCACATTAAAGACTTGGAAGAGTCAGCGTAATCAAGCAAAGCCAGAGCCTGTTCGCTTCACCAATAGTGTTTATGAGGAAGAAGGAGGACAGCATCAGACTTTCCATTAACTATAGGAAGCTGAACTCCAGAATCATCCACGATGTCTACCCTCTACCATGGATCGAAGAAGCTCTAAGCAAAGCTTACTTTTTACTTGTGCATCAACATAACATCAGTTATTTCGACTATCTACAAGTTGGGGTGGCAGAGAAAGACTGATCAAAGACAGCTTTCATTACACCGATGGGGTTATGAGTTTTTATGCCCTTCATAGATTAGTCTCATGAGTGTCCCAGCTACTTTCCAGTTAATATGGCAACGGTATTCAGAGACATGAATTTCAAAGATGAACTACTGTACATCCATGATCTCATCATCTACAGGCCTTTGTGGATGGTAGGTGGCATCTCCGAAGATCATTTGACGATTGAGGTCTAAAGCCTGCACGAAGTGTTCCACTTCTTTAGCCAGTTTGTCTTTGCCTTGGAGGAGGTAAGCGCCTCTGATGATCTTCGCCGTTGTCATCAGCAAGTAAAAGAGGACATTTTTCAGTCCTGCTTTTAGGCCAGATGGATCCGGAGATGTAGTGGTTGTGTCTTTGGCCGTAGTGGTCAAATCTTTGGTTGTAGAGGTGTATGAGGTGATTGTGTCACGAAGAACCTCAAATCCCTGCCGATTCAGCATGTCGGCTGCTGTTCCGGTTTCTGTTATCGGGCTCCCACTTTTTGCATTTTTTCGGCAAAAGATCAGGTAGAGAGAAGCCAGCCTTCTCATGTCAGCTCTAACTGAATTACTCTGACCTCCATTCAAGTCATCTTGCTTGCTCTTCCTTTTTTCATACAGGCGTTGGCCTACCGTGCGAATAATGGCGTCACTTTTGCAGATATTGCCAATGTCATCAGCTCTCAAACCGCTCAGTATGTCAGCCTCGAAAGCATCCCTCACCAGACCAGGAACAGGCTGGAGCAAAGAAGTGGGCACTGCTTTGGGGCGTACTGAGGACTCCTCAGTGCACTGAGGTTTGTGACTCCAGAAGTATCTGGGGCTGTAGAAACCATGGCAGTTGGTACACATCACGGTTGAGGATGGGCGCTTGGACTTCCTCTCCCGAAGGAGCTTGTCTTCGTTGTTGGGACTTTGTAGTACTTCCTTGTTGTGCAGGTAAATGCCATCCAGTCTTAGCTTCCTGAATTCTGCTTTTTGTTTCTGTTTTGGCAGATCTTGAATAGCTTTCACTTTGTTCTTATGTTTTTTGACAATGTGGCGCTTCAGTTGGCTTTGAAATATTCCACAGTATGGGCAGGGTCGCTTTGGTTTTATCATCTTTCCTGTTTCAAGACAAAAAAAGCAATCACTCTTTGAGTCATCAAAAAGTAAAGTAAAAATAGCACTTGACCAATTATTCAAAACGTGCCAATCAAGTTTTACATGCTAAAAGCTGCCTTCCTCGCTACAGTCCTTCTGATTTGAAAATCACAGGCATGTGGAAAAAGGCACACAGTGTTTCGCAATGCAGTAAGTACTGTATAACTGTATAAGAATGAGACCTTAAATAGGTGACAACAAGAAATGTAGTTGCCGTCGACAAAAAGTATCATATGTGACAATAGCAATGCAACTTTACGATTACAATCGATTACTTATGCACATGCATAGTGTTCTCTTTCCAAATATTCAACCCGCAAAAAAAGCTATACGAATTCGGTTGCAAATAATCAAATATTTTGTATATTTTGGACAGCCCCGTATTTTCTGCACTCTGCCAATTAGAAACGCAACTGGTTGTCTGTTTTGAGAAGTTTATTCTTGCAACATATACATGAAACAATTTCTCTAGGGTTCCATGAGTTTGAACCAGAGGCATTATAAATTTGCATAATAATCTTGCAATTTAAGGACGTTTCTTGAAGTTTCTGCAAGTATATGTCCAGTTTCTGTGGTTCTCGTTTCTGAGCCATGGGGTTTCTATTTGGTTGTCATCAAATGAGCCCCAACCATCCATGGCCTTTTGTCACATGTTCATGAGGCCAGTAATTTTGTGAAGATTATACTGCACTAGCGCAATTATGTCTTTTAATAATCTGTGGAATGGAATGGGCCATTCGTATGAATCACAGGTGTAAAGGACAAATCACCAAGACGATACCACCGAATGTTTTTTGGTGACGCACCAATTGGTGTCTTCATCCTGCTCTGGGTGCCATATCCCCCCCTTTCCCCACTCTCTTTCACTAGCATTTTGCTGACTGGTAATAGAAAGGCTATAAGCCGATCACTTCCAAAACTTAAAAGACTGCTTGCAATTTGTGCACTGTCTGGTCTCACCCACTCTCTAAGGGGTGCTGATATTGGCTTCACTATCCTTTGCTGAACAAGTCTTACCTCCTAATGGACTGTCTTCCTCCTCCTGATTTGGGTCATCCTCAAACGGCCTCATATCATGAGAGTTATTCTCCTGCCCAGCGACAAAACCACATTGATCTCTTGGTGACAGGTCACGGTTGCTTAGTTGCAGAGGCCCAGTAAGGCTCAATTTCTCTAGCTTCACCTGTGCTCTGTTATTCCCCAGCTCTTCAAACAAGCGCTCCGTGTCTAGACGGCTTCTAAGGCATTCTGAGAAGGAAAAATAGAAAAGTCAATTTTCAATTGCTTATTTGCAGAAGCTATCTGGTGGTACTAATGGTACTAGGGGATCAGGTTTACACAGTGTTTTTCTCCCTTGCCTTCAACCCTGTGACCCAGGTTCAATTCTAATCTAGGCTAATTAACATATGGCTTGGATTTTAAGTCACTGCCTGATTCTAGTCTGTGGGTAAAATTTCCCAAAAATATTGTTCTGAACGTTTTCCTTCTCCTAGCAAGGGACCATTACACTGGAATAAGTCCAAAGACTTGCATGGGCTATCCCGGCCAATTGCCGAATAACCACAGAGAGTGGGAAGTTGCAAGATTGTGAACAATTTGATGAAACCAGTGGAAAACTGCAGGGCACTGAGACTGCAAAAATGTTTGGGGTAAAGATGGCAGGTTTGCTGCCTGCTAAAGGCGGACATCAAGTCTCTCAGTGTGAGTATGCATTTTAATGTTTTTGAGCACGAGAACCACGACACTATTGTATACTTAATTGTACATGTATAGCAATAAAAAAACAAATCATTTAATCAATCCAGTCTAAAAATTCGCACACAATATGTCTCATATGACAACAAAAGTTATACCTCTCAAAATATTCATGGATTTCATTGTTTGTTTGTTTTTAATTCTACTGTACATGCAGTAAGGCCTTCTTACTGTAAGGCTATATTGTTGCGTATGAGTCAGCAAAAAAAAGGTACTAGAGAACAGCAGGTACAACAAACCATATGGGTCACTGCATTGGCGGATCCAGGGGAGGGATGGCGGGGGCCATAGTGCCCTAAGGCCCCCCCCCCCACTATGGGTGCGCCACTGGTGTGTACAATATAAATGCTCTGATCATCTTTAGGAGAAAGCTGGACAGTGGATGAGGCCACATTTGGAGGGCTGCATGGATGATAACTGAGGCATTGTGGATGCTGAAGGCTGATGAGTTGAGATGCTGAAGGCTGACCGCTGAGATGTGGTGAGGATGCTGGAGGTTGATCGCAAAGGTGTGGTGATGGGAGCATGGGGTGTGTGCTCACGGAGCTATGTCAGTGGGTATAGGGTGGCAGAGGGTATAAATGACCCAAATGTCAGGGAAATGGGCTGGGTACCCAGTGGGTACCTAGTGTTAGAGATGCATCATTGGTTGGAGTAGGGGGCCAGATGGTAACTGATGTCTTGGGGAACAGTGCAATGTTTGTAGATTTTGATAGCCTCTCGGATTTCGTTGTGGGTGCCAATACATGATAGGAGCCATGACCACCAGAGGAGATTCTTCCACATGGAGCAAGTATTAATACTCATGCACTGCTTTTTGAATGGGGGCCCTTTTTCTTCTTGCTTTACAAAGCTGACACATTCTCTGGGAATATTGCTTTCCCTGAAAAATCCCCTGTTGGTGTTTTATATTTCATCATTAGCCTGATAAGCTTGATCTTTTAGGTCAGAGTCCAGTACCCAAGTGCCAGAATTAATACACTTATGCAGTCTCTCTGAAATATACATTGCAGTATTTGGAGCTCAGCTTTTGCAATGTATTTATTTTGAATGAACAACATATCAATATCCAAAACAATTGCATAGTGTTAGACTTACTTCATATTTGGTAAGTAAATAAACAACTGAAATCAACAGATTTTGAGCAGTTTCTTCAAAATGTTAAAGTTGATAAGATTCCAACATGTCAACCCTAAACCCCCTTGGGTTGAGTGATTTGCTAGGACCCTCTGTCTGTCTTGCAAAGTTCAACACCATATGGTAAACTCAACACCCAAACTGTTATGGCGGAGTGCCTGACCCCATTGTAAAGCGTAATCAATTTACTAACGGCCAGTGCATCACTCAAACAGATTCCAACAGAACATGCAGTGGGCTGATGGGTGGCGGTGGTTTTAGGTAAATACATTCTTAAAAATCAATCCTTATTAAAAATAGATCAAGACCGAAGTCAATAGATTTTGAGCAGTTTTGATAAACTTTAATACAAAACTAAAACATGTGTGATTACATGGCATATGTTATTGGTGTGCTGTCGAGAATGCGAGACTGCTTTATTCAAGACTGCTACACCCGATTCAAGTTTTCAAAAGCTTATCTCAAATTTTAATTAAAAAAGAAAACAAAACACAATTTACTCTTTAGAATTCAGCTTAGAAAATAAAACAAGCGGAGGGGCTTTCTAACATCTTTGCTGGCTGAATTTGCCAACCTAAATTACACATTTTACACTTAATACAAAAGGAACCAATTATGAAAATAAAAACAAGTGGACATCCAAAAATGGCGACTAACAAATGCCAACACTTAAAGAAAAAAAAGCACCTAAAAAACGCATTTATGATTGCGACTTTCTTCTTGAGTAATTTTTTTGGCAAGTCATACAATTTTTACTTACTTAAGTTTACTTATTAGATTTATTAAACTTGGAAATAATGCTCTATAACAACATCATGCAACATTAAAAAAAGGGTAAAAATAATACTTTTATTGGCAGTTGTTGCAAGCATAAAATACCCTCAAAAGTGCCGTCTTTGGCACCAGGTCATGCAGGTAGCCCCACAAATTTGTGAACTCTCTCACTGGGATGATTGTTTGACCATCCCTTGCCTGGAACATATTAAACATAGATTTTTTTTTTTTTTTTTGCATAGTCATTTTTTTTTCTTTCTTCATTTTTAACTACTTTGTATACACTTCCATTCCACAAGTGTTAAATTAAAAGTATTATAAAAAATCAAGTCCTGGATAAAAATGACATCTGCTGATCTGCTGTAAAATTTAATATTTGTTAACCTTAAACTTCCAAAACCCTCCAAAATCCTCTATGCAAAATGGAAGGTTTTGCAGTACATTGTATTTTGCAAAAATGTGTGGCTGATTGTGGAGGATGCACTATACGTCAAGGTCTTAGGACAGACCTTGTATTGTTTATGCTCAGCCATGCATACATGCAGGCCAAGATTGTACTTGAAATCCTGCGCACTGCTGCAGGATTTCACTGGCTCTGCCTCAACATATTGACAGTGATTGCTGGTGGAATTTGGAGCACTGAGGCGGTGGTCACCCTCCCAGGACCACATTCAAGAAAAATGATTATTTCGGAAGACAACTATTTTTACATGTAGACAGTTGAAGGATTTTGAAGGATTGAGGTTGCATTCTAGCAAAAATTAGGGTTAATCTTTTATACCTAAATCTGTTGGGATTGACATCATTGTCCCTGTAATAGTTATTTGTTTTACATTCTAAATAGCACACACAATATCGAGTTGAAAGCACTCCATCAAATTTTTCTATTTTGTTATCCCGGAATACTTCCTCCTGAATCATTTACTGACATCAAATTTTCCAATAGCACAGTTCTTCGAATATGTTTGCATGTGTCGTTTAGTAACTGCACAGTTTGGCACTTTCCATCTGTGTAGTGGTCTCGGAAACCAGGAAATTGTAGCCTGGCCTGACGAAAGATGGCTCTCAGGATGTTTTCGTCCAACTTGGGCAATATCAAGGATTTTTTTGTCTGAGGGTCTCTCGATTTGCCTGTTACGTTTTTGGAAGCCAGCTCTTTGTTGGAAAACTCATTGCGCATCAAGAGAGAGCACAGTATTCTTCCCATCGACTCTGGTTTGGACGCCCCACGTGAAGATACTTTCCTGACGTGGACGTGGTAGTCAGAGATGTCCCGCACCAGGCCCTCCGTGCCACCGAGCAGAAACGTGCCGGTCTCGGGGCCAGCAATATAAAGAGGTGTCACTGTCGCAGCTGGACGCTGATGGGAAGATGAAGTAGCTTGTTGCGTACTTGCACAGCGAAGAGTGGTGGTACATGAAGTGTTTTTCGCAAAAGTTACTTTGTGTTGTGTTTGGCTTGATGGGACACTTTTGGGCGTCACTGCCGAGTACAGGTGCTTCACGGACACGCGAAGTGCCTTCTGTCCAGCGATCAGTTGCTGCATGTCGCATTTCATCTCTCGAAGAGCTGACATAATCTGGTCAGCAGGTAGCAGGTTTGATGGAGTGTCCCCGTTTGCAGGGCAGGAAGGCATGCCCTTTGCAGGGCAGGGTGGCACGCCATTTGCAGGGCAGGGTGGCATGCCATTTGCAGGGCAGGGTGGCACGCCATTTGTAGGGCAGGGAGGCACGCCATTTGCAGGGCAGGGTGGCACGCCATATGCAGGACAGGTTGGCACGCCATTTGCAGGGCAGGGTGGCACGCCATATGCAGGGCAGGGTGGCATGCCATTTGCAGGGCAGGTTGGCATGCCATTTGAAGGGCAGGGTGGTATGCCATTTGCAGGGCAGGTTGGCACGCCATTTGCAGGGCAGGGTGGCACGCCATTTGCAGGGGAGCGAGACTCACCAGGTTGCGGGATCCCCAGAGTGTCACCATTTATTGTCGGAAGGTCTTCATCGTCCATGCTTGGATGCTCTGTAGATTGGGGGAAAGAAATGACGTGACAATTGAACCTGGAAGACAAAATTGCAAGGGGCGAGTTCCCCTCCATTTCTTCCCAGAGGTGCAGACGAAGTTCCTCATTCATGTGGTGGCGCTGTAGCCAGTAGATAGCCACAGTGTTTTCATCTTGTGGAATGCTACATTGGCTAGCTGAGTATAGTACCAGGCCTCAACCTTAAGCTTCAGAGGGGCAAGGCCACTTGGCCTCAAAGGCTCCCAAATCAACAAGGGCACCAAGGCCAACTGAAAGGGCACAAGGCCATTTTTATCTGTTGACGACTTATAATGGTGTTTATACTTTAACATTCTACACTAGTGTCCAAACGCTGGCACTTAGCTGCCGCTCCAGCCATTTCTTCTTCGTGCTTTTTTTTAACTCTCTTGTTGGACGGCATGATGATGTATCGATATTATATCACTGACTGTTTGATGGTAAACGATATCTCAATGGTTATGCGGGACGCTATGGTACAGTGGTGAAGTGTACAACTCATGTATCGTGGTACGTGGGTTCGAACCCTGATGGGAACATTGTGCTTGTGTTCTTGGGCAATACACTTTTAACAATTGCCTCTCTCTACCGAGGAGTAAAAATGGGCCGAACAGCCCATAGCATCCATCGCTGCACGCAAATGTTAACCTCTGCACTTTGCATGCAACTTTTGACTGACACGGCAAGCAGCTTGCACATTTGTGTAAACTTGATCAGCGAGTTTCAATGAATAATATTAATTCGGTTTTAATAATCATGTTTTAAACAATCGAATACAGCATTATTCGCAAAATTGATACTGCCCTGGAGTGCATTGAAGCTAACCTTGACCTTCCAATCCACGAGGATCTAGAGAACCTGCCTGAACTGCGACTTAAATCACGCAATCCCTTTTGGATCTCTGCAGGCACATTAGACGAAGCAGGTTTGGACTCTAAAGTGGCCTGGCGCAGTCTCTGGGAAAACATGGAATACACCACCAAGGACCTGGTACGTGATCCCACCACCGTACCCCTGGTTTCAACCTAGACAGGTGAGAGTGGACCACTCTCAACAGGAACCGCACTCTACATGCCAGGTCTGCACACAATCTACATCAATGGAAGTTCCGGGACAACTCGGCATGTGATTGCGGCCATCCAGATCAGACCATCTCACACATTGTGAATGATTGCATGCTGATGGAGTTCCCAGGAGGCATCAAGGACATCCTCCTTGTGACAGACGATGCCCTTACCTGGCTCTCCAACTTGGATCTGTCACTATAGTATACGCTGCTGCAACAGTCATACACAAGAAGAAGTGTGACATGTACACAGGTATTAACTCACCTTCCTCCATGCTCCCTGCGACGGAACATCCGCTTTCATCCATAAATGATGATGCTTGGCCAGAGTCTTCTGAGGTTTCCAATGCCGGCAGGCCATAACTTACAACTTGCTCTGAGGTGCAAAGTTATCACAAAAGGAAAAGAGACGGGCAGACGGCGGTTATCATGACTGTTAATTTCAGATGCCAGGACAGGATATGTCCATCCAATTTTGCGTACATGCCACTGGGATCATTATATTGTTTGTACTTGAGTATCCCATGCTGTTAGAGCCTGTCTCAATTTATATCCGGACGAGTTCCAGACAAGTTGTGGGTAGAATCATTCACTTTGTCTGGAAGAAGCCTTGCATTTGTCCTGGACATGTTCCAGGCCAGTTTCATTAGCAACTGCTTGACTCACCAATATTGATAATTTTATTGTATAAGATTACAGGGAAGTTGTTCAGAATCTTGCAATGTCCACAACGTGTCAGCAACTTGTCCGCAATGTGTCTGCAACGTGTCTGCAACATGTCTGCAACGTGTCTGCAACTTGTCTGCAACTTGTCTGCAACTTGTCTGCAACTTGTCCGCAACTTGTCTGCAACTTGTCCGCAACTTGTCTGCAACTTGTCCGCAACTTGTCTGCAACTTGTCTGCAACTTGTCCCCATTTTGTCCCCAACGTGTCTGCAACTTGTCCGCAACTTGTCCGCAAAATGTGTACAACTCCTCCCGGATGTGAATTGAGACAGGTCCTTAATCAGATAGTGCAAGGCAAGTGTACTTAAGCTGGTCTCAGGGTGCACAAATCTCTACTCAACTGATTCAGAATGGCTATTCACTGGAAGTCTTTTCATGCATCAGGTTTACACAATGGGCTGGAGTTGGCCAATAAACTGACAACTGTGAGCAGAAAAACGGAAGGAACTTGGAACGAAGTAAGCCTCACCGATCCTTGGCATCCCAGGCTGTGGCATTTCTTGTTTGACGACAACATCCACAGGAGCTGGTGAGCCTACTGCTTGGAAAGTGGCTATAAATGAAAAACATTTTAAGTTATTTACAAACCAATCATTAAAGTCGATTACTCAGTAGCCTTGGTCAAAGCATTCATCAAGTGTCCGAATATCGATGGCCGGCCGTGAACATTATAAGCACGATGCACTCACACATATTATTGATGTACCCTAACGTGGCGCGGCCCCCAACGTGGCGTACTTTGATTTCTGGCCTGTAGTGCCTAGCTAGAGCAAAAGTTTTAACTGAAATTTCAAAGAAAGTCAAATTTCAGCAAGTTCTAAACACTTCCGTTCATAAATCACAAGTTAATCTTCCTGTTACAAAGTTAGAGAAAAATTTATTTTGGCGTGATTTTCCGATTTTATTTCAAAGTGCACAGTGAACCCTTTGAAAATGTCCCCCAAAACTAGAAAATAATTTGCTGACAAACTTCTTGTTGATTATGTGAGTAGAGATAATACTTGTTTATCAGAATTTATCAACTTTACTACAGAAATTATTTTGGAAGTTTTCCAAGATTTATTCAAGTGCGCCATGCTGGGGAACACCCATCAGCCGATTTGTGCCTAATTTCTGGACACCACCGTTTTGGAATTTGGGATTAAATTTCATGAAACCAAAATTGTTCACATAGGTTAAATAGCAAGCATTAATAAGGTAAATGTACCGGTATTTCACTGAATGAATTTGAAGTTTGGGGCTCAATTAACACACAAGTACCTTGCTTCTCTGTGCTGCTGCCCACGTTGGAATCATCTGGCCCAAGTTGTGGATTCTGTACACTCTCAAACATGTCAGAGATAGCCAAGTTCAGTTGGTCACCACAAACTGGATTAAGGAGAAGAAAAAAAACATCATTTACATCACATTGGTGCAAATTCCATTTTATGAAACAGAAAGGATCCATGCGATTAATTTCTCTGATCAACACATTTTGTGCAACTTTTTACAGCTCCTAAATGTATGACAACTATTTGACTTCCCTTTACGGTTGATTTTATTGGAAATTCCCCTCTTTGCAAAATGGAAGATTTTGAAGGATTGAGGTTATGGCAAACATGTGTGGCTGATTTTGGAGGATTATTAATCATTTCTGGTAATGAAACCAAGGATTCCTCAAAAGCGCCCAAGGCACTGTAGCTCGCAAGCCTGAAGAAACTTGTGGAGAGAAGACAATGAGAAGAAGTTACAGTTTTGAAGTGGGAGGAAAAGCCCAGAAGAATAGTCTGGGGAAACCCCACGGAATCAGGCAGGGACTGAAAACCCAATCCACATATTGGCCCAGTCGGGATTCGAACCCGGGTCACAGTGGTGGAAGGCAAGGAAAGTACCGCTACGCCAACCTGACTCCCTGTTGCACTGTATCAAGGTCTTGGGCCCCACCTTCTGTTGTTTTTGCTCAGCCGTGCATAAAGTTAGGCCTACTCGACCGAGTAGATATACATCAAATCCTCCGCACTGCTCCAGGATGTCACTGGCTCTGCCTCAACATATAGACAGCGATTTTCAAGGATTTTGCAGAATCGAGGCAGTCATGGTCACCCTCACAACGACCACATCAAAAAAATAACTGAGAATTTTGGAAGATTGAGGCTGTATGCAATTTTTACATGGAGGCAGTTGGCGGATTTTGCATCCAAGCAAAAATGCAAAGTTTTCCATACTTTTCTGGACAAATGAGGGCGCTGTTGCTCTGATGTCATTTCAGGAAATGGCTATTCAGCTTGGGAGTTTTCTGTTCAAATTGTGAACCCTCAATTTTCTCACTGAATAGTTTCTGAGGAAGATATGATCTTGTGCCTACTGCCATAATTGGCACAACAACGTCTAACCAAAGAAGGGAAGATTTACAAAAGCAAAATATCCAAAAAAAAATATCAGTTTTGCTCATGAATATGGACATTTTCATTAGCATAAAAAAGACACCCAAATGCCCTTAAAATGGCTCAATTAAAATTGAAAATATGCTTAAATAGGATACAAAGGTTCACTTTCAAGAATTTCATTAAAAAATATACATCCCCTTTAAGATTTTGAAAGCTAAGACACAAACATTGAGAGTGCTTGAACTGAAACATGTTTACAAAGGTGATGTGCCTACCAAACTTGTCTTCCTCTGTTACTATGGTAACCTCCTTATTCTTCTCCCAAGCCTCTTTGATGTTCCTCAGCACTGCCACTCTTTTAGCGAAGATCGTTCCGTCGACAAGACTAGTCAGTTGCGCCACGAGCTGAAAAGCGAGGGCGTACTTGTCTGACTGAGTCAGCGGTGACATTGTTGTTGATGGTGACAATGACAAACCGCACGTTTCAGATTGATCTGTTTCGTCCATGGTGTCACCCAACTTGTGCTGTAATGAACAAGAAGTGAAACAGATTACTTTCAGTGGAATAGGCCTAGGGCTTGCTCAATGACGGCCATCTATGTAGGAGAACTGCAACTGCGTATTTTACGCAGTCAAGCACGCTTTGCGCAGTGTTGAAAATGTTCCAAACACTCGCGCGCTTGTTGCTTGAAATGTGTTCGCAATACGACGCAGCCGATGCGCGTTATGCAAGTTGACGCTCAAAATGCCGATGCGCGTGGATGGTCTGTAGGAAATGACGTCATTCGAACGAGACCTATACATGTTGGAAATACAATAACCTTTGATAGCCTACTCGTTTCATTTCACCAACATGGGCCAAATAAAAAATGAAAAGCTTTTGCAAAAAAGACAAGAAAGGAGGCAGCCCTTTTTTTTGGTTACAAGTCAGTATTGTCCTGGCTTGGCACTGAACATGCACAGTTGCTTTTTTTGGGGGGGGGGGACTTAGAAATGTTTACTGTGACGAATGTTATCTGGTTCTAGGGTTATAAATGTTGTCGCTGTCACGTTGTGATTTTGTGTGAAAGAGATGGCAATCAGACAAGTACAATTTCAGACTATATTTTCCTCTAACAGTCCTCCTGAGTCACGAATCAGAAAAAGAAGATGAAATACATGTAGGCCCTATTATTATGTAAGGAAAAAAAATTGCAACCTGACACCAATTCCGCGATTGTTACAAAGTCTATGGAGAGTCAAGAAGTTTAAAAAAAAAATTCTTAAAAAAGATGCATTTCTTATCAGCATTGTTGCAATGAATGACCTTCATTGAGATGATATATGAAAAAAAATGTGGCGTCAGGTCGCAACATTTTTTGCACACGTTGGCCTACTGTCATGACTTAGCTTGAGTAACTCCAGCTCCAATGCGATAGGCATTAGATTGATTAGCCGGAGTTAACTCAAGCCAGTCATGACTGTCAATGTTGTACTCAGCAATTAAATGTAAGGATTCAATTTAAAACAATTAAAAGAAGATAATTTTTATTCTTTGGACACAAAAAGTTAAGTTTCACACTGGGACTGGCCTACCCTTCTCCAACTTGAGCGGCATGGCATTCACTTGCAATGACTTGTGGGGGGGGGGGGGGGCATGGCTGGGGGCCAGGGCATGGCTGGGGGCACATGAACTACCTGCATCAACAATGTCAACTAGGTCCAGGCATGGAGGCGTTTCCTACCTCCATGGTCTAGGCAATGGCTAGCCCCATAAATGTGGCCTATTTACTGGACTGCCTCCGTAAACATAGGCCACACATCCACATGTACAAAAATCGTGTCGACTTTGCCAAATTTTGATTTTCACATTTAGGCTTAGTTTGTAGGGTTTTTTTGCTTTAGAAGCATACTCACCCTCTTTATAGGCTAATCAGAAAATGTATATTTTTCGTGAAATTTCCAGATTCATTTTTACACGTTTGCGTATCAAAATTACAACATGAAATTTCACAAAAATTAGACATCTGAAAAAGGCAGCACTCTCTGATTAGCCTATAAAGAGGGTGAGTATGCTTCTATTTTTTTCTAAAGCAAAAAAATCCTACAAACTAAGCCTAAATGTGAAAATCAAAATTTGGCAAAGTCGACACGATTTTTGTACATGTGGACGTGTGGCCTATGTTTACGGAGGCAGTCCAGTAAATAGGCTACATTTATGGGGCTAGGCAATGGCATGCATGGAGGTTTTCTACCTCGGCCACGCTTTCGCTTGATGAGAAATGCCAATGATTGTCAGATATGTGTATATATAGGCCTGGTCGTTAACACGTCCATGAGGGCGCTATACGAAACCGGTTCACGCTTCGAAGTTCGAAGACGAAGTTGAACCGAAGTTCTTTAGTTTTGGCTAACTTCTAAACTCCTGTCAAAAGCCCAAACACTACGTCATTGCATGTAACTGGCACTGACGCTTCTTCACGGACGTATTTCAAAGGTACATACAGAAACACAAAAGAAATGTTCGCTCTACCTGATGTTATTGCGATAATCTTGTGACCACAGACTTCAGAATGTAGTTTCACAGATTGTACTTTATATCTCTATGGTACAACCAAACAGCGCCACCATTCGTGTGCTTGCGCTTATTAGGAAATCTCAAGGTTGCATTTCACCCCCCCCCCCCCCCCCCCCCTTGAAACAGTGTAAAAGTTACGCCACATGCAAGCCGACATCACTGGGAAATTTAATTTGTCTAGTCCTTTATCTTTCCATTTCTTTCAAACTTTTGGTGCGTTATTCACTTACATTTTTAAACATTCACACCAAAAAAAACCCCTCGCCCCAATAAAAGTGATACTTCCCTACCCGGCATGCGCGGCCATTTAAATGGCATCTCTCCACTCTCTCACTCATCAGGCAAATAGGACCCATTTTTGACCGCAATTTCATCAAGTCTGCCCTCAAATGGAAGCCCCCAAACCGAGTTGTTCCTCGGCTATACAATCCCACCCACCTTTTCAATAGTTCAAGCTAAATAGTCTCCTTTTTCAAAAAAAAGTTGCGGGCCGGGGCATTAAGTTTCATTTAAATTCTCACTCACTTCTATTATATTAGGACAAAAACAAAAGTCTCCGGTTTCTGGTATGCGCGCGCGTCGCCGTAGCCATGCGCGTTGGCAAAATGAAAAAGTTTTTTTTTCAATGAAAGATGATGTCTCAAAACCGCCAAACTCACTGGTTGGACTGGAATCCTGCTGCTGCACAATTTTAACGTGTCGAAACGGGCTTCCAGAGCTACGGCTACGTCTATTGTCAGCGCGTCCCCGCGTATTTTCAATGGGCGCAGACCTAGACCTACTCTAGACAGCTGATTCGGATGCAGCCTAAGCTTAGTATCTGGCCTCTCTGGACTAGTCGCAGTCATCAGTCGACATTTGAAGCAAACAAGTCAGGTAAAAAAAAAAAAGCCGCGTCGCCGCACCACTTTTTGGACAAGCTCCATACCAGAAACCGGAGACTTTCTTTTTGGCCTTATAGTTCTGTACACCCGCTCTCTACAAACGACATCCGTAGTAGTTGACCCTTGGGGTGGCGCGCTTTCGGACCAATATGAACATTAGCCTGCAGTAGTCGGAGTTTTTAAATATTTTTGGGTACATTGATTTCTTAAGAAAAATCACCCCCGGAAAAAGGCCTTATTATTGATAATAATAATACACATGCATGTACACGTGTTGTACATGTGTTGTGATAGTCGTGATTATGGTCTTCTTCCAGCTCATCTATTTCTTTAACATTTTGTGTTTGTTTTCGTTTTCAATCTAAAATTCAATCTATTACATGCAGATTGAAAAAAAAACCAATCGCTTCAAAGATTGCAATTTTCAATCTTACGGATTAAGAGAGTGCAACGGCCGGTTAGTGCGTCATCTCAACGTAATTAACCGTGCTTATACTACACATGGCTTTTTTTTTTACTGGAGGCTTCGTTTCATGCATCTGGTGTACACGAATGCTTTAGCTCATTTATTGTCGTTACGGGTACGTAATCCTATACGACAGCACTGCCCGACTCACAAGAGACAGCGAGTCAGTCAGTCATCACTAAGATCGAGAACATATAATAGCTTTTCCCTCTGGGACCAGCAAACATTTATATTAATGAGATACTGCACGAGTTCATTTTTTATTTATTTATTTATTTATTTCGTCTTACTTTACCAGGGTAGCCCCATCAGTTGTCAATGAACTGTTCTCCCTGGGGGCCCTGGATTACATAAAAGCATAACAACAAAAATTACAAAAAACAAAACCACAATAAAAGACATAATGAACACATTGCCATAAAATAACCCAAGGAATTAAAACCACACAAAATTTAATACCCTAGATTAAAACAGACGATGTATAGAGATAAACAGATTTAAAATAGAACATTAGTTCCGAATTAAAACAAATTGCATGGTAACAAACCAACCGCCACGTGGTACAATTGCGTCAACAATGACGTCACACCACATCAATGGAATTATAAAGGCGTTGGCTCAAGCCCAGGTAGACGATTCCGCCCGACTCGTTCAGGGAGAGCAGAGAGGTTGGCATCTAGAAACTCACCGACTTAGCCCGTCAATAATTAATGATGGCTTCTCGCCGCGGGTCCAGATGCTTCCTATTGAAGCGACTTCTTCTCGTAATGATGTACTCAGCTTGCGGTCTTCAAAATGGTATGTCTATAAGTTTAATAATAGTCGAGTTACAGTCTATTCAAAGCAATCATGCTCTCTAAATTCCAAAGAGTGAAATAAGGGACTAAACGTTTTAGAGTGAAAATCACTCTCATTTTCGATTGAAAAAGTCTGAAAAATGAACCTCTTCAGTCGAAGCTCGAGTGAAAACTCGATCTTTACGATTGAAGAAATTTCACTCTAAAACGTCTAGTCCCTAGTTTCCGACTGTGGGAGTGAATCTTCACTCGAATGGAGTGAATTGTCACTCTTTGGAATTTAGAGAGTGGCTCATCAGGCCAGGAGTTAATTTCCCGCGATCCCGTCTCCTTTTTCTATTTCGATGTTTCTATGGTCATCCGTCTATTGCAGATTCTCCAGGCTAGAACTGTCATCCATATACTCATAGAGGGAGAGAGGCCTGTAGGGCCAAATATCTTTCTTATAGACACTCATTTGAAACGCTGATCGTCTGATCACAAGTCTGAAACCCTGCTTGGTCATAATCCCCTATAAACGATGACTTCAATTCAATTCAATTCAATGCAACATTTATTTCCAAATCATACAAACATTGTAATAATTACATGAAGAAAAAAAACACCCAATAGTTGGAGGCATAAACAAAAAAAGCCAAAGCTTGTTAAGGGGAATGCCTTAAAGTTAAATTGCAAACGGTGGAACTAGTGGACACTGTGAGGCTTATTTTGGAGCACGAATCGGAAATGTTTTTTGACGATTGAGGTGACCATACTTTAAAAAACAAAATAAGGGGGCCTGGGAAAGAATCAGAGCTGCTAAAATGGCACTCCATACCTCAAATTGTGCGTGGATACTTCTGAAGCACTTTTCTAATTTTGTGTGTGTAATGGTAACACTATGAATAATGATGAATAATTTACACCATAAGAATGATCCGAAAACTCTCAGCTGGTATATGGTTGATGTATGGGCGACCTGGGAAAGAATCAGAGCTGTTAAAATGGCACTCCATACCTCAAATTGTGCGTGGATACTTCTGAAGCACTTTTCTCATTTTTGTTTTTGGTAATGGTAACACTATGAATAATGATGAATAATTTACACCATTAGAATGATCCGAAAACTCTCAGCTGGTATATGGTTGATGTATGGGCGACCAAACATATCAACATGCCGCCTTTCTGAAAAGCAGTAAATATATCCGTGTTCTGTGTGTGGTTTCCTGGTCGACTAAAGTCGCCCATGGGAATCAGCAGGGCGGTACTTCGTATGGACAAAAGTCGCCATGGCAAGGAAAGGGTTAACTCTGAACTTTGTCTCGACTGAGAGATGGCCAGTTCACATCGTGTGTTTGCCAAGTCCTTGCTAAATCAAACGGTTACAAGTTAATTTGGATTTACCTATAATTTCAAGCGTATTATAAATTATTCCCTTTATTCATTATATAGGGTACAGTGGTCTTTTTTAAAATAATAAATTCACCTGGAGCATTTATTCTCATGTAGCAACTTTTACTCTTAAAAAATCTGTTCTATGCTTTTCGTCGTTTTCAGGTAGTGCTCACGCTCTCTGGTAGAATAGTTGCATATTTTTTTCGCTGATACAATTCGACACGTTTCAATACTTTTTTGTTCGTTTCAGGAAAATATCCATGAATCGAAAATAAACATCAATGTCTTCATAAAGTCTTATACATGTATTTCGTTTTCTGATCAGTTCATAAATCATGGTCAACTATATATTTTTTCATTATAACTCGTTTGCTATACCAAGATACATGTTACGTTTTAAAAAACAAAAACAGGTATTTACTTTCTTTGTAAATCTTGAATCATTACAATATAGGCCTAGGTTTTTCCCGGCTATTTTAAAACGTTTATTATTCAAATCCACCGATTCTCATGATTCAATTCGCTCTTCTCGCGCTTCCGCCATAGGCATGCACAACCTCGATCTGGCAACTTTACACAATAGATATAGTCGGTTCAGCGATTCCCGTGTCGGGTTCAGATCGCTGAACCGGCTATTTTTATTGTGTAAAGTTGCCAGAACTAGGCTCTGCATGCCTATGACGGAGCGTGAAAAAAAAATCGTCCACTTCCAATGTTTAATTTCGGGTTTTTTTATCATACAATTTCAATTTTAGTTGAATCAAATTCAGATCATGAGAACCGTTTTATTCAAGGAGAATTCGATTTCGTCTCGTCTGCGCCGAACAGTTTTTTTCTAAAAACAACTTCGTCTTCATAAAATGATGCCACACTACTTATTTTATCACACAATTTTGCTCAATTTCGGTATACTTCATCGTGACATCTTCAGTAGAAGGAAAAGGCGGCTGATACGAACAATTTTGCGATTTTTTTCTTCTTATTATCCATACATTTATTGTTTGTTTCTTTTCATTTTCAAATTGTGAACCCCAAAGTTGGTCATTGAAAACATGTGTGAAAAAAGGTCGCTTGTTGCCTCATACTGTCAACAACGAATCGCCAAAGAAAAGAAAATTTACGAGATCAAAATATCCAAAATTCTAGCAGCTTTTTGTGCTGAAATAGCTGTAGCATTGAGGTTTCTGCCCGGTAAGATATTACAGTTTTGCTCATGAATATGGAAATTTTCATTAGCATAACAACCAAAAAGGCACCAAAAACAAAGTTAAACAGGGGTGTGAGTGACCACTGCTAAAAATAGCTGAAAAATAGCTGAAAACAGCCGGAAAAGGTGAACTTTGGAAATCTCCTATACCTCTGTACCCAGCAAGTGAGGGAAAAAAGCTGAAATCCAAAACAAAAAAAAGCTGAAATCAGCTTAGATTTCACATCCCTGGTTAAATGGGACACAAAGGTTCATTTTCAAGGATTGCATTCAAACATACACAAATTAGTCTGACACAAATTAGTCTGATAGCATGAGTCTATATCAATATTTCTCAAAACCAATTTCACAGACAGTACGTGGACATTCGAAGGATCTGCTGTCGAAAATTTCTCTCGGGCTTCTACTAAATCTGGTAAAAATAATAATGCAACAAACGAGACTAGGCTGGTCTAGTATACATCTGGTCCCAGACCAAACATATTACTGGACCAAGCCCAGTCTAATGTGGCTTTCGCGAACCCGTGAATCCCGGGTTCGTATTCATGAGCCCCCTACTAAGATAATGACTATTGAATCAGTTGATGACCATAAATATGTTCTTGATAAGCACTCAGGCTATCCCCAATGTATATGCGTCTGTTGTTTAGAGCCAGCCTGCCTCCCATCAGAATTTGAGTGATGAGTGATGCGCCAGTTAAGTGCTGGAAAGCTACCAACAGCTAAGAAAGCCACTTTAGACTGGGCTTGGTCCAGTAATGTATTCATTTTGTGCCAGGTAATAAAAATCAATCTGTTTATAGGGTGCACAGACCTAATTCAAGCGAGAATTTCTACGCCAGCTGATTAGCATAAAAAGTGCCCCCACAATTTCTTTTGAAAACGGAGACCGTTTGGCTTTAAAACGGTGGAATTGTTTAAATATACCCAAGGATCAACTCCCTGGTTTTGGGGCTTCCATCTGAGGGCAGGCTTGATAAAATCACGGACGAAAAAATGGGTCCTATTTGCCTGTGAAAGTGGAAGGGTGCCACTCTTAAAATGGCTACATGCAGGCTCGGGAACTATCACTTTTCGGCAGGTGATTTTATTTGGGTGTGAATATTTCAAAATGTAATTGGCTACGGTACGTAAAATTGAAAAGAATTGAAAAGATGAAAGACAAGACAATAATTAAATTTTTGTTTCATAAACCCCAGTGATGTTGGCTTGCATGTTACTTGGCCCTGAACTTTGTTGATTTTACACTGTTTTCAATGGGGCTTGAATTAGTACAGTGGACCCTATATATTTCAAAATGGCGGCCTCCAGTACTCATGCGGGCGGGGGACTTGAATACAGTTTTTTTTTTGTTTACGTTCGTCGTAGAAGTCGATAGAGAGACAATAACTAGCTTTGGGAGACAGTTTTCTGGATTGTGAACAGAATAAGGCCTGGATAGGGCATAGCCTCATCCAAAGTGCATTATTGATGTACATGTATACATGATATTCAGACTTGACTGGCTACAGTAATATAACCCTAGCTCAGGCCGACTTCAACCCTAACGGAGGGTATAAACCTAATGGAGAGCACCCCTAACGGATCGTAACCCTAACGGGAGGCAACCCTACCGGATCGTAACCCTAACGGGAGGCAACCCTAACGAATCGTAACCCTAACGGAGGGCAACCTTTGTGAAACGTAACCCTAACTGGAATGGTGGTGGTGGTGGTGGTGGTGGGGGGGGGGGGGGGGTGTTGTTGTTGTTGTTGTTGTTGTTGAAGGGGGTACTCGGTGTGGGTGGTTGGTTAGGGGTGGGGATGGGGTGGGGTGGATGGGGGTATCCTTTAAAGACATGAGCCTTCTAAGTAAAACCTTCAATGACCAAGAAACATTTCCTCCCCACCCTTTTCAAGATAACCACGCCCACCCCACACAAAGGAATTTAATATTTAAGTAATAAAAAAAAATCAAAGAAAACAAGCAAACAAAATACAAATGCTCCCATGCGCTCAGCCAACAACCCATACACCCACACCCACGCACATTTGGCAACAATAGAACTTTATTAAAATGATGCTATCATTATTTCTGAAGACATTGCAGATTCCGTGTGTGTGCTAGTTTCATTACTGGACCAAGCCCAGTCTAATGTGGCTTTCGCGAACCCGTGAATCCCGGGTTCGTATTCATGAGCCCCCTACTAAGATAATGACTATTGAATCAGTTGATGACCATAAATATGTTCTGGATAAGCACTCAGGCTATCCCCAATGTATATGCGTCTGTTGTTTAGAGCCAGCCTGCCTCCCATCAGAATTTGAGTGGTGAGTGATGCGCCAGTTAAGTGCTGGAAAGAAACCTACAGCTAAGAAAGCCACTTTAGACTGGGCTTGGTCCAGTAATGAAAATTCCACTCATTTGGTGGCAATTCACTG